GGGGGGGGTGGGACGCACCGGAGAATTGTTGCATGGCGTATTCGTTGGCGATCTTGGGGATGGTGGAGATTAGGTCCGGGCGGGAGGCTTGGGCGAAGATGCGGAGGTAGGTGGTGCTTCGTAGTTGGGAGCGGGGGTTCTCTTCTGGCGTGCCGATGCTGGTGGTTGGGGTCAGCGATGGGGGTGGCGGAGAGGGGGAGAGGGAGAGAAAGAGAGAGAGGGAGGGGGAGAGGGAGAGAGAGGGGGAGAGGGAGAGCGTGAGGGTGAGAGAGAGGGAGAGAGAGCTTACATCTGGAACTCGAGCACGTCGAATTGATCGAGGACGCCGTGCTTCCGCAGTCCGTTCCGGATGACTTTCTCGTAGAGCTTGAACTTCTCGGCAGTGGCATAGCCGCATGCGTTGATGAGAAGCTCGCTCTGGTAGCCGCCGCGGTAGAATATGGCCAGCTTGGTCGTGGGCGGCGGCGGCGCACCGCGGATGCCCGAGACACGGACCCGGTTGCGGCCAATCTCTTCTATCCGGACATCGTCTAGGATGGCATTCACGTCACTGTTCAGGTAGATGTTGCCCTGCAGCTCGTACAGGAACTGACACTTGACCGTGTCGGCAGTGACGAAGCCTTTGCCAGCCTGGTGCTTGGTGATGACGCAGGTGCCGTCCTCCGACACCTCTGCAATGGGGTGTACAAGGTCATACAGCTCGTCCAGGTCATGCTCGTAGAAGGCCGAGTAGTTGGCTCCGGTGACGAAGCTCGAGCATTCAATGAGATGGCCGGCGACCAAAGCACCAGCCAGACAATCAAAGTCTTGGTCCGTCCAAGAATGCCAGTACGCAGCAGCACCAACAACCTGAGCAACGTTAGCTTTTAACGGCGAGCTTGCCGCGGTTCGAGAGCTTACTGGTGATGCATCAGACACGCGCCCGCAGATGACGATGTCTGCACCCAGGCCCAGGCCCACCTTGATCTCACGGGCTCCCAAGTAGGCATTGGCGGCCACGACGGGATGGTCCGAGGTGTTTTCAAGGGCGAGAGCGTCCTTGGGGGTGGGGATGTCGGGATTCTCCGAGTCGAGTTGCGGCAGCAGCTCCCCTCTCAGGAGCTGCTCTTGGACAAGCGATGTCAAGTTGTCGCCCTCCACGTATGCAACCTTCAGATCATAACCCCTTTGGGAGATCTGCCTTAATCAGCACCCGGGCCATGTTGCTTATGCAATCCCAGACTTACCAGTTCCTGGGTTTTCACGGCCAAGCCTCTGGGATTTTGTGCACCGCCATTGATTACGAGCTTGATGTTGCGCGCGGCCAGCAGGTCGACCGTCTGCTCAATGCCGTCCCACGCGGTTTCTGCGTAGCCCGGGTGCGCGCCGGCGGCCATGGCCTCGGCAATGTCGCCCAGGTTGAACTCGGCCAGATAGTCGCCGGTGATGAAGTCCACAGGGCCGTTCTCGGCCTGGAAGCGCATGTGGTAGCCAGGATCGACTGCGGGAAGACTGTCAACGCGCGGGTTCCCTGCCGGATAGGGGTACGTACTCACCAGCATAGCCGGAGCAATTGGCAATCCGCACGGGGCGGGGTTCCCGCCAGTCGTCTGCGTCAGACATGATATGGCAGGATGGAGTACGTAGCAGGAGGCTTTGAAGCGCAGCTGTGGGACGCGCACGTTTTATTGGACAAAATTGTGTAACGCTATGCAAAAGGGCAGCTCAGGAGTGAAAAGAAACCACGCTCGGCACCGACGATAGAGACAGTGAAACGGTCAAAAGGGGCGCAATGGGCCGGCCCACCCCACTGTGATCGGCTGCAAAGGGAAGTGCGGGCCGATGCGGTGGGGACGAGCTCCTTGCAAGCCGGGCGTGATTCGACCGTCGAAAGAAGCCATCGCAGCAGCTGAGTTTATATGTTTCGAAAAGTCATGTCGAACGCCTCGAGTAGCCGCCGCGCGCGCAGCACGGGAGCCGGCTGGGGACCGCGGATTCCAAGGGTCCATGATGGTCAGGGGTCGGAACGAGTCCCCGCTCTCCGCGCCCCGCAACTCTCCCGCATGAGGTAAAGCTGCCGGCGGTTGCTTCTAGAGCGTGAGGCCTGAATCAGTGGTGTTATTCTGACCTGCGTCCGCCGATAGAGCATCCGCGATGATGTGAGCAATCACACATGCCGTGATGCCAAAAATAACAGACACGCCCACTTTTCGACCAACGCCCCTGCTCCGAGGATCCGCAATCGCTGCGTGATCAGTGGTCGCGACTCACCTCGAATCCTCCAAGCCGGCAAAATCCATGCGTACTTAAGCATACGGGATCCCACTTCGAGTAAGAGGTTTGATCATCCATCGACGGCACAATGGCGACCACGAACGGACCTGCTGTTGATCAGAAGGAGGACATCGCCTCTTATTCCATCCCCGAGGAAACGCACAGGGTCTTCCATGAAGGCATCATCAGCAATCCTCTGATCGCCAAGGTGCTGCCCCCGGAGGCGCAGGAGCTCGCCCACAATGTGAAGTTTGAAGGATCCAGACTGCCCTCCGTGCCCATCAACTGGCGCTTCGCAGAGAGCGTATCCGCCCTCAAGGCCCTGGAAGCCACCATGGTGAACGTCCTCCTCAAGCGCAAATACAACGTGCAGCCCCAGAACGTCACCATCAACACGTAAGCCCTCTTCCCTCCCTCTCCCCCACCCCCGATACTAACCGCCCCGACTGCACCAGCGACCACGCCCAACTCTTCTTCATGTCCCTCGTCACCAACACCCTCGGCGGCGAGCCCTTCGGCGTCGCCCGCCCAACAAAGAACGCCACCCTCGCCGCCCTCGCCGCCCTCGCCGCCACCAAGTTCCCCACCCACTGGGACAAACACAACCACCTCGCCTCCGCCCACCGCCTCGCCGCCACAAACATCTACCGCTGCGCCGACGACGCCGACGCCGACAGCAGCACCCCCCGCTTCTTCCACACCCACGGCTCCATGGACCCCGCGCCCACCCTGCGCCTCCTCGGCCTGCCGCTCGATGCCGCCGCCGCCGCCGACGACGACCCATCCAGCCCCACCGCCCTGGAAGCGGCGTGCCGCCCCGTCGCGGCCCAAGTGCGCGCCTGGCGCGCCGCGGACCTGCAGCGCGCCGTCAGCGACGACGGGCCCGCGAGCGCGCGCCAGGCCGGCACCGTGTGCTGGACGGCGGACGAGTACCGCGCGAGCGAGCACGGGCGCGCGAACGCGCACGCGGGGCTGTGGGAGGTGGATGCGTTTCTGGATCATTCGAATCCGAAGCAGAAGCAGAAGCAGAAGCAGCGCGCGGGGTGGTGGGAGGATCGTCAGCAGAAGGGGAGTCCGGCGAGGCCGTTGGCGGGGCTCAAGGTCGTGGATCTGACGCGGATGGTGGCGGCGCCGGCGACGACGCGCGGGCTGGCGGAGCTGGGGGCGAGCGTGATGAGGGTGGTGAGCGGGGCGGTGCCGGATCATGCGGGGTGCCATGTCGATCTGAATTGGGGGAAGTGGAACGCGTGTTTGGACTTTCGGGACGAGGCGGAGAGGGGGAGGTGCGTCGAGTTGGTGAGGGAGGCGGATGTGGTGGTGACGGGGTACCGGCCCGGGGTGTTGGATAAGTTTGGGTTTTCGTACGAGGGGCTGATGGATATCTGCAAGGATAGGGAGAGGGGGCTCATCGTCGTGAGGGAGAACTCGTACGGGTGGCATGGGCCGTGGAGCCACAGGAGCGGGTGGCAGCAGATCAGTGATGCGGTGAGCTAGCTGGTGTTGCTTCGTGAGGGATCGATCGGGACATCAAGGCTGACCACGTCTTGTAGAACTGCGGCGTTTCGTACGAGTTCGGACGCGCGATGGGCAATGACGAGCCCGTCACGCCCGTCTTCCCAAACTCCGACTACTGCACCGGCATCTGTGGCATTGCGGGCACGCTGGATGCCATCATGCGCCGCGCCCAGGACGGTGGCTCTTACAAAGTCGACGTGAGTGTCCCCTGGTGCCCATCGGGTTCGCCGTCTTCCCTTCCACTGATGATTCCCCCTCCCCCCCTCAGATTGCTCTGAACTACTACTCTCAATGGCTGGTCAACAGCGTCGGCACCTATCCGAAAGCCGTGTGGGAGGATGTGTGGACGCGCAACGGGAGGCAGGTGTTCCGCCACTACCACCACATGCTCTACACGCTCCCACGCTTCATGGCCATGATCAAGGAAAACAGCAGCCACGTCTTGCTCAAGCCCGAGTATTTCGAGGACCGTCCGTGCGGCTACTTGGGCCACCCCATCCGCACGCCCAAGCCCGTGGCCAGGTACGAAGTGGCCGAGGGTGTCCCGGAGGAGCAAAAGGTCAGGCCGGGCTTCAACGTCGGCACGAGGACGAACGGCGTGGATCAGCCGAGGTGGCCGGACGATCTGATGACGGAAATCGTCGACTAATAATAAGCGTGTACGTGTGAGGTAGGAGGCATGTTTCGCAGAGAGGAATGCCTAGCCCATTCCGACAGCTCGCTCTCTCCATCGCTAGGCGCCAAGAGAAGCCAGCCTTGCACTCACTTGGCCCTCGGCGCCCCCTTGTTTCATTTTGGTCATTCAAAAAAAAACCCTCATACCGATCTCGGTAACGTCATCAATCTCGATCAACACCTCCTCTCCTTGGCCCAGAGTGGTCCCCACTCAACCCGGTCGGGAGGAACGTTCGGTGCCACGGACCGGGATCCGCCCCTCCCCTCCCCTCCCCAAAAGTTAGGTACTATCACGCCAGGATTTCCAAGACAAAGACCCGCCAAGCTGCCGTAAGTACCCAAGAGCCCGGTTGCTGGGACCAATCTACATATGCAGTAGGTACCCCATGGCAAACCCTGCGGACGGGGAAACGTCTGCAAGCAAGCTGCGCGTCGACGGTCACCTCGTGTGGTGTTGAGAGAGAGAACACTTCGCATTATTCTCCACGGGGCCCACCATGTCATGAATGCCATGCCATGTACACACATACATACAATATACTACATACCGGTAAATAGTTGTCCGGCCGCACAAGGGCAAAGTTCCCAGGCCCAAACTCCTCATATAAGCTTCAAATAGAGAAGAAAGAAAAAAATAAATAAATATCAGAGTCGTATGGGGTATGTCGGGTCACCACCAACGCCAACGCACAACGCACATCGCACCGCATCACATCATATCCCCACGCCCGCACCTTACAGCTTCTCAAACCATATGCACGGGCCCGGGCGCCGCCAAAATCATGCTGTCCGTACTCCCCTCCCTCGCACTCCCCGCGCCGCCCCTCCCGCCCCCCGTCGTACTCCGCGACGACTCGGTATCGCTGCTCTCCGCGCCATCGACCCCGGCGGCGCCCGCCGTCTGCAACGCCGCCGTCGTCGTCGCGCCCGCCGTAGCCATCACGACCCCCGCCCCAGCAATGGCGCTCCTGCTCCCATGCCGACTATTCCGCGACGACCTCCCTCCGCTTCCTCCCCCTCCTCCTCCCTTAGTAACGCCCCGCCGCGCTGCCGGGCCGGCCGCCGCCGCCGCCGCGGCGAGTTCCCTCTCCCGCCTCTCCTCCTCCCTCGTCAGCGCGCGCACCTCGCTCTGCTTCGTCACGACGATCCTTCCCAGCGCGATGCCCTGCGCCACGACGGCGCGGTGGTGCTGGTCGTTGCCGCCATTGTCGTCGCCATCGTCATCGTCGTCGATGTTGTGAATGCTCTCCGCGCGCCCGCAGCTGGCGCTCACGACCGCCCGCGTGTCTTCGGGCCACGACGACGAGCCCAGGTCCTCGGCCGCGTCTCTGACGCCAGTCTCTCCTTCGTGGCTGCCGAAGATGCCACCGCCACCGCCACCGCCGCTGCCGCTCAGCATGCCCGTCGTCGATTCCTCGTCTGCTTCGGGCCAGACGCTGACGCTGGCGCTTTTGCGGCCGTGGCCCCCGCGGTTCGTCGTCGACGAGGCGGCGGCGGCGTGCGCGCGGTCTTGGTAGTGTTCTGAGATGAGGGTTTCGGTGCCCATGATGTTGCCGTTGCGGTCGCGGTCGCGGGAGCGCGTTTGCTTGCCGTACGACAGCGGGTGGGAGCCTGAGTTGTTGTGGCCGCCGGAGGGGCCCGGCTCGCCGTTTGAGTGCGAGTAGCTGCGGTTGGTGGTTTGGCCGGTGCGGTCGCGGGAGGTGACCCAGTGGAGGGTGAGGCAGGAGAAGAGGACTGTGGAAGGCTTGGTTAGCGATGGGGTCTTTTGGTTTTGGGTTTGGTTTTGGTTTTGGAGAGAGAGAAAAAGAATTGTTGTTTTCGTTCTCTCTCTTTTTCTAGTCTTGATGCATCTTTTGGAGATGGAAGGGGGATGGGTTTCCGAGTGCATGTTTTTCTTTTTCCCGTTGTTGTCCATGGAAGGGTGTTCAACATACTTTCAACGTTGCAGCTCAAGAAGCAGATCCACGCAGGTTCGCCATCGAGGACCATGAGCAGGGTCAGATTGGCGATGGACGAGGTCAGAGTGGCGCAGGAGCCGAAGAAGGTGCGGACGGCCATGGTGTGCAGGGTCCCGGTTTGGCTGGACTTGTACGAGTACAGCTCTACAATGGCGAGTGATTAGCGAGAGGAGGATGGGCAGGTGAGCCAATGGCCAAGCTTACGGCGAAGTGGCACGATAAAGAGCGCGGTCAGGTAGACGTTGACGGCAACGTCGAAGATGATGAGCGGCATGAGGGCTCTCTTCTCCATTCCGATGACGCAGGTGCCGTCGTTGACGTGTGAAAATCTCCTAGGCCGGGTCAGCATGGGTGGTTGGAGCCAGCGCGGCGAGTCTCACCAGATGATGTTCAGGATGGCAAGGACGCCATACGGCCCCATTGCGCCGCAGATGTTGAAGATGTATAGCTTGTCCTTGTACCTCGATTCGTTGCTACCGCGCACAATGTACTATTCCGAGCGTGGTGAGCGTGGGATGCGCCTGCACATGGGCGGGGGTCTCCACTTACGGCTTTCTCGACCAGGAACAGGTAGACGCACACCTTTGTCGACAGGTAGAGGGTCAAGCAGAGCAGGATGGCGCCTCTGCAGATGGACACGGTCTCGTTGAGGCCGACATCTTTGAAGACGGCGGTGATGAAGACGAAGAGAAACGAGTCGACGTAGATCAACAGGATGTACCACGCGCCCAGCGGGATGGTCGACCAGCGGCGGATGTGCTGCACGCGGCGGGTGATGCAGATGGACAAGACGCACAGCGTCAAAAGCGACAGGATCATCTCGGCCATGGTCAGCTGGAAGGCGCGGCGCGGACTGGGCTCAGACTCACAGACATGATTCTGCCTACAATGGGGATCTCTGCTGGCGTGTAGGCCCCATTCTGGTCATCCCTTGGCAACCATGTCAACAGCTTCTGCGACTCGAGTGCCACAGGCATCTCGACGTCTGCCGAGCGAAGGGAATCGCAGCGCTGGACGGGGGGGGAGGGAGCTGGAGAGGCCAGCAGGCCTCGGTGGTGGTTGACGGTCGGGGAGTTAATTAAAGGGAAGCAACACGGCGCCCCTGTCGAGGATGTACGATTATCGGCACATCAGGAAGAACCCGGCAGTGTCGATAGTATTGTAGAGGACGGCATGCCGGCAGGCACTGCACCATCGGGCGTCGAGGAAACTGACTCTCGGCGGGCCTGCTGTCGCATTGAAGAACCAACTCTATGCCCACAGATGCGAGTCAGCGGCGCTCGAGGCTGGCAGGCTCGCGTGGTGTGGCGCGGGACAGGGGACAGCCGTTGCTGAGGCGTGATGGGTCTGGCCGGTGCCGAAGTCGGTATGGAGCGCTGCATGTGAGCAGCCTCACCGCCGCCTGGGCCGGTTGGCTGGGCGGAAGTAGTCCCGCCCACAGGCACCCCGGCCGGGGCGAAGTCAAGTGGCACCACGCGCCCCACGACCGCTCTGCGGCACCGCTGCCGACGGGCGACGGGCGACGGGCGACGGGCAACGGGCGGCGGGCGACGGGGGCGCCGCTGGGGCCGCTCGAGCCGGCAGCCGGCCGTCCCTAGCCGCCGTTGAGGTCCATGCCCCTGCGTCGTCAGCCGTGAGCCGCCCCTTCGCTGCTTCTCGTGCTGGATGCCCCGCCGCGGCCGCCGGATGGGGAAATGCGCAGCTGCGTCTGCCGTCAGGAACGGGAAGCGGCGCTCTGCAACTTTTATCTTCCGCGCACGGCCGCCCTGTGCCGCACCGCAGCCGCCAGCCGACATCCCCCATTGGCTCCATTGGCCCGCCATGCCGTCTTTTCTGCACAACCCGCCGTGCAGCGTCCCAGCGACCCAGATCGACCTGTTCTAGTCATGGCCATGCCAATCACTTGCCCTTGAAACCAGTTGGTCTGCGCCGCCGATTCATTGCACTCTTACCAACATGGAACCCTCGCCGCAGCCTACCTGTCGCCAGCACTACCAGCCCTGCCCGTGGCCTGACGATACAGCTGCACACTGCTGCACGGACTATTTGACCGCACAAAAAACCATGTCCTCTGCTGCCTGCCCGACACGGCTCCCTCTCACCTTCCCTTGCGCCCAGACGACAGGGTAGCTGCTCCCCAGACTCCCAGCACCTCAGGCCTGGCCTTCCGCACCCTGCCAATCTCTCACGCTCTCTGCCAGCCCCGCAGTTTCACACCACCACATCTGGCAGCAAATCGCCATGTCCGCGTCCTCGTTCAAGGTCATCATTGCCGGCGGCAGCTTGGGTGGGCTGATGCTTGCCCTCTGCCTGGAGCGCGCCGGCATCGACTACGTGCTGCTGGAGAAGGGCGAGATTGGCCCGCAGCTGGGCGCCTCGATCGGCTTCCAGCCGCACTCGATCAAGGTCTTCGAGCAGCTGGGCGTGTGGGAGGACATCAAGAACACCACCGTGCCAATTCTGTACCGCCAGCACTTTGACGAGAATGGCAAGTGCTTTGAGGACTCGCGCCTGTTTGCCGACATCTACGAGAAGTATGTTTGGGTCCAAGAACCGAATCGGGCTTTGTGTTGATGACGTATTGCGTGAACTGCAGGATGGGCCGCCCGTGGGTGTTCCTGGAGCGCTGCGAAGCCATCCAGATCCTCTACAAGCACGTCCAGGACAAGTCCAAGATCCGCGCCAACACGGCGGTTGCGACGTACACCGAGTCGGAGAATGCCATCACCGTCCAGACGAGCACCGGCGAGACCATTGAGGGCAGCATCCTGGTCGGCTCCGACGGCGTCCACAGCCATGTGCGGACCCTGATGGCCGACGAGATCGCCAAGACGCAGCCGGATCTGGGGAAGGAGATCAAGGAAGGTAAGCATCTTCCATGCCGCTTGCATCAGGCGCAGCTTCCTGACCGCCACAGGCTTCACGGCCGAATACAAGTGCCTTTTCGGAGTGAGCAAGAACGACCCGTCCAAGCCGATGATGGCAGACGGCATGATCCACACGTCGTACTACGACTACCACTCGTCCTTCTCGACGGCAGGCGTGCCGGGCCTGCTCTTCTGGTTCTTCTACGTCAAGATGGACCAGGTGTCGCGCATGCCCAACGTGCCGCGCTTCACCGACGCCGACGCCGCGCAGTTGGTGGCCGACTACGGCAAGACGGTCATCGGCCCCGGATACACGCTGCAGGACCTGTGGGACACGCGTGTGCGCGCGACATTGGCCCCGCTCGAGGAGGGCGTCAGCAAGAAGTGGAGCAACGGCCGCGTCGTGCTCATTGGCGATGCCGTGCACAAGGTCAGTGGATTATTCTTCTCTCTCCACCCAAAACTCCACACTAATAATCTTCCCGAACACAGGCCACCGTCAACCCCGGCCTCGGCGCCAACACGGCCTACGAAGGCATCGTCCGCATCACCAACGGCCTCCACCACCTCCTCTCCCTCTCCCCCTCGCCCACCACTTCGCAACTCCAGGAACTGTTCGACGCCACGTACGAGGCGCACCACCGCGGCCGCGCCGAGACCGTCGTCACCCTCTCCGGCGTCGTCACCCGCTACGAGGCTCAGGACACCTGGTACCTGAAGATGGCGTCTCGCTGGGTGAGTCCGTACATTCCGGATGGCCGCAAGGCCGATCTCTACGGCGCGTTTTCGCGGGCCGGCCCGTGGTTGGACTTTGTGGCGGATCCGGACGTCGAAGGGAAGGCCGCCGAAGGGGCGCCGGCGGTGGAGGCGAGGCTGTAAGCAGCTCAGTAAATCGGCGAAGAGAGACTGATGATGGGAGGGGGGAAATCTTGGGCTGGAAGTAATTTATTGTAACCTCGAAAGAGATCAGGGGGTCAAATGGGATACCAAAGACGTGAGGGAAACAACCATAGTGGAGAAGGGTGAGATGTAGAGGGAGAGAGAGAGAGAGAGAGAGCTTCAAACGCACCATATGAGTGGTTTCCGCTCCGATGTCGCATCTACCCAATGGAAGTTATAAGAATAAATCGATCCTGCAAAAGCCATTGGAATTAATTATGCACCACGTATAAGCACCCAACTTAGTCTTACTCGTACAGAACCCCTCTTAATAGTTACTTCACGGTGCAGGGCAAGGACCTGCCTTCCGTAAACCGTGACTCGACTACGGTCCTTCCGGCCAGCCAATCACCAACCGTCGCGCCAAACCCGAAGGGATATAAAAAGAGCAACGAAGGTTCGCGCTATAATCGGCCCGGCAAGCCTAGATAGACCACATATATGCCCCCACCCCCCAGTTCCTTGTGCAATAATAATACGGCACTCTCTTTCTTTTTGTGCTCGAATCGAGTCGAGTCGTGTCGAGTCGTGTTTGAAACAGCCGTAGTAGGACGTGCGTTGCGGATAGAGCTGCCCTTCGATACGTAAGCGCGCGCGCGGGCGGGCTGAGCGCAAGCGGCGACGGGAGGGAGGGAGGGAGAGAGAGTGTGTGTGTGCGCTGCGCTGCGTACCGTTCGTTTCTCGATCAGAGAGTCCCCGTCAATTGGCGAACGATCGACTGCTTTCGTATCCGGACCGAGCAAGACTCGGATGGGGATGGCGGGCAAAAAGTAAAACGAGATGCGGTGGGTGGGTGGACGGGCCGCGGCTTGGGGGGAGGTGTACAGCTGATCAGTGTGGAAGAGTTCCGTGGTACGTCTGGGTTTGGTGGTTGGTGTTTGCTTTGGCTGGTTGGTGGCAGTGTGTTGGTTTGTGGCCGGTCGGAGATGGGTTGGATGATGTGAGGGAGCCAGGGCTGGGGATGGGGATGTGGTGGAGTGCCTGGAGTATGTGTGTCGCTTGATTGACGGGGTTGGCGTCTAGTTCTGACCTACGGTTTGCGGCTCCCGAGGTATTGGCCATTTTTGGCGGTGACTGACGACGGGTGGGACTATCTGCTCTCATCGGATTGATATTTCCGGCATCTATGGCGCAGCCAGCAAAAAAATGGTTATGGAGATCTTGGGAAGCAACAGAGGAATATGGGTGAGGCGGTTAGTTCCGTCAAGTGGACAGCGAGTATTCTTGCATTAATGCCTCTCCCACGATTCAGGGCTGATAACCGGTTCACCCATACTATAATAAAACTGACGGCGCTTCAGAAAAGATCGCACCAAATCGTGCGCAACCATGGCAACATAGAGACGTAGAGATATAGAGGGGAAAAGAGGGGGAGAGCGAAGTGTATCAAAGAAGCCAAGAAAAAGGCGCCCCGGAAGCTGACACTCATTCGTCTCGCAGTCACACCGACAGCCTGAACTCTAACCCAATGCAGGAACCGAAGCACGACACTAGGCAGAATCGAGCCCGCAATGAAGTACAGCCGTCGTTCAAGCTTCCTAATGAGGTAATCCATAAAGTCTTGGAAGTTATGTATCATGAGGTCGGATATTGGATCTGTCAGACAGTATTCAGGCCATTAGCCAACACCAGACACAGTGCGGCGTCGTACTTTTTCAACTTCGACAGGATGCAGTCTGCGCGATTGGGTTGTGGGGATGTCGCCACCTGCCTGCTGTTCGCCGTCGAGCACCAGTCACTTTACCGCACCGCCCGAGCATCACCTTTCGCCGCGCTGGTACGCTGGGCGCACCATCTCGCGGAACGACAAAGTTCAACCCATGCATTCGACGTCTTTGTCGGTTCCGCCCAAGCCAGTCACCTTGCCTCTGCAGCAGCGTCCCTCCGTGTAAGGAGCGCCGACCATCTCACCGTTGATGTCCGTATCACTTCCATGTACCGGCACTTCCAAGCACAAACAGACACTTTTCAAGCACTCTTGCTGCCCGTATTGCGTAAGGTACGAGCCTTTCAAGCGTGCACCTTCATTCAGCCAACGAAGAATATCTCAAGCAGCAAGACAATACTCAACCCAAAGGAAGGATCCGCGCCAGCTCACGCCAATCATCTTTTCCATCTCGTATGAACGGCGTTGACCATCACACCCTTGACACCCCCCGTCTTGCTTTCGACCACCTCGAAAGCATCCACTTCCTCGCTCTCGAACACGAACCCGCACTTTTCAAACACTCGCCTGCTGCCCTTGTTGTGCGCGAGGAACGAGCCCTTCAGGTTGTGAATGTTCATGTAGTCGACGAAAAATCCCTCGAGAAGCGTGCGTAGGACCGTAGTCATGATGCCTTGGCCTTGGGCTTCGGGACAGAGCCAGACTGTGGGTGGGAGAGGGACGTCAGCATGGGGAACGCGCGAACGACAAAAGTGAATCCTTTGCCGCCAAAAAGAGAGGGGGAGGAAGAAAAGACAAGAAAAAAGAGAGAAAAAAAAAAGGGAAGCAAGAGAAGCAAAAACAAGCAATCAATTAAGCGCCAGCTCTTCCTCCCCGCGCCCACCTTCCTCGGACAAGACAATCAAGAAAAAAAGAAAAGAAAAAAAAAACTCACACCCCATCTCCCACTCGATCTTCGCCTCCTCCCCCGGCCCCAACCCCGCATTCGCCTCCCTCAACCGCCTCCTCTCCCCCTCATCCCTCACCGTCCTGTAATCCGCCCTCCTCACATTCACCTTGCCCAAAAACACCACCTTCTCCCCTTCCTCCCCATCCACCACCCCCCTAATAACCGGAAACGGCAACCCACTCCCCACCCACCACCGCTTCCCGTCCTTCCTCCCTTCCTCCTCCTCTTTTTTTCCATCCCGCCTCACCTCCTCCACCCCCCGCAGCTCCTCCGCCGCCCGCGCCGCGTCCGCCGCGAGCGAAGCGTACCACGCCTCCCAGTGGTGCAGGTCGTACGGGTAGGCGGGGCCGAGCAGGTTGAGGTAGACGCGGGGGTCGTTGAGGGCGGCGACGGCGGCGGGGCCGTCGGTGCGGCGCGGCGGGGTGAGGAGGACGTGGGTGAAGCGGCGGTGGCGGTTGGGGGAGGGGGTACTGGAGGTGGTGGAGGTGGAGGCGGGGGTGATGGTGGAGGAGGTGGAAGAAGAGGCAGTGGGGAGGGGGATTTTGAGGTAGGGGGTGGGTGGGGTTGTGGTGGGGTCGTGGTGGATTGTTGTGACCATTTTGAATTGGGCGGCGCCGGTGCGGGGGCCGGGTTTTTGGTGTTGGTTTTGGTTTTTGGTTTTGGCTCTTTTTTTCCTTGGAAGGTTTGGGCTTCTTTGAGGACGAGAGGCTGTGTTGGGCGGGTGGTATGGGATCTTGGGGGGGGGGAGGGGAGTGAAGAGAGATATGGAAAGGAAGGATTTGGCGTATGAGTCACCCGCTAACTGACGGCGTTGCATCGTTGATATGTATCGCAGATGACGATGTAGCATTGGGGGCCGAATATATCTCCTTGCTTGATAAGCTAGACGGGATTCTTGATTTATTTTTGCGCCCTTTGGTGAGTAGAGATTGGAATGTTCGTTTCGTGGTTGCAGAATGGTGATGATTATGGTTTATATCGACCTCAACACCCATTTTTTTTGGGTTCCGTGCGAAGAGCGTTTGAGGTCGAAACTCTGGGGCTTGATTGACCTATTCGAGTAGGAGACGCAATAACAACTGAGGAAGTGGTACATAAGGATGGTCGCTCCAAGAATCTGTCATGTCCAAAGTCGGAACGAGTAGAGTGGGATGCCCGCAATGATGCGGATAGTGACAAGCTGGTTCATTGACCTGGACCATGTTCATCTTTCTTACTTTGAAAAATGAATTGCATGGCAATTTCTCGCTTTGCTTACGCGGATATGACACGGAGATGATATTGCAAACCTACCGCTTGAGATAACCGAGGCAGAGGCACAAGACCTATGATGGGAGACATTAAACAATCGCATTTGCCATTTTCAAAGAACGATATATGCAGATTGAACTTACACGCCGCTCAGCCCCGACGACTGTATAGCTACGCTCACTACAAGCCCGTGCCTTAGCAAAGAGCATCCCCCACAACGCCCAACTCCTCCGCTCGTTACATATATATCCCTTCCCGCGGTCTCGACCACAATCACCTCCATCCTCCCCCAAAGATTTCCGCCAAACCCGCCCACACCCCAAAGGCCGCAGGACACCTCCTCGGCCCTAGCCTGATCCATCTCCCAAACACCACCCTCCCTCCAACCCTCCACAAACAACAACAACCGCCCACCACCCACCGCAGCATCCAAGCCCTACCTCCCACTCCCACTCCCTTTCGCACTCTCACTCTCACTCCCACTCCCACTCCCACTCCCACTCCCACTCCCACTCCCACTCCTCCTCCTCCTCACCCTCCTCCCCCTCCCCCTCCTCTCCGCCCCCCTCCTCGATCTCGAACTCCTCGCCGCCAACTCCGCCTCCAAAGCCCTCACCCTCGCCTCCAGCTCCACCGTCGCCTGCCGACACTGATGCTGAGACGTCATCGTCGGCGCGTAGCACGCAACGCCGATCCGTTCCCATTCGTCGTCATCTTCATCTTCATCGTCGTCGTCATTTTCATCATCATCGGGATCGGAATCGTCGTCGTCGTCGTCGTCGTCGGTATCGTCGTCATCGGAATCGTCATCGTCCTCTTCCGAATCGTAAGCGGGTGCCGGCGCCGCGGGCTGGTTGGGCTTGATGTAGAAGAGGACTTGGACTTCTTTTTTGGACGAGGGGGAGTAGACGGCGGGGGATGTGACGGTTGCGTGGGCGTGGCGGGGGCGGGGGCGGTGGTGGTAGATGGCTGTGTTGGCGGTGTTGCTGGTGCTGTGGGGATGGCCGCGGGGGATGTAGGCGGTTGGCTGGGTGGAGTTGGGGCCGGTGTGGTAGCAGTGGCGGTGGTGACGTGCTTGTTGGTGTTGGTGTTGCTGCTGCGAGGAAGGTGAGGGTGTGTACGCCGGGGGTGGGGTGTGGCTGCTTCTGCGGGGAGGTGGTTGGATTGTGGTTGTGGTGGTTGTACTGTCATCGGTGAGGGGGTCCATGGTTGGTTTATTGGTCGGTTTTTTTTCCTTCTCTTTTTTTCCGGTTGCGGGGTTGCAGGGGATGTGGGGGCGAGCCGATTGAGGCGTTTTGATGGGTGGATTTGGTGTGGAGTAAATCTTGTTTCGGGTAGAAAAAGCAAGTAGCTGGTCCCGAGCAGCGCGGAGAAAGCTGGTGGTGGGTTCGGAGAGCTTCAAGGGTGTGTATTTATGTAGGTTTGCCTCGGAGCTCGGAATCAAGAAAGAGGTCGATGGAAGGCCGCAGCTGCGCGGAAGTGTCGTCGTGGTGCCACTCAGCGAAGCAGTCGACAAGGCGGTAGACAATGTATGGTGGAAGACAAGGGCGGGTATCACGACATGTGCTGCGCGTCGGGAGTCGGGGAGAAAAGTAGCAGACAAACAGCACAGTCAGAGACACGCAGGCTGCGGAGCTGGGTCCCAGCATTTCTATAAGACCAGTCCTCCTGCTGCCCTGCCTACCCGAGACCGAGCCCATCTTCCGTTCGGCTACCATTCATGCACTGTACATGCGCCAGGTACCACTAAGGCACTTCGGCTGCATGTCTTGGGCCGCCGGGGTGCTGCTGCTAATTTGGTCCCATTGGCCGGTAGCACAGACAGACCTTGTGCGATGGAAATGATGCTGAATGTCTGGCGCTTTTCCATCGCACCCCAGCATCCCGGCTCGAGCTCGGCGCTCCGGTACCTTGATGCATTGCACACTAGCCATGCCATGCCGCTGCTGTGAACCGCGCCGAGTCCTGTTTTCCGGGAGGGAACAGCGTGAGAGTCACCGTGGACGCCGCATCGCCCGATTCCTGTCCGGCGGCGCGGAGGGGGCACGAGCCGAGCGGACGGAAATAGAGGGTCAGAAGGCTGCGAGGCTGGCCAGCTATTGCCTCATCGGCCATCTTGGTCTGGCCCAGCTCAGCCTTGCCCCCGTTGCTGCCCGTTATTGCGTTTTTTCTCCACCATCGGCGGGCGGGCACGGCTACTTACAGGGGCAGGGACAAGGGAATTCAAGTCTCGGACCCAGCCGCCACCGCCGAGGGGGCTGGGCACAGCATCTGCAGCGACCACGAGAACAGCTCCAGTCGGCATATACGAAGCGGCGCGTGCTTCAAAGGTCTTGTTTCTCAGCTCCGGGCCCAGCTGAGACCCCACGAGGCGGATGCACGGAAGAAACGGCTCCGCCAGCTGGGAAAGTCTGTGTCTTGGCCTCGGCTTGACATGGGGCTCGAAGCGAGGGCTCCATCAGTTGCCCACACAACCACTAATCTATTTCAGCTGCGGCTCTCCGAGGATACAGAAGGAGCTTGGGAGACTATTGCCTGGCACGCACACGGGCAGCATCGACATCACGCCAGTGCGAGTCCGACGTGAAGTGATTGCGAAATGTCATCTGTACATCACCCACGACGTTGGTTTTCCCCGCGCCATTGATCGATCAAGCAGTTGTTCCTGATCGCCGTCCAGCATCATCGAGCCCATCTCAGGCCTGATTCGCCACCCCGTCTTCGTCAGTGGCAACCCGCAAGCCACACACCCCTGCTACTCCGCAGAATCGTGGCTCCAGTGCGTCCTGCTCATTACTGTCTACTCCACTATGTATTGATTTGAAACACTTGGCACCTGCCGACTTTAGCTGGTGAATACTCAATTACTGTCATTCCCATTTCTTGTCCTTGTGCTCGGGCCGCTTTTGCCTGAAGATGCGGCTAAAAGTTTTGACGCAAAAAGGATCCGTTTCTTCAGTAGAGGTGCTCAAATGTAAATTAATACGGAAAGGAAATCGGGAATTGCAAGTTGAAGCTGCACTGACCCGGCCAGTTGACCATGGGCTGTGACGAAGACGGGAAGAAGGGACCGTAACCATCGTCTGAGAGCTTCTTTTCACGCTCAGTAGGAAGACCTCTTTCTCTGTCACAGCTCTAGCCCCCACATCTCTCGTGCATCTATCATGCAACAACGGTCGACATCTTAACGACACCGCCTTCTATGCCCTCTAACCCATCCCACACCGTACGACGCCTACACCTCTGTGCAAACATCCCTCGCCATACAGACACATCTCCCAGCCCTACCCATCAAGCACCCTCAACATATCCTCCCTCGTCACAAACTTCACCCTCTCCTTCCCGCGTTCCCTCCCCCTCTCCCTCTCCACCCCATCGATCCTCCTCCAATCCTCCCAGCTCACCGGCCTCGCCCCAGCCACCACCTCCCCCTTCAACACCTCCCACCCTCGCGCATCGCCCTCCAAAAACATCGCCCCCCGCTTCCAATCGTCCACGATCGAGTCCGCCGTCACGAACGCGTCTTCCATCGTGCTGGCGATGACGCCCGTCGGCCCGCGCTTGACCCAGCCCGCGACGTACATGCCGGCGAGGTGCCCGCCCTCGGCGGCGATGCGGCCGAGCCGGTCGTGCGGGATGATGCCGTTGTAGTAGTCGAAGGGGATGCCGAGCGTGCGGAATTCGGGGAGCGGCTCCGACTTGTAGCCGACGGAGCGGAAGGCGATGGCGGCGGGGAAGGTGGTGGTTCGGTCGGACGACACGACGCGGGCGGCCCGGTCGAAGGGGTCGCTGTCGGGGATGAAGGCCGTGTGTTGGAAGGTGGCGCTGGCGATGCGGGGGGCCGAGGCGGAGGCGGAGGCGGTGCCGGCGTTGAACGAGGTGGGCGAGAGGTTGAAGTCGAGGGACCATTGCTTCTGGGCGGGGGAGAGGTCTGGGGGAGGGGCCCCGTTGGGGGAGCCTTCTTGGAGGATCTTCGTGAGGCGCTTCATCTGACGGTTGAGCTTGTAGTCTGCGGGCGGGAATGCATCCGAGGGGATGGGCTTGAAGAAGACATTGGGGAGGTTGAAGAGCTCCCGGATTTCTTTGATGGTGAAGGCAGCCTGGCGGGGGTTAGGTTTATAGGACGGTGCTTGAATCGCATAGAATTGGCACGAACCTGCATGGGTCCTCTGCGGCCGACGATGCGAACGGAATCTATCTTGCTGCGGGAGAGCTTCTCCAAAGCGTGCTCGGCGATGTCCGTCTTCCTCAATTCATCCACGTTGCTCAGCAGTATTCGTGCAACGTCGAGAGCGACGTTTCCTTGGCCGACGACGACGGCGTCCTTGCCCATGTCTAGCACTGGGTCCAAGTTGGAATATTCCGGCAGCCCGTTGTACCAGCCTACAAACGCGCGAGCAGAGTATACGCCTTCCAGATCTTCGCCTGAGATGCCCAATTCCTTGTCCATCGAGGCGCCGTATGAGAACAGAATGGCATCGTAATGCTGGGTCAAGCGAGTGAGCGGCAGGTGGTGGCCAATCTGGACGTTTCCGATGAAGTTGAAGCGCGGCGACGCAGCGACTTCCTCGAACTTCTCCTGGCATTTCTGGGCAGTCTCAGCGTGGAGTCACGGCAGAAGCGGAGGCGCGGGATTTCACCTTGACCTCCGGGTGGTCTGGAGCGACACCAAAGCGGACCAAGCCATAGGGGACAGGCTGACGCTCGTACATATCGACGACGGCATCCGGCACCCTGGACATCACGCGGTAGGCCGAGTAGAAGCCTGCAGGCCCGGAGCCGATGACGGCGAGGCGGAGGGGCCGGCCATCGCGGGCAGTGGCGTAAGTCCTAGCGTTGAGAAAGTCGCGAGCCAGGTGCGCACTGGGGCTGCTCGTCGCGCGGAGAGAGCGGGTGCATGCGCGGCAAACGAAGGGCGCGGGGCGTGGGAGGCGCATTTCCTGGAGAGCTTGGAGAAAAGTAGTGCGGGCTCGGTCGGAGTCGCGGGCGCGCAACCAAGGCACGCAGCGTCATCGCCCAACGCACGCGGCTCAACGCGATCTCGGCTTCACCCGCAGCCCACAACAACACCACCGCCGCTCGTCACGGATCGGCGAGATCGCGATGGCCACGAGTCAGCGGCTCTGGCAACATGCGGAGAGCCGCAGAAGCCGCCCGGCCATCATGCCACTGCACCGCGGACATTGCGCCCGAGCAGGAAACGGTGACGCCCACGGCGCGCAGCCTGTTGCTCGTCGCGACCGAAAGCGACTGCCCGACGCCTGCCGCGATTCCGTTTCAGCTCATGTCTGTCCCACCGCTAACGCAAAAGGTGCCTGGCTAGCTGCCAAAACGAGGCGGCTGCACGCGGCACGGCGGTCCCGCTGCCAGGGTTGCGTGTTGCCATGGAGACACTCGCGCCATCACCAGCCTTAACATCACCAGCCCGCCCACATCCATGCCCAAGCCTACCAAGCTCTTGCCCGCCGCCCACCCTTCTTTGTCTCTCGCCGCGCTGCCAGTGTCGCGCGCGCAGAGCCGGCTGACCCGCGCATTCCTCGCGCCCACGCGTCGCGTCGTTCTTTGATCGTTCCCACTCGCCTTCGACGCGTCGCCCGCCATGCCCGCCCAGCCGTACATGTACAATCCGCCCCAGCGGTGGTCCGCCACCTCTGACACCCTCTACGGCTTCGATCCCAAGGCCGTCACCAAGGCGAGCCGCGTGCCTCCGAAGAGCCCGCCGAAGCAGCAGGACGGCCCGCTGGTCGATTTCAACCGGCATCCCGACAGCTATGCTGCCTTGTCTAGTAGCAAGAGCAATGTGAAGCCAATGAGCCCGAGGGTCAAGGTCGCCATCAAGTCGGTGCGCTGGGTGCAGTTCGGCTTCCGGATACTCCAGTTGATCGGCGCGCTCGGTCTTCTCGTCTGCGTCATTTGCATCAAGGGCACTCAGGTCACCGAGGGTTGGATCATCAGGGTCCCAGTACGTTCACGCGAGACTAAATCTTCCGCGACAGACTTATTTACGCGTCATAGGCTGCTGTCGACATCGTCTGTGATCTTTACGCAATCTACCACCTTGTCCGCCCTGCCAAGAGTCGCGCTCCTTCCAGCTCTGCCAGCTACCATTTCTTCTCCCTCATCATCGACACCGGCCTGATTCCCTTCTATGTCTTTACCGCCCTGCTTGCCAACAGCAACTGGCAAGATGCTCCGGGTACCGATGGACGCTGGCGCACCTTCTTTAACGCCGATGCTGCTACCTCCAGCATCCTGCTCACGACCTGGCTGACTTCCGTGACTGTCGGAGGACTGCATCTGATCTCGATGGGTCTTGGACTCTACCTTGTCCTGATCTTCCGCAAGATCGGAAAACTTCCACCTGACATGAACCCGCTTGAGGACAACCTGACCTCGCGCAGGAGCACTAGGCATAAGCACAAGACCTCGTCCCTGTCCAACATTACCATACCCCCGGAGAAGCGCTTTAGCGATCTGTCGGGTAGCACCGCCATGTCCAGCCCCACCAGGTCTTCTTATGGTCAGGAAGATCCTCTGATTCCCGACGTTCGGACCATGCCGTTTATGGATTCACGGAGAAATTCCAACGTGCCCTACAATCCTCACAACCCTCAATCAGCCCGTGAGTCGCGTGTGTTCGTGCATGGTCGGAACGACAGCATGGTCCCGGCCAAACTCGACCTGAAGAACCTTCCTAAGATGTCTCCGGGGGGCTACGATTCCATGTCACCCAGCTCTTCTCCCGGCAGGTCGCCCGTCCGTTCCGAGAAGTCCAAGAAGCGCCAGTCTCTGAAGAACGACAACTGGTTCGTCCATGCAGAAGGCGAAGACTTCTCCGCCTCAGATGAGGAGGAGGAAGTGACGGCTAAGAAACCACTGGTCCGGCGTTACTCGTTCGAAGCCGATGATGACGGCGCCGTCGCCACCACCACCGTGTATGCGGACATAGTTAACCACCAGGGCCCGCTCTCCCCGCTCTCTGACGGCGAAAACACCGGCCACCTGCGCCCGCAACCGCTCCGCATGAACCCTCCCTCGCCGCAGCCGATCGCGGACCACAACGCCAAGAGAGCCTCCATGCCCCCGCCCATGCCCTCCTTCCAATCCGAAATCGGCTCCATCTCGTCCGAACGCTCCTCTGACATCGGCCGCGCCATGACCATCAACTCGACCGTCACCCGCACCACGGACGCCTGGGGATACTTCCCAACCCACGGCCACCACGGCCACGGCCACGGCCCCGGTAGCCACCACAACGGCAGCGACATCGGCGGCGACATCATCGGCGGCGGCGCCGGCGGCGCCCGCAGCACCGTCGCCGAGCCCGCCGGCACCCACTCCAACTTCTCGCCCTCGCGCAGCCCCACGCGCAAGACGCGCTACTACGGCGACCTGCGCGACGCCCAACAAAGCATCTTGGGCGGCGGCGCCGGCGGCGCAAACAAGCCCCGCGGCATGTTCTTGCAACAAAAGCAGCAGCAACCGCAGCCGCATCATCCTCATCCCCATCATCCGAACCAGCTCCTCAACCTCCCCGCCAACGCCGGCGGCGGCACCACCAGGCGCTCCATGGGCCGCAGCCCCGAGCGCCCCGCGTACGCGCGCGTCGAGAGCAGCCCGCGCGTCGTGAGCAGGAGCGGCGTCGACGTCGAGGTCGTGGACGGCGATTTGGGCGACGTGAAGAGGGGGGGTGCTGGTGCTGCTGGAGCGGCGTTGGCGGGAGGCGGCCGCAGGCTGAGGGTCGTGAGCGGCAAGGCGGCCGAGGAGGGGCTGGCGGGGAATTGGGAGCGCGAGGGGATGACGAGGAGGAAGGTTAGTGGGGTGGTGTAGTGTTGTAGTAGAGGTTTTTATTCTTTTTTCTTTTTACTTGGGGTTTGGGGGGATTTTCTTGGTCTGGATCGAATAGGGTTTTGGGAGGGGTCCGGTTTTGGGGTTCTTTTTTAAAGTGTGATATATCCCCTTCTGTGTGCGATGGCGATTCCGCTAGACGCGGAAGTAGTTTTTTTTCCTTCCTGGTTCTTATTGGGAACGCATGAGATATCGATAATCTGGTATCTGGTATCTTCTCTTGTTTCCTGGACAACGTTCGGCGTTGCTGGATTGGTTTCTGATGTCTCCTGTGTGTGATGTATCACAGAACGCGCTGCTCAAAAGCTCTTCGGCCTAGGAAAGAGAGAAAAAAAAGAAAAGGGATCGCGGGGCTGGCCGACCCACAGTGGGGTCGTCGCGGAGAGAAAGAGAGAAAAATAGATTAATTTACTGGTCTTCAGGAAGATCAGCCATGCTAGCGGATTCCCGGGCTCAGATGACAGTGATAGTGATGTTGTGGTGCAGTATGTGTAGAAAGTGGGACGAGTGGGCAGGACACATGTCTTGGAGAGAGAGGAAAGCAGGGAAGGCGCGGCCGGCGAGTCGAAGCCGTTGTGCAGAGGCAAGAGCGCGCAAACAGAGGGCAACCTAACGCTGAAAGGCAGGGAGGTGATACGTCACCATGCCATCCTCAGCACCGCCGCAGCCTCATTCTCAACTCTCGACAGCTATCCCATCAAGGCACAGCCAAAGCACATGCAACAAACCTCCCGCAGCCTCTCTCAGAACCCGCAGCCATATCCGACCCGCGGCAGACGAGCACTCACTCTGCAACTTACACAGGACACCATGACGCGAAGGACAAAAAAGCTGGTGCTGGGGCCGCCACCGATACCGCGCGAGTGGTCGCTTCACAGCAACGAGGAGATGGAGGTCGAGGGATTTAGAATCAAGGGCACGGCACAGCAGGTCAGAGGCGGAGGCGGAGGCGGCCCCGGCGGAGAAAACGCGGCCCCGGCGCGACGCCAACCAGGGCGCCGAGGAGCCGCCAGCGATCGCTCCGCGCCTCGTCCGGTCCAGTGCAATCCGAACCTCGTCGCGCTGGGTGCGCCCTCCAAGCTCGACCGGTGCAATCCACGCAACCACAAATCGTCGAGTGCTGCTGAGCCGCGCCGCGACGAAGCCTGCGACGACGCCTGCGACGACGGGCCAAGGCTAGCCAGCCTGCGATATCTGACGCCCTACGGCCAGCCGACGCCGCTGAGCGACGAGGACGAGACCACCATGGCGCCTGCTCCCGCGCCGCTGACGGCCCCCAACGGCCACCCGGGGCCGCATCCCTCCTTCATCGAGGTCGCGAAGCCCTACGTCTTCCAGCAAAGGGTCGAGCAATTCCTCGCCGCCATCGGCATGCCCGAGGCCAAGGAGGACAGCATCCGCCTGCAAGGTGTGCAACTCATCGACAACGTCAGGAAATCATTGCAACTGTCCGTCTCCCCGCCTCTCGTCGCCTCCGTACCGAGTCTGACATGGTTAGGCCCGTCCGCACATTCAATACAGCATGTGTTTACTACCACAAATTCCGTCTGATCCACTCAGACAACGAATACAACATCGTCGTGAGTATCTCCGCTTTTCAAGACCATCGCTGCATCACGTTACCTGACTGCTCCCAGGAAGCTGCACTGGCTGCACTCTTCACAGCCTGCAAGATCGAGGACACGCTCAAAAAGTCCAAGGAAATCATCTGTGCCTCGTTCAACCTGAAGCTATCCCCAGCAGACCAGCTCTCCCCCGACGACCCGGTGAGCATCCTGTCTCCAGGACTACCCGAAGCTACTTATTAACACGCAGCGCCTCCAGCAACTGGAGCAGCCCTCCAAGGTCATCATAGGCCTCGAGCGGCTGATGCTCGAAGGCGCCGGCTTCGACTTCCGCAGCCGCCAGCCGCAGAAGTTGGTCATCAAGCTGGCGCGCTGGTGCGCCTTCGCCAAGGACCGTGTCGGCAAAACCGCCTACAACATGTCGCTCGACCTGTACCGCACCTTCGCACCGCTCAAGCAGACGACGGCCGCAATGGCCCTGGCCTGCGTCGAGCTGGCCGCCCGCCTGTGCGATGCCCGCCTGGAGCGCGTTCAGGCTCTCGAATACGCGCGGTGGAAGGTTTCGAGAGCAGAGGTCATGGGTGAGTCCAGCACCACAGCTGCTCTCCCACGCTCCATCCCACTGACCCAACCGTCACCACCACAGAAACCATGCTCGACCTCCTCGACCTCTACACCCACCACCGCAACACCAGCCTCATCGGCCCCCACCACCCGCTCGACACCTACATCAACGTACGCATCGCGCTCAACGTAGAATCCAAGGACGCCCATCTGCCCCGCTACACACAATACGCCACCAGCACCCCCACCCCATCAACCGCCACTACGACCGCCGTCGGCACCCCTACCACCACGACCACCAACACCACCCTCCCACCCAAGCCCGTCACCACAGCCGCACCCGCACCCTCACACACGCCCAACGGCCTCCCCCCGAAACCAGGCACCGCCACCACAACCCCAACACCCGCAACCGCACCAGGCAGCACCATCGCAAACGGCACAACACTCCACCACCTCCCGCCCACCGCACCACAACAGCAACAGCCACAACAGCCACCCACAACAGCAACAACATCGGCCGTCACCCTCCCCATCTCAGCCATCGGGACAAGAGGCGTCGGGGGGACGGTGCGCTTCATGCTGGACCCAGCGCGCGTGCAGGGCGAGAAGAGGGAGGTGCAGCGGTACTTTGTCGACGAGGAGGAAGAGTACGAGGTTGAAGTCGAAGTGGCCGGCGGCGGCGCTGGGAATAGCGATGCAGGTGGGGTTGAGAGGGAGAGGGAGAGGGATAAGGGCAGGGAGAGGGATAGAGACAACAGGGATAGAGACAATAGGGACAATAGGGACAGGGAGAGAGAAAGAGATAGGGACAGGGATAGGGAGCGGGATAGAGATAGAGAGCGGGACCTGAGGGATAGGGAGAGGGAGAGGGACCGGGGGAGGGGACGGAGGTGAGCGGGTGGGTTGGTGGGTGAATGGGATAGCGAGTATACGATTGGGGGAAAATCTAGAAGACGACGGTGAGGAACAAATTGGGGGTGGAACAAAATGGGGGGGGATGAGAAACATGGATGGTTGACATGGTATATACCCTGGGGTGGTTCTCTTTTCTTTGGGCGTTTGCCTCATTGCTAGCTCGATTGTGGAGGGCGGGAGGGGGCGAAAAATTAAAGGGCAACAAGACAAATTCTTACAAATCGAAGGAGGCACGGCGCCCAGTGCAGCTAGCTACCTATCGTGGGTGACTGTGGCCTCGATATGAAATGGAATAGGGGACAAAGCCCACGATTACAGGGCATGAGAAAAGAGGAAAGAAAAGGGAAGATAGAACGGAAATGGGCAGCAAGCAGCCTGGACGTTAGGCAGTCAGTCAGTCGGCCCTCAAGGAAGGAATGACGGACGGACGGACGGGTCGATACGAATTAGAGAGACGAACTAAAATAAGACTCCAGTGCTTCTTCACTACGAAAGAGAATACGGTGAATTACGTATGACCTTCGTATGTACATACATACATACACCAGACTGGCTACGACAAACCCACGATCCATCAATCACTATTTTTTTTCCCCCACCGCCAGTCGCCTCACTACCACCACATACGACCTTCCCTACTTGAGACTACGACCACTTGCGCAAACGCCCTACCCAAAAATGCATCCATCTTCTGCCCATGCTTTCCCCGCGCACGCCATGCTGCCGTTTTCTCGAATAGTAGTAGGAACAAGAAAAAAGTATAGAAAGGGAAGGGAAGGGAAAGAAGGGGAGGGAAAAAAAAAGGGAAAGCAAAGGAGAGGGCAAAGAGAGAGCTAGCTGTCTGTCTGCACCAAAGGGGGATGGGGTGAAGGAACAAAAAAATCATTCAAGATCGATAGCGAGAAACCGGCCTCCACAAACAAGACTGATTTGACTTGTACCTCCCCAACTTTTCTTCCCTGTCGTTTCCCTCCAATTTATCCATCCACCCATCACCGTTAAATCACGAAGAGGGTCCCTCATCCTCGTCGTCGTACAAAGCACCCTCCATCCGTCCGCAAACTATGCAAAGGAAGAAGAGAATAAGATAGAGACTATTTCTTCCGCCTCCCCCCCTCCCCACTCCTCTCTTTCTCCGTCTCTCTCTTCCTCCCTCCGTCAAACCGTAGAGAGAGAGAGAGAGAGAGAGAGAGAGAGAGAGAGAGAGAGAGAGAGAGAGAGAGACAGAGAGAGAGAGAGAGAGACAGAGAGAGAAAACTCAAGCAGCCATCCACCGATCCTCATCATCCGCGACGTCGAACTCCTCGGCCCCAGCCCCAGCCCCAGCCCCAGCCCCAGCCCCAGCACCACCACCACCACCCGCACCACCACCACCACCACCACCGCTGCTGCCCACCGCGCCAACAGCACTCCCCGCCTCCCCCATACTCGCGTCCTCATCGCCATTGTCATCATCAGCCACCGACGATCCGGGCTTCGACGACGACGAGAAGCCCGATTGTTGTTGTTGTTCAAGCTTAAGTACCTGGGGGGAATATGCGGCCGAGGATGGCGGGTTGGGCGCCCACGAGAGCTGGACGCGGCCGATGGAAGGGATGTCTTGGGAGTGGGCGATGAACTGTGTGTTTTTGGTGTGCGCGGAGCGGATGTTGTCAGTCAGAGTGGTCTTGATGCGATCGATTATGAGGGAGAGCAGAGAGGGGGAGGAAAAAGAGAGGGGGGGAAGAAGAGCAGAAACTCACGTTCTCGGCGATGTAGCGTTCCTTGAACGAGACGACCATGGCGTTCTTGCCGCCTTCCGGGTACGCGTCGATGCTGTCGGATTCGTAATTGTTCTGAGCGAGAGAGCGATATGGTCAGTACGGTTGGGACTTGGACTCTTCTGCCTCCCAATCTCAGGCTAGCGGGGGGTGGCTGTGAAGCGTAAAAGGAGCGGGAAGAACAAAAAAAAAACCTACGAAAAGGTGACTCCGCAGCGCCTCGTCCCTGTCGGGCGTCCATTCCTCCTCGCCGTTACCGATCTTGACGACGACTCTCCGCGGCCTAAAGTCCAGACGCTTGACGGCACCGCCTCTGGGCATGCCGCCGTAACCACCACGGCCGCGGTACCCGCCACCGCCTCTGGACGAGGGGTCGTAGCCGCCGCGCCCGCGAGGCGCCCAGCCGCCACGTCCGCGGAAAGAGCCCCTACCGCCGCGACCGCGATACCCCGTGTTTGCGCCGCCGTAGTTGGGGTCGTTCGGGTTGATGCCCATGCTCTCCGCTTCTGCCTCCAGCTGCGCGAGCTTCAGCTTCAACGCCTCCGTCTGCGAGCTGTCCCTCTTCTCGTCCGCGTTCCCGTTGGCGTTGGCGTCCGTCATCGATTCCGACCCCTCCGACGACTTGCCGTCCGCGTCGCCGCCCTTTATCGTCGGCGAGCTGGGCGAGTCTCCGGCCTTCTTGTTCGCCGCCGTCTTCGCCGCCAGCTTCTCCAGCAGCTTCTTGCGTTCCTCGGCCTGCGCCTTCACCTTGGCGTCCAGCTCCGCCTTCTTCGCCTCCGCTTCCTTGAGCTTCTGCTGCTTCTCCTCGTGCGCCTTTTGCGCCTCCTCCTGCCTCCGCTTGATCTCCTCCATGTCCATCATCTCCTCGTCCTCCTTCTTCGCGCCGCCTTCGCTGCCGCCGCGCCTGCCGTTCGCGCCGCCGCCGCCGCCATTGGCAGCATCCGAGTGCTGGTCCGGCTTGAACCAGTACACCTTGACGAAGCGATTGTCGAAGATGACCTTGGGGCTGTCGTACGCCCTGCGGGCGGACGAGTAGTCGTCGTACTTGACCAGCGCGAGGCGCTTGTAGGCCTGCATCGTGACCTCCTCGATGTTGCCAAACTCGGAAAAGAACTCGCGCACGGCGTCGTCGGAGAACTTGTCTTCGGGGATGTTTTCGACGACGATGGTCGTGATGGAGCGATCGTGGTTGGGGCCTGCCTGTGAGAAATGGGCGCGACCTCCGCGACGGCCGCCCTCGCCGCGGCCACGCCCTCTGCCTCCACGGCCCCTCTCGTGATGACGGCGGTCGCCGTGGCCGTTGGCTCTGCGGTCCGTGTCGATCGCGGCGTTTTTCGGGTCGTATTCTGGAACGTTGCGGTTAGCAAATCGGGATCTGAGAGGCAACGCCTGTCCCGGCCATCGTAGTGACGCCGGAGATCCAAAGCGAGCCTGGTAGAGCGGACTGGGGTCAATCCCACCATCGGTAGGCACGATAATCGGGTCTGTGCCGTGCTCGTACGGACACGCGCTGCCTAGTGCGCAAAAGCCTTTGGTGTCGTAGTCGCGACACCTCTCCCCAATCTTCCGCGGCGGCGGCGAGCCCGCGTGAGGGAACCCGCTCTGGCCGAAGCTGTTCGGCGCGCCCATGCCCAGCTGCGGCATTCCCGGCAGAGGGAAGCCCAACGCCTGCATGGCAATGAGTGCGCTCATCGGGTTGTTCGGGTCGACCTGCGGGAAGCCCTGCGGGAGATTGGGCATTTGCGACATGTGCTGCATGGCCTGCATGGCCGCCTGTCCGGCGCCTGGCAGGCCCGCAATGCCCATGTCTCCTCCGTGACGACCTCCCCGGCCACCTCCACCCTGGTGGTTCCCTCTGCGCATCTGCTTGATGGCCCTGTCTCCACCGGCGCCGCGGCCATAGTGAGAGTCCTGGCCATCGCGCTGTTCGCTACCTGCCCTATCTCCCCATGCCCGCTTGCGCGATTGATCTGCATTGTTGTCATGAAAGCCGTTCTGAAATTGTGCGCTTGGGCGTCTATTACCGTTGGCGGGACCGCTGGGCGGGTTGAAAGGCTGGGACTCGGCTTGCGTTTGCTGAGGTGCGTCGTTTGGGAGGTACGATTTCGTGCGAATGGTGTTGAAGACGTCGTCGACAAACGACTCGGTGTCTGCACACAATGTCAGCGTTACTCAAAGGTGTAACTCTCGGTGCGCCTACGATCGCGCAAGAAATCCTCCAAGTTCTCCAGGCAATTGGCCTTCACTTGCTCATCCGAACCTTCTGTCCTCACCAGAGCTAGCACGTAGTCGGCGAGGACGTCGGAATCGGCATCAGAGCTACTGCTGAGGTCATTATTCAGTGGTTTCGCAAGACGATCCAAGCGCGGGGCCATACATGTCTTCCAGCCTCTTGACAATCCATTTCTTCAACACTACGGCGTCGTCGTCGCTGATGAGCATCTTGGCAGACGGCGATAGCGGCGATTAAGTGGGGGTGCGAGGCGACGAGGTTTGCGCGGCGGAATGTATGCCGAGCTGCTGAGACGCTAGCTGAAAGTTCGCATTGAAGTGCTGCGCTGTGAGTGGAATGGCTTCAGGTGTCGAGGGCGGCGGGCGCATGAATGGTCCCAAAATCACCGGCCAGAAACACGCTATGACGAAGAGCCCCAAGACAACTTAACCCGCGCCCGGAACCACAGAAATTCCGCACGTCACGTGCATTCGCACAGAATCAAACGGCCGAGTCGCATTAGCCCAACGGTGCAGAAATGCCATAGTAGTGTACCAGAGCGACAGATCATCTTTTGTGTCATATCGTAAATTTCTAGCGCCCGGGATACACAAAAAAAGAACCATGCTAAAAGAAAAGGACATCAAGTGCATCATCAATGTCGGCCTTCTACCGAGCGAATACCCCATGCGAATCATCCGTCATATCTCTATATTGAGCCCGTTTGAGATACCGATATCCCCTCCGTCGTTTCCGGAATGGTGACAAAGATGATGAGCATTCCTGATGATGCCCCGAAGACCGGATATTTTTGAGAAAAGGGTTGCTATCTTTTTGCGACAGAAACCGCTTACAACTTGTCGTAGTACTGCGAAGATTGTTAGCTGTTGGCCCACATAAAAATACCATCAATACAAAACTTACGTTCTCGTAGCCGGGAACCTCGGGCTTGAGACCCTTCCTCTTGCGCATCTCCACGACGACCTGGCCGGGCAGCGAGGTGTTGTCCAGAGGAGAACCACCGGGCAGGATCTGCCAGTGGTCGAAGACGGACTGAGGGAAGGCCTGGCCGGAAGTGTTGGAGCGGAGGTCGGCGTTGAAACCGAAGGACTCCTTGACGGGCAGGTAAGCCTTGACGTTGAACAGGGGAGTACCAGGACGCTGGGCCTCCTCGAAAACGTGACCTCTCCTGCGGGTAAGGACACCGTAGATACCACCCATGGCGTTCTCGGGAACCTGGATCTCGACCAAGAAGACGGGCTCGAGAAGACCGGGGTCGGCGAGCAGGGTAGCGGCGTACAGGACACGGCGAGCGGTGGGGATGATCTGGCCACCACCACGGTGAATGGCATCGGCGTGAAGGGTAACATCCATGACGTTGAAGCGGACCGAGCGCATGGGCTCCTCGGCAATGGGACCCTCCTTGGTGGCCCACTGGAAACCGGAGACGACGGAGTCCTTGATTTCGTTGAGGTACTGGACGGCCTTGGTCTGGTCAACCAGGAGGTTGGCGCCGTTGGTGTCGGGACCGAAGCACCAAATCTTACGGGCATCGGTGACATCCCAGCCGTGCTCGTCGGCAAGGAAGCGGGCACGAGCCTTGAAATCGTCACGCGGGCCGATCTTGCCAGCCTCAATGTCCTTGGAAACCTCCTCGCTAAGGGGCTGGGCGATCATGTACAGACGGTTGTGCTTGTTGGGCGACTTGGACAGGGCAGTGATGCGGGACTCGCCACCGACGGTCTCACGGTACTGGACGACGGGGTCGGAGATGCGGAGAGGAACACCGGCGTGGTCCTCCTCGAGATCCTTCAAGCAAATCTCAAGGTGGAGCTCACCAGCACCGGCAACAATGTGCTCACCAGACTCGGAGATCATGGTAAGAACGCAAGGGTCGGACTTGGACAGACGCTTAAGACCCTCGACAAGCTTGGGCAGATCGTTGGCGTTCTTGACCTCGACGGAGCGCTGGACGACAGGCGAGACGGAGAACTTCATGACCTTCATATTGTGGGCAGTCTCGTCGGTGGTGAGGGTACCAGACTTGAGCAGGAACTGATCAATACCGACCAGACCCAGGATGTTACCGGCGGGTACATCCTCAATGGGCTCGGTGAAACGACCCATCATGAGAATGGTACGCTGGATGGCCTTGATGAACAGGTCCTCCTTGCGGCCAGGGGTGTAGTTGGGGCCCTGGATGCGGACCTTGAGACCGGAGCGGACGGTACCGGAGAAGACACGACCGAAAGCGTAGAAACGACCCTTATCAGAGGTCGGCACCATCTTCGAGACGTAGAGCATGAGAGGACCCTTGGGGTCGCAGTCACGGATACCGATGGCGCTGGCGTCATCGTGGGGACCCTCGTACAGAGTCTCCATACGGTACTTCTGGGCGGTGGCGGGAGAAGGAAGGTGGAGAATCATCATCTCCAGAAGAGCATCAGCGGCAGGAAGGAACTTCCTCATGACGACCTTCAGAAGCTGCTTGCCCTCGAGGTCCTTCTCGTCGCTGGTGAGCTTGATCTCGAGCTTCTCGAGGATCTTGGGGATCTCGTCCTTCTTGAAGTTCATGACGGCGTTGAAGATACGGAAAATGGGGTCAAGGATGAACTGGTTGAAGGCACGCTCGCCGCCCTCGGGAGCGGTCTTGGTCCACTTCTTGGTCTTGGGGTTGAAGTAGTTGTCGCCCTGAGGTCTAATTAGAAATCGGTGGGCAGAAATTTCGGGGGAATTCACGACTTACCCAGAGACGCTCCATCATCTTGTTCTTGTCAACACCGAACTTCTTGGCGTACCTGGAAGCGAACTGGCGGACGGTGAAGGCCCAGCCGTGGAGACCGGAACCGAAGGCAACGGTACCCTGGTCGGGGTAGACCTGGACATCACCGAGGACCTTGTCGAAGTAGGTGGCAATGACGACGTTGACGGACTCGATGACACGAGAGAAGTTCTGGTACAGGTCCTCCTTGGAGACCTGGAGCTCGAGAAGAGCACGGTCGACCTTGTTGATGATGACGACGGGCTTGATACGCTCACCAAGAGCCTGACGCAGGACAGTCTCGGTCTGGACGCAGACACCCTCGACGGTGTCGACGACGACGAGAGCACCGTCAGTGACACGGAGGGCAGCAGTGACTTCGGAAGAGAAATCAACGTGACCAGGCGAGTCAATCAAGTTGATCAAGAAGTCGTTCTTCTCGGTCTTGACCTTGATGTCCTTGAGGTCCTCCTCGTCGATAAGCTGGGCGTACAGGGAGATGGCGGTCGACTTGATAGTGACACCACGCTCCTGCTCATCGGCACGAGTATCGGTGAAACGGGCCTCACCAGCCTTGGCGGCGGAAATGATACCGGCGCGCTGGACGAGGGAGTCCGTAAGGGTAGACTTGCCGTGGTCGACTGCAGTGGCTGTCAGCGCCCGACGGACTGCACGGGTGGTGTTGCGACTTACCATGGGCAATGACGGACATGTTCCTGATGTTAACAGGGCTGTCCATGAGACCACGGATCTTCAATCATGTCAGTATTCCGTCCATGGTTTGCAGGCGCAGCTTTCGCATGTAGTGTACATACCTCCTCGACGGTGAAGCTGCGAGCGAATTGTCAGCAAGCGGTCGCATGGGCGCAAATCGCGTCGCAGCGCCTACGCCGGGGGAGACAGCGCTGAGGCTGCTCGGAAGACGCAGGGCGCGGCGGACGACGGGAGCGTAGACTTACTTGACCATCTTGGCGGTGTTGTGCGGATGTGTCTACTTGAAAAGTCTTTTCTCGAGGAATATGCGATACCCCGCTTTTGAGGTGTCGGGCGACGCTCAGCGGACGCTGTGGTTGGTAGGCGCTGCCTTGGGGGAGGTGACTTCGATCAAGCAACGACTTTTGAAAGGCCGGGCGTGCCTTTTAAAAGCTCGAGGTGACCGAGGGCGAGTGTGGTGGGGAGAAAGGAAAGGTCGGACTGCAGGTGGGATGATGAGGCACAGGTTTTGCGCTCTGGGCGGCGGTGGGGCTGGCTTCGCTTAATGCACTCGGTGCCCAATGGTAGAGCTCGAGCGCGGCAATCCACACAGCTCATCTGCCCGCCACCGTCGCGCCCGTCGCCCGTCGAAAGCACCCCGCCACCGCCCCCATAGCTCGCGACCCGCATAATGGTCCTTGGATTCCGATTCCTGGCACCGCAATTCTCACCAGAGCCACATTATCCGTGTCAGAGGCAGCGGCGCGGATTGTGAGTGTCGCGGGGTCCCGGCGTTTAGGGCCTTAGCCCCGGCGAACGGTAACCTCTCACGGCTTACCGCGCAGGTTGACACCATGGTCGAACGAATCGCTTGCGGCTACGGGCTTATAAGGCCATCTCGTTTGCCATTGACTCACTACTCCTCCCTTGCGGTGTCATACCGCCGCATGTTTCCCAGTCACAGAGCTGATCTTGTTGGAAACCTGCCCCCAACCAATCGGACGCCTAGTTGGGCGACGCGGCTGCCTGAAATCCAGAACCCCACTTCACGTGACGAGCCGCAAGTTCACCCAGCATCGCAGCTCGAGACACGGAGTATCCTATGTCCTGGCTTTCCTCAGGATTCATACTGGAAAATCCAGCTGCCGACTTATGGGCCCTGCTGCACCAATCTACCCATACCAAACTGCACGGACAACATACACTTTCTGATCGACGTTCCACATCATCACCTTCCTATTAAGAATCTCATACGATTTGGATTTGTGCGGTCAAGACCGCCAAGGGAAAAGATTTTCGAAACAACTCTAGTATTACTGGATCCACAATGAAGCTGATGCCAGCTACGACAGTATCCGTTCTTCCGTAAACACGAGAGCACGTGATCATGATGAGATTCTTGGAGAGCCAAACATAATTTTGGACAACGACTCGGCTTGGCGAGTTGTCAAGCACTGAGATCTTTCTAGCTACGCGGAAAAGGAAAACATCAAGAACGACGGGATAAAAGGTAACGGCAGTACACGAGAACATAACAGGAGAGCAGGGCCTCGATGCAATCCCCGCTGTCAACTTTGTCCGGCACAGAAATCAGAGCTTCGACACCCTTCCCATCTCCTGCTTCGCCACGTCTCTCAAGACCCTCTTCAGAATCTTGCCACTTGCTGTCTTTGGAATCGCGTCCACAAACACTACTCCTCCAGCCAACCATTTGTACTTCGCCAGCCGCTCACTGACCCATCGCTTCACATCATCCGCAACCAAATCAGTCGCACCGGCCCTCTTCACAACGTATGCACGGGGAACTTCAGACTGCGTCTCCTCGTCGAACACCCCAATGACACCCACATCCAGCAAGTCCGGATGCGTCAGTAGGACCGCCTCCAATTCTGGTGGGGCAACCTGGAAGCCACGAACCTTGATAAGTTCCTGCTACTCGTTAGTGCATATTCTCGAGCATTTTCCTTAAAGAAAAAAAAGATCGAGTGTGGAATACGGAGCAACCGGAGCAGTCACATACCTTCTTCCTATCCACCACCCGGAACACCGGGCCCCTCCCATCCCCCTTATCCACCGCCTCAACCACATCCCCCGTATGGAAAAACCCCTCCTCATCCCACTCCTTTCTACTCACCCCACCCCTCTCCATATCCACATACCCCATCACAACCGTCGGCCCTCTCACACAAATCTCCCCCCTCACCACTTCCCCCCTCCTTCTCACCACAACCTCCTCCCCATCGTCCCCCACAACCTTGACGTCCAACCCCGCCACCGCCCTCCCCACGAGCCCCTCCCCATCCCTTTCCCCCGGCCCCCACTGCGTCGCAACACACGTCGTCTCCGTCATCCCCCAAACCTGCGACACGACCCCCACGCCGCCGGTCCCGCCCTCGCCCACGGGACGATCCAACAACGCCTGCAACGCCGCCTGCGTCCCCGCCCCCAACGGCGCCGCCCCGCACCGCACCCACCGCACGCTCCCCAGCCCGCACGCCGGATCGCGCAGCACCGTGGGCGGCAGGTTCAGGATCGCCAGCACGCACGGCGGCACGACGATGACGTCGGTGACGCCGTGCGCGCGCACCGCCCGCAGCGCCGCCTCGGCGTCGAAGCGCCGCTGCACGAAGGTCGTCCCCCCCGCCGCCAGCGTCGTCACGTGCAGCGACGGCGCGATGGCGGCGTGGAAGGGTGGCAGGAAGCAGAGGCGCCGCGCGTGCGCGTGCCACGGCGGCTGCGACGAGAGGTGCGCGTGCGGCGACGTGTGAGCGTGCGCGAGGGCGTGCTGCGCGATGAGGTTGGCGTGCGTGAGCGGCACCGGCTTGGGGAGCCCCGAGGTGCCGGAGCTGAAGAGGAGCATGGCGGGCGTTGTGGCGTTGGGGGCTGGCCGGCCGGTGCTGGAAGGCGAGGGGGCGGGCAGGCGGTGCCAGTCGCGGGAGCCGTGGTGGAGGAGGGTGCGCCAGGAGGGGTGGGTGGTGGTGGAGGGTACGTCGTCAGCGGGCGGCGTGGAGAGCGGGACGTGGTGGTCGAAGAGCAGGATGCGCCGTGCGTGTTCGTGGGCGAGGAGCTCGGTGCCCATGGAGGTGGCGAGGATGGCGGGGAGGAGCTCCGGCTCGCCGATGACCATCTTGACGCGCGAGGCGCGGAGGTGGTGCTCGAGCTCGAAGGGGGTGTAGGCCGGGTTGGTGCCGGTGAAGACGCAGCCGGCGGCTATGATGCCAAGGACGAGGACGGAGTAATATATCTTTTAAGCTCTGTAAGCGAGATGCAGCCAAGATGCATGCTGGTGCAGAGAGGCGCAGACGCACGTCGCTGAACGAACTTATGCAGACAGTATCGCCGGGTTTGAGACCCGCTTCCTGGAAGCCGGCAACCAGCTGCCTGATTATGGTACGGGCCTCGTTGGCCGACACCGAGCGCGAGGGGTCCGAAGCATCAACCCAGAGCTACCACGTTTTCCGTCAGACTCCCCACATAGGTTGAGCTGCAAGGAGGTACTTGGGTACTTACGGGCTTATCCTGGTCATATTTGGCATCGTCGAACCCCCAGGACAAAATGTCCTTTGTGCTGATCTCGGGATGCTCTGGAGATAGGTACGGCATCGTGGAATGCGATGGATACAATCGATAGTTTGAGGAGAGGGGAGCATAGGTGAGAAGGGATAGGTACAGGTGAGATTGTATTTATCTCTTCACCGTCTTACATGGTCTTACATACCCCGCGAAATCTGACAGGGGTTTTATTCCCGGTCAGTACGGCTACTCGGCTACGTTGGGGGCGAATTCTAAGCGCAAGAACGCAGTTAGATCGTGCATTCCATAACGGCCAACTACAACGGCTAGCCTCTTCGCACAGGCTTTAGAGTTATCCGGCAGGCTCAACAGCATGATCAAAAGTCCCACCTTCAAAGATAAAAACATGGGTAAGAAGTACAAGAACAGGGCTCGTTCGCGTGTCTAGCCCCGAATGCTGATTGGCTCGGACTTTATGGAGCCCTGTCGCTGAGTGAGAAATGTGGCGCACGAGAAAGTATCTAATCCATCGGTCCATCACTATTCCTCTTCTGTCTAGCTACTGCTTATCTTTTCAGCAGGTATGCCGCGTAATGCGCAACCCAAGGTGGCTGATGAGAGAGGATACCATGCTCCACGAGATCGAAGAGTGCTTCGGTCAAGATCGTGCCGCTCCACAACGATCGTATTGCCCCTTTCACTGATCTCTTTTGTAAGTGTATCCTCGTTTGAAACTCTTGTTCGTTGACAAAGGAAGCACTATCTGCCCGTCTCCCGCCTTCATCTTCATCCTCCGCTGTAATCAAGGTAAATAATTACGACAGTACTCCAGCCGCAGGCATGTTCTTGGCGATGGCGCGCGTTCCTGAATGGACGATTCTGGTGCACGCCGGATATCAAATGCTACAGAGCGTTGGCCAGGGCCGCATGCATCGTTCCAAAATTACGAAGGTGTTTAGGCATACGCTCTAGACTTTGTAGTTCCTTGCTTATCCACCAGCTCGGCCTTGAGTTTTGCTGGGTTGTTGTTCGGCTGCGTTAGAGGAAGATGTCAAAGTGTTCGAAGACTACGTAGTAGTAGTTCAAAGTCACATAAATAATAGTGATCCCTTCTCGCATTTAGGCTCCCTACAATGTCAAGTCTGTCACCGCCGGCCAGGGGGCACTGCGCCAGAGTTGCATTGCATTACATTGAAGCCGTATAAGAAAGGTCAGACGTCCGGATATACATTGCGAGCTTGCTCCTTTCGGGAAAAGTTCCGAGCATGGTTCGGTCTGATTAAGAAGCCAAGCACCGCTGCCTAGCCAGCCACCTAAGGCTGTGTGGAAGTTAAGCATTTTGAGTGGATGAAACATGGGCCGCGAAAGCTTGTTTACCCCCTTCACCTTTGACTTAAGGAGATAAATCCCTACCACAGGGAAATGAAGAACCTTCTTGACAGAGACTTCGAACGAGAATCCCTACAGGTCCTATATCTTAAAATACTGTCTTGTCTGGTTCAATGCATCTTGTGGGGTACAGGCCGCACTGCCTTTGTGGACTGCGTATTCTCACACAAATTGTTCCTCTTTTCACAGTCCTCCGGTGTAGTACGTTGCATTGAAATTTGCCCGAGGATAATGTTCGGTATTTCAAGCATTCTGTTCAAGTGATGGATCAGACACGCATGTACATTGTCGTAGTCTTTTGACAAGGTAGAGCTGTCGGGCAAATGAAGGTAGCTCACTTTATCAAGCTGAAATGGTTAACGAGCTGTCAAGTTATGCTGTCGACCTTGAGTTACGGCGCCACGCTATTACCCATAATGGCATTTCCTTCGAAATCTGTTAATGAAGATCGAATGCTGATGAGAACTCAATTAGGATTTTGATTTCTTCTTAAGAGACTTGAGAAGAATACCCGCGAGCTTCGATGGTAGAGAACTTCCGCTCATAAGCGTTCAGTTCAACCGAAAAGCTGCTGTAGTGGTGAATATTAAATACTTCTTTCAAACCCCTTCCGTTCTTTTTCCTCTCGCATGCGCAAGAAAGTCATTTCTCGGTCTGGTTAAATCATATGACTCCTTTGTTGATGTTAATGATGTCTCTTGTTTCCCCTGAAGGCTCTTCTCTTACTCCTCCTCAACATCCTCGACGGATGCGGGCTTGGCCTCTTTGACCTTTGGTGTGTTGTGTTCAGTCTTCTGTCTCTTGGTGTCAGGCGAGCCAGCGAGCTTGGGTTCAGCAGTGGGAGGGTCAGGCAGACGCTTGGCCAGGTCTTCCGCTTCGGTCTCAGTCTCCTTGCCCTGTTGGGTAGCAACGCCATCCTCGGCGGTAGGAGGGAAGTATTTCCTGCAGCGCGCGCACCCAAAATCCAGACATCAGCATACGAAATAGGACATCCAAGCCGAAAACCGAGGGACAGAAAAAAAAAGAGAGAAAAAAAAAGAAAGACTTACGGCAGCACCCTCAAATACTCACTCTCATCCTTCTCCAAGAAATTGCAAAACACAATCCTCTCCAGCCCGCCCTCCTCGTCCTCATCCAACCACCTCCTCACCTCGCCCACCGCCGTCTCCGCCGCATCCCCACTCGGATACCCATAAGCCCCCGTGCTCAGCGCGCTAAACGCCAAACTCCTGCACCCATTCTCCCGCGCCAGCTCCAACGCCCTGCGATAGCACCCGCGCAGCAGCCGCTCCGGCTCGCCCGCCCCGCCCCGCCTCTTCGCGACCCAATATATCGGCCCCACGGCGTGGATGACGTGCCTGGCCGGCAGCTCGTAACCCTTTGTGATTTTCGCCGAGCCCGTGGCGCAGCCGTCGAGGGTTTCGCATTCGTCGCGCAGGTCCGGCCCGGCGGCGCAGTGGATGGCGCCGTCGACGCCGCCGCCGCCGAGGAGCGACTCGTTGGCTGCGTTGACGATGGCGTCGACGCGCAGCGTCGTGATGTCGGTGCGGATGAGCGAGATGCGTGCGTTGTGCGCGGCGTTGGGCGGCGGCAAGGCAGCAGCGCCGGCGGTGGGGGACGAGGGCGGGGTGAGCTTCTTGCTGGCGTAGAGGGCGGCGAGCGTGGGGATGTCGGCGAGGGGGACGATTTTGGAGGCCATTTTGGCGAGTGGGGGCATGTGTTTGGTTGGTTGAGTGTGTCGAGTGTGTGGTGTTGGTTTGGTGGTGCGGGTAATAGGTGGGAAGCAGCTTGGGTGAAGCTGTGCAGAGGAGGAGCTTGGGCCACGTCGATGATGTAACTGAGTATAAAGTGAAGCTCCGCCCGTGGAAGTAAGGGCGCCGTTGAAGGAAGTTAAAAATGTCGGGGAATGAGCGTCTTTACATACGCAGGGGAGCTAGTCTAGAAGTGACACACAGAACGGGCCTACCTACCTCCTCCTCACAAACACAAACAGCGCCTCGTCCTTTCCAGCAAAACTCGGCAGCGGCACCTGCGCGACTCGCTCAAACTCCTTCCTCTCCCTCGCCATCCACTCCGCAATCGTCTCGTCCTTGAACCCAGTGAAGCCATTCCGGTTCTGCGTCCCCGCAACCACCACGTAATCCCCCCGATACGCCCTCAACACCCTCCCCGTGAAATCCGCACCGACCTGTGGATACACCAACAACAGCACATCCTCCCTCGCGCCGCCGCGGCCCTCCAGAAACTCCACCCCATCCATCCACACCGTGTCCCCGATCCACATGGTCCGCCACTCGCTGTGCGCATTGTCCACGGCCGCGACGCGACACCCGGCCGCGCGCCGCAGCTGCAGCGCCCAGTACCCGTTGCCCGACCCGATCTCGACGACCTCGCGCCCCGGCCACCGCTTGGGCCGCGGCGCCGGCGGCGCGTGCTGCGTCAGCTGCGCGACCGCCGACAGCGCGTCCCACGTCGGCACCGCGCACCCGAAGTGGTGGTAGAAGACGGGCAGCACGTGGTGCGAGATGCGCGTCTGCGCCGTGCCCGGCCACGGCCCCGCCCACTCGAGCGCCCGGCACGACCACGCCCAGTAGTCGTAGTATGGGTTCGCGAGCGGCTGCTTGCGCTTGTTGGGGAGCGTGAGCGTGAGCGGGGTCGTGGTGGTGGTGGTGGTGGCGGTGTCGGCGGTGGGGGACGCGAGGTGGAATTGCGATTGTAGGTGCGCGGCGATGGCGGCGCGGAGCGAGTCTTTCTTCGCGTTGGAGGCCAGGCCACGCAGGGCGGAGGCGGTCGAGGTGCTTGGGGAGAAGATGTTTGTGTATGCGGCTATGTCTGTGCTGGGAGGTGGCGGGATCTGTTTGGAAGGTGTAGGTTAGGGTGGGTGCTGAAATCTCGAGCTGCGGGGTCTTGGTTTTGGGCGCAAAGCCCGTAATGATGGCGGCTTACTGGTTTGTTCTCGTCGTCGACATACCAGCCATGCAGGCCGTGCTGGCCGCCGAAGCCAATCGCATGTTGCACCTGGTCTAGGGTGACCTCTGCGGTGGCGCGGTATACGTAGCTATCCTTTGCCGGAAGATTGAAAGCTTTTGTGAGGGAGCCACGGAGATCGTCATCTTGAGGGAGTAGTTCTAGGCTCCATGACGACAAGAACTCGTCTGGGTCGAATGGGGCGCGCGAGCCGATTGTCTGCGGCTTCGTAGGTGCGGGTGGCATTGTTTGGTGTTGAGTAAATCCTAGAGCGGGGCAGCCGATCCGATGACGTCCGCGCCCCGGCACCCGCCGAACTCAACACCATCGTGGACCTTTACTTTCCGTATTCCAAATTCGGATCCAAGAATTACTCAGCAATATTGAACCAGCATACCTAATTTACCGGGTTCAATACACTGCTCATCAACTGCGCATTACACAAGTCGGTGAGGGATTTGGCGTTCGTAGAAATTGCGGACGAATTGGAGGCTGAGGAAATGAAGCAGAGAATGAGAGAGCTTGGAAGAACTATCGGGGGAGAGGGCTCTTTTTAGTGTATGTGACGTGAACAAGCGAGGAGAATCGTTGGAGTTTCCAGCAGGGTACGACCAAGAGTTTGAGAAAGATCCATTCCCAACAACCTCAGCATCCAAGAGCTAAATATCCGAAATAATCATCCCATCCATCCCCACTATTTCCAACCCAGCCCCTTGGACTCTCGGAGTATAGCGATATGCTCACAAGTTCCGCAAAGCTTCAATCGCGCATCTTAGTCGCGTTGTGACCCACTGGATTGTCCCACCAATGTATAACAGGGCTGATCCAGAATGCCACAAGTGCCGTCCAGCCCGTCTGCCCTCTTTATGGATGTGCACGCAAAGCCAGCTGAAATACATGTGACGAAGGTCCCGAGATGACATTGTCAGGCTGGAAGCTCGAATATTTGATCGACCGTGCCTTGATTGTGCTCTTCACGATTAATCGTTGGATGGGCTTGTCCGTTGATCGAGTAGTCAAAGGAGAGTGTCCGATCAAGTGGTGCTGAAATTTCGGTTTCCCTGGAGGTACGTGGGGTTTGAAAAGCTGGATTGAGGCCTCTATAGGGAAAGTAGGGTTGTGCCTCGGTGGCCAAGAGTTGCAGCTCAACTGCAGTCGTGTCCGGGTCTTAGTACTAACACTTAGCATGACGCTGATCGGCCACAGGGGTAAATCCACTTACTATGCCTCGTACGGCGACGAGTGCGGTGAAATGTGAGGTATGCCAACGCAATGCTGAAGAGAGCACCAAAGAAGGCAATGATGACGCCGATGAGGTTAATATAATCCCCGGGCGAGAGTGTGGATGACCGTTTGAATAGATGCTCAAACATTGCCGAAGGTTAGCGAGATGTTTTTGGAGAATGATAGAGCAACCGTGTCTTAACTTGTAGACGCTATGTTTTGTTGCAAATGCCACTATAGTAACATTGAAACAATCTTCTCGTAGCAAGGCGGAAGTGTATATAAGAGCGTCAATAACGTAATCCATCGGCAATTTTGGCGAAGGTTGTATATAAGCGCCCGCTCCGATCTTACTGGCGGGGAATGCGGTGCGACACACCAATGAGGGCGCGATTGGCTCTTATACGGAAGGAAGGCTTGTAAAAGGTCGTCGCTGTGGGGTTAAACTCCGAAGGATCGCTATCCTGGCCGAGGTCGAGTGTGGCTGTGGCCCTGACCTATGACAATGTCGCCAAGATACTAGAAGAGGATGCCTGTAGAGCCTCACCATGAAAACGAAATAATGTAATCCTGACCTATTACATTAAGATACCTAAAGATTATCCTCGTGCTTAGGATCTTCGCACTAGGGGTCGTCTGCATAATGGTGTTTTACAGACTCATCCCCGGGCTGTGTAGCTGAAAGAAACCCGTTGCGCTGCTAGGTTAGACTTATCGGCTTATACATCGCAACTTGCACACAATCCCATGCATGCCGACATATATGAAGAGCAGCCGTTACATCGAAGTGTATGGTTGGCGGTATCGACAGCCCATTGGTGGTGCAGTATGCTTTTAATAATTCACGGCCCTGGACTGGCTTCCCCTATGATATGTTCAGCCTTGTGCCTCTAACGAGAAGTATTCGGTCGAATATACCGGGGGCGAACATCTGTTTCCCTGTTGTGAGGGCATATATATATCCAAGCTTCCTGGACGGTATCGCGGGCAAAGGACAAGCCCTTGGTCAGCTGTGAGCAGTGGATCTGCTCTGACAAGAGCCATGGATACTAAAGCAACCTAGCGTGGCCCTAAGAGTAGCCAAGTTAGCACCGATTAACTTCGAGCCTCATGACACAAGCACCCCGGAGCATATCAAATAGGAAAGCCATCAATCATTCCCCAAAAAAAGAATCCCCCCTACACACAACGACTAAGTGTATATATATATATATCCATTCAAACCAAACAAAGTTCGTTCGCCATCCCTATGCAATTATCCACAATCAACACTTTTGAAAATTTCCCCTCTTTCAAAGAAGCGAGCCGCTCAGTCCCAGTTCTTGATCTTCATCGTGCCGTTCTCCTGCAGGTTCTTGTGCATGTTGAACGCCTGGAACAGCAGGTGCGGCTCGTGTCCCATGCCCTTGCGCAGGCACTCGTACTCGGCCTTGTTGAAGTAGTCTTCCAGGATCGGCTTGTAGTCGGGGTGCGAGCACTTGTTGATGATGACGCGGGCGCGCTCCTTGGGCGAGAGGCCGCGGACGTCGGCGAGACCCTGTTCAGAAATGTCAGTTTTTCGCTGTTTCTTTTGAGAAAACGAGGGAGTGGGTGGTGCATATAATGACGTACCTGCTCGGTGACGACGACATCCAAGTCGTGCTCGGTCTGGTCGACGTGCGTGCACATGGGGACGATGCAGCTGACACCGGTAGGGTCGGTCTTGCTGGGGCGGGTGCTGGGCGTGTGCATGATCGAGTACTTGGAGCTGCGCAGGAAATCGGCGGAGCCGCCGAGGCCGTTGAGCATGCGGCTGCCCATGACGCACGTCGAGTTGGCGTGCGCGTAGATGTCAACCTCGACCGGCGTGTTCATGCCGATGACACCCAGACGGCGGATGATCTCGGGCGAGTTGGACACCTGTTGCGAGCGCAGCAGCAGCTTGGGCGCGTACTGCTCCCAGTTGTCGTAGAAGCGCTTGAAGCCATCCGGCGAGAAGCGGATCGACGTGGCCGTCGCGAAGTCCAGGTTGCCGCTGTCGAAGAGGTCGAGGAACGAGTCCTGGAGCACTTCGGTCCAGACCTTCAGGTTCTTGAAGTCTGCACCGCCGGACTGTGTGATTCGTTAGTTTTTGCCTTTCACCCCACGTCTCCTTTCCACCCTTCCCTCCCGGATTTCTGGGTGTGAATCTGAGAAACTTACGGAAAGACCACCGACAACAGCGTTGGCAATGTTACCAATACCCGACTGGATGGGCAGGAGGTTCGCGGGCAGCCTGCCGCGGTCGACCTCATGCTTCAAGAACTCGATCAGGTGCGAGGCGATGGCTTGCGAGCCCTCGTCCGCGGGGGTGTTGGGCTGGGTCTGGTCGGGGTAGTCGGACTCGACGACGGCAATGACCTTTTCGGGGTCGACGGGGATGTGCGGCGTGCCGATGCGGTCCTCGGGAGCCATGATCAGGTAGGGCTTGCGGTTCGGCGGCAGGTCGGTCATGGTGATGTCGTGCAGGCCCTCAAACGAAGGGGCGGCGGTGTTGACCTCGATGATGATCTTGTCGGCCATCTGGATCAGCTCGGGGCTGGCGCCCACGCTGGCGCCGGGGATGATGCCGCCGTCCTCGGTGATGGCCGAAGCCTCGACGATGGTCACGTCCAGCTTGTTGTGCGGCTTGTTGAGCGTGTAGTAGCCGTACATCAGGTCGACGGGGAACATGGACAAGTGCTTGTCGAAGAAGTTGATGTTGCCGTTGTTGATGCCCTTGGCAATCTCCTTGCCGACCTGGTGAGGGCTGCGGCGCTCGATCATGTTGAGGCGCGCCCAGCGGTTCTCCGTTTCGGCGCCCGACGACGCGCCCACAAACAGGTTGTACTTGAGCTTGCCCTGCAGGCCATTCTTCTCAACGTGGTCGGCCAGGGCGGTGGGCACCTTCCTGCGGTGTTGGGTGAGCAATTGGCGGGCCAATGGCGGGGTCAAAGCAGAGGCTTACTTGGGGTAGCCAACGCCGGTGAAGCCGGACCAGCCGATGTACGAGTTGTGCGGGAACAGGTCGATGAGGTCCTCGGCCTTTGCGAGCTTCTGCAGGTAGGACGGACGCCTGACCCTGCTCCGGAGGAGTGCGGACGCAGCCATTGTTGCTGGAGCTCTCGGGAACGACGCGGCGGAAGAGACGGAAAGGAAAGACGGAGAGAGTGGGGAGACGGGCAATTGAAAAGGACGGGCTGAAGCTGCGGAGAGGAGGGGAGAGAGAGCGTTGTGGCGGGAGATGAGCAGCGGCCGGAAGCTATGACAATTTGCTCGGACGGAGGAATGGAAGAGGTGGTATATGTGCGCGCGACGACCCCACAGGCCCTTGGCGACTGAGCACGACTCTGGGGCAGCAGGCCGGGGTGTGGCCGGGATGGGCCCGACAGCGTCCCAATGCCGGGCGGCACAGGGCTCAGCGATAGCGCGGCCAAAGGAGCTGACGAGGGGGTGGGCGACGAGTCGAAGGGCCGGGCGGTGGTATGATATCACATCGCCGCAGTCCGCCGAGTTCCCGCCGCTCCGCCCGAGCGCCCTGTTCCAGAACGCGTCGAGTTGCGCGTGCATCTCGCGTCTCTCTGGCCCCACCAATGAGTGCGCCAGTTGACCAATCCAGCCGCCTTGCGTGAATTCAACAGAACGTCAACTCTCCATCCCCCTCCTGGCTGCCTCGCGGAACCGGCCGCCTCCACGCCCCTCCTCTCCAGTTCTCCAAAACGCGATTGACGTCGAACCACTGCGCGCGGGCCGCCTCCCGACGAGCCTCATCACCTCATGCCGCTCCGTAACGAGGCCCTTGTGATCGCATCCGTCGCTAGCGCCAACGCCTCGTGGCCTTGCGACTCAGTGAGGCGGCCGCACCGACGACCGCGCTGACACCTCCCCTGACACCAGCCGCGCCTTGCGAAACTTAACATCACAATAATTCTAAACGTTCCAGCTAACCCCTCCCCACCGTCAGCAATCGCCGACCGGACCCAATTCTTGCGGTCCCAACGCCCACCACCCCGCAGGGTCCAAGTGGAGCCCAATCCCAGCATCCATCCACCACCTATTGTATTGTAGCGCCGCCGCTCGAACAGCGGGATCGGGACTCTCGAAGTATCTCTTTGCTTGCTTGATTGCATCGTCGTGATCGTTGCAATGATAAGCCTACACTATTAACTGGGGCCTGGCTGAAGCTCCCGATCGGATCTAGATGCAGAAGACGTCTTTCATGTAGCTCTGACGTTATCCTATATTCATACGAACGCCCCAGAACTTGATCCCCCACCTCTCCTCACCGTGATGCAAACAACATGCAATTACCCGTGGTCGGACCCGGCCGGCACACATCCTCAGCCCTAATGACCGGGCCGGTGTGTGCACGCCCCCTCCGAGACAACAAAAGAAGAAGAAAAGAAAGGCAAAAAGTCAACACTACTACCTATCACAGCTGACGTGTCCCCACAATCACTCCACCCACCTGATTCATGGGAAGGTGGAAGAAGAAAAAAATAATACCACGAGCAGTGGTGACAAACCGTAGAAGTAAACGATTTCATGCAGCTGAGATGTATGTGTCATCACATTCATTATGTACATCCCCCATGATTGCCCCAGTTGTCGATGGAAAGGACCTTGAAGTCTATATAACTGTCAAACGACCGACTCCTCGTCGCACCTGTACTCCCCTTACCCGCCTATTCCATTGACCGGTTACCCATTCCTTCGTCCAAGTACCAAGGCCAGAAACACAAGCGCTGGATTCCTCCGATGTGTGTGAGAGAGAGAGAGCAGAGACCAAGGCGCGACGCCTGCAAAAGCAAAAGGGAACAAAAAAAAAAGGGACAAACAGCCAGATGAGTGATAGGAACCATGAAAGCGACCCGAGATGCAAGAAAACGTAGCCCGCCGCCATGTCCGCTATGCAGAAAAAGAACAAATCACCAACTCCTTCAACGCCACACCAAAAAAAAACTGCCCCTCCAACAAAACAAAGAAAAAAATTGGAAATATATGCCAGTTCACACGCAGAATGGTATCACCCAAACGCCTGATTTGCACATGCCTTCGACCCAAGCTTCCCAGCCAAAACCCCCCACCACGTACCCTAAACAGTTTAGCAAACCTCAACGGTGCGGTGCGATACTGACTTCCATCAAAACCGCCCTTTCCCCCCTCTCCCGTATCTACCACCAGCACTCTCCGCCAAGCAAGCCAAAAAATAAAAACCCGCGCCGCGACCGGACCGGACCGGCCATCTATCTGCTCCGATCTCGCATCATGCGGGCCGAGACTTACTTACTCACATACCTACCTACTAGTTAGAACCTCACGCGACCCGCACCCGCGCGGCAGCAGCCCCAGAGCTCCTCTTCCCGCGTTCCGTCTCGCTGCTGCTACTGCTACTATCGTCAAAAGCGACTCTCTTCGTAAACTCCATCTTCAGCGGACTGGGATTCGCCGTCGACGACGCACCCGCACCCGGCGCGTGCGCCAGGTGCGCCGAGTTGTTCGGGCTGCTGCTCATGAAGAGCAGCGAGTCGACGGCGTCCATCTCGGCCTGCTGGCTGGGCATGCGGAGGATGCCGGCGGGCCGTTGAGTACTAGTAGTCGTGCCTGTCGGCTGCCTGGTAGTACCGCCGGCCGCCGGCGTTGCGGGTGCGCCGAGGATGTCGGGGAAAGGTTTGGTGACGCGCACCTCGGGCCGGGGCTGGGACCCGAGCATGGGCGGCGGCGGGCGGGAAGATGATGTTGTGGAGCGGCGATGCCGCTTGGTGGGGCTGAGGTCTAATGCCGGGGCGAGGGTCGGGGCGGACGATGCGGAGCTGCTGAAGGTGGAGGCGGTCGAGGGGCGCGCATCCTCGTCGGTTGGGTCCAGCTGGGTGAGGCCTGTGTGCGGGAAGAGAATGGGAAAATGATTAGATAGGTCAGGGAGAAAAAAAGAAGAGAGCATCCCCCCGACGAGATGTTTAAAAATGCCAAAGGGCCCACCTTACCTGTCGTTGGACCAAACATTCGGATCCTTGACGGGCTCCTTTGCGCGCCTGGTGTTCCCAGATACCGATCTGACGGGTCGGACAGCGCGCTTGGGCGTCTGGTGCGTCGATCATACGCGTGGGGAGAGTCGTCCGTCGCATTCCTGAACTTTGCCGAGGTAGGTGTCTGAGTGGCCGAGCGCGACGTCCTTTGTGACGTGGCTGCCGTCTCCAGCTCCTCGATCGACTGATGCTCCCACCCGTTCTGCACCTTGACCATTGCATAGGAAAGACGCGTCTTCAAGTCGGCAGACAGCTGTAGAACGCCAAACAGTCAATGAAGCTGCTTCAAGGACGCGTCCGCGTCGCGTCGCGTCGTATTCTCACCTTTCCTATCCTGCTCAGGCTTGACAGCGCGCCCATGTTTGCCGAGGGGACGCTGGTGCAGAGTCCGGTGGTCATCAGGCTGGCGCTGCTGCTGGGGATCTTCACCGCGCCGCTCGCGGTTCGTTTCGTTCCTTGCGATATTGTGGGAGTGTCGACGGCCATGGGGCTCGCGGACGACGCATTCTGGAGCTTCTCGGCCATGATTGTCGAGGGCTGGGGCGTGACTGCTCTGGATGGTGACCGGACGTCCTCCTGATTGGCGGGTGGCGGGACAGGCTGGCTGTAGGGCGGGCACTGGCTCGAGACATTTGAGGTCGCAGGCGAGGTCAACTCCGTGTCGACGATTGATTCGGTGGAAACATTGCTCTGGGAGGACAGGAGAGCGGGCGCGTAGCTGACGCTGCTGGACGCGGAGATGTCAGACTCCTGTGACGCGGGCAGCACGTTCACGTCGGTGGTGATGGTGGTGTTGCTGGGCTGGGCAACGGCATCGCGATGGCTCTCTGCGACGCGCGTCAGTCTCGGGCAGTCCTTCGGCGCGACATATGTAGAGAGCAGTCGACGCGATGAACTCACCGTGGGCGGCGGGGTGCGCTCGCGGCGCGGGAGCCAAGCCTGGAACCGCGGCTTGAGCGTCTGGCCGCAGCGAGACAGCCGCGTCGGGCGCGACAGATGCCATGGCGGACGGGATCGGGCGGGCGCAGTGGTGGGAGAGCTGGAGGCACGATTCTGGGACGTGTTCGCGCCGCTGCTGTCGACGGCGGATGACGGCGTCGTTGCTGTTCGGACCCGCCTGACGCGTGACCGGGGGGTGAGCGGGATGCGATGCGAGCGAGCGGTCTTCGCACGCAGCGCAAGCGGAAACCCGGGCAAAAGCGAGGCCGAGGACTGGAGGATGCAGGTGTAACGCGTGCCGCGATGCAAGCGTCCTATGTCTGGCGGCCAACAAAGAACGGTGAGGGTAGTTTGGCCAGCGGCGCGAGACGTACGCGGTCTCCGCCGCGTGCTCCCGTGCCTTGAGCGTCCGCCGTGTCCGCCGTATAGCCGCGCGCGCGCGCCGCAATAAACACCGACGGGACGACGGCCACGCGGGTGCCTGTGCGCTGCCGTCGCGACGGGCCATCGCGTCAAATGAAGCTTTGCCATTGCCTGCTACCCGATACACGCCTCCCCACCCCTCTGCTGCAGTCCGCTTTTCGATGATGTGCATATGGAAAAAGCAACTCTAGATCTCGGGTAGAATCCCTGCCGCCCCCAATGAACGCCGGGAAATGCCTGTTTGCAAGAACGAGCTCGCGCCGCCATGCACGTAACCGCCCCCAGATAACCACGAGCTCGGCCGCGTCAATCTGCGAAGAAAAACATCAACCCAAAAAACGCGACCCATCACCTTCGTCTCTTCCCGCCACGGTTCGCCGCCGCCTCCTGAGCCTTTCTCTTCCGGCCCTCTTTGCCCCAGTACTCGGCCTTCTCGCGCTTCTCTCGCTCCGCTCTCTTCTCCTCGTTCTCCGCAACCTTCTTCCGGTAGCCCTCCCTTCTCTTCTCTTGCGCGTCTCTGCGCTTCGCCACCTTCTCGTTGCGCAGCGTCATGACCTGCTGCATGAGATTCCGGGCCACCCTCTCCTCCTTGCCAGCCACAACCGCACGCTTTTGCATATACGTTTCCTTCTTCTGCTTCTGCATCTGCGTCGGCTGCGATGCAAAAGGCAGGTCTTTCGCAAGCTTCTTCGGCACTCTCAGTGCGTTGAAGTGGCGTTCCGCGCGCTCAATCTTGCGATAGGCCGAGTTCTTTTCCAGGGGTGTCTCAATGCCCTCTGCCCGACGCACTTCGCCCGTGAGACGCATGCCCTTCCAAGCGCTATCCTCGCCATCCTCTGCGCCCGACAGGTCCAGCAGGTTGGTGACTGCGTTGTAAAACTTGTGTGGCTTGATAGGGAACCACGCCCTCAGGAAGACAATATCACTCATGAGCACCTTATCCTCGAAAGTTGCACGGAAGCAACCCTCTGGTTTGCTGAGCGCTCTCTTGATCTGGCCACGAATGCCAGACACAGTCTTGATGCTAGCTCCCTCGAACTTGGCAATTTCCAAAGATGTGCCGAACATGTCTTTGATGAAAGCCGTGTTCTTGAAAATCTTGTAGGGGTGACCAGTCAGCTTGAGCTTCTTGACGATCTCAAAGCTTTCATCAACATTCAAGACCACGCCGGTCGCCGCGATTCGGAAACCAGGGTTTTTGTTGGAGAAGCTCTGCACACAGCAGAAACCCGTGTTTGGTGCGATTAGCGGTCCGTAAAATGTACCGAAGCAGTGCATGTGCTCAGGAGTGTACTTGAGCATGCGGTTGCGCACTCGCGAATCTGAAATGCTGTAGATGGGCAAACTCTGGAATCTCCTCCAGCCCAGAGAGAAGATGAGAGGATCGTTTGTCTTGAGAATCTTCTTGTGCCAGCGGTGGCGCTTGATACGCACCTGAAGGTACCCAAAGCGGTCCTCAGTGGGCGTAAGACCGCCAATGATGACCGGGAAACGCGGATTGAAGTTGGCCGAGAACTCGTAGGGTACGTTTTCGAGTACAATGCGAGCGTATGTGCCTGCCCTGTAGCCCTCTACGCGGACTCGGGACTGGTCGTCCAATTGCTCGAACTCAGCGCGGTTGATGTCCAGCTGCTTTTGAATAGCAGCCTTCTGTGCGTCATACCAGTCGTCTTCACCGAACTCTTCGCCTTCCCCGCCCTCTGCCCGTTCGTTGGTCTTGTCGTTGGCGAAGCCGGCACGATCTTCTTCTTCGAACCTGAGCCTGAGCTCTTCTTTCTTTCTCGCGTTCTTATCACGCTCCTCCTGCATCTTGGCTTCCTCGGCCTCTTCACTCTCCTTCTCACCCACAACTTCTCCGGTCTCAAGGTCTTCAAAGGCGCCGTCGCCTTCATCGTCATCCTCGATGCCTTCAAATTCATCTTCTGAGCCTTCATCATCATCATCTTTTCCGAGTCTGGTCGATGCAAACCTGCGGCGCAGAGCCTCCAGGTTATCCGCGTCGGTCCACTTCTCCTCCAGAGCTTCGTAGTTATACTCCGGAATGGCGCGGTCTTCGCCATCCGCCGTAGAGTTGTTCTTGACGGCCTTGAAGAACTCGTCTGGGTCTTGTTCTTCGGCATTTTCATCTTTCTGCTCTCCCCTCCATGTCTGGAGAACTTCAGCTGGGGACATAGAGTCATTATACATTAGACGCGCGAGCTCAGTCGTCCGGTAAGGTCGTTTTTTGCCGTGGGCTTTTCTCGCAGTCTCTGCAAGGTTCTCTTTCCATTTCAGTGCGCCTTCGTCGTCCGAGGAACCTTCGTCTTCACCGTCCTCGTCGCTGAAGTCATCGGGGTCTTCGAGGTCTTGATCTTCGACAGAGGAAATCGAACCGAGATCGGAGTCGCTGTCGGCGAATGCAATGTCGTCTTGTTCATCCCCGTTCGCAGCTTTATCGTCATTGTTGCGGAACGCGCGGCCAAGCCGACTTTCCTCGATGTGTCCGGTGTCGTCCTCGTCATCTTCTTCGCCGCTTCCGAGCATTTCCTCGTCCTCGTCCTCCTCATCCTCGCTGCCATACTCTTCCTCGTCCTCCTCCTCGACTCTGCTCGCAAGACGAGCGTGGCGCCGACTGGTTCGCCCCTTGTCATCAGCGTCATCATCTGCCGCATTGCTGCTGACTGCTCCGCCGTTGCTAAAGAGCTTGAATTCCTTGTCAGCCTCGCCCAGCAGTCTTCTCTCACCCTGCAATCCGACAACAAGTTGTTCGCCCAAGCCTCGTTCTTCGTAGTCTGCATTCGGGTCGAATGTTGGCTTCTTCACATCAATGTAGACGGCGTCTTTGTCGACCAAAACACCGCCAACGTCGGACATGGGAGCGAAGAGGACCTTCTGCTTCTCTCCGAGTCTCCTGCTCTTCGACTTTCCGGTAATCTGCTGAGCAGCCTTCTCTTGGAATGGCGTAGGGCATGGATCTGGCAATGACTCGATCATCGACACATTCAGATCTCCTACACCCGGCACGTGTACCCTAGCACCCTGCGCTGGGAAATTTGTGCCCCTCAGGTAGCCGTATAACGCGACGGTTCTATCGCACTTTGCATCCTCCTCAATATGGGTCGGTGGGGTGATGTCGAGGAAGCGGTCGGCCACGCAGTAAGGATGGGAGTTCCTCCACACGAGCGGTCTTGGGTTCTTCATGACGGACAAAAATCGCGACAAGTTAAGGACTTCGCGATCCGGGTATCTTCCGTTCACCACGCCAGAGAGGTAGAACAGCTTCGCGCCCTGGTACAACTCACTCCAGAAGCGATGTTTCAACCTCTTCTTTTGAATGCTGAGCGCCGACTGCTTCTTGAATAGATCCAGGTGGGTCAGGATGCCAAAGACATTTCCAGGCATACCCGTGGAGCTCAGCACGTTCAAGAACTCCATGGTCTCCATCTCGAAGCCGTAGTTGCCATCAATCATGAGCAACACAATATCCACGACCTTGGCAATATCAATCATTGCTGCGAGAGAGTCTGCCGGGGTTTCAATGAAGGTGAGCCGGCGGCGCTTGGAGGTAACGACGGTTAGAGGGCCGATGGGATGCGACAAGGTCTGCTTCGTGTAGCGACGGATGAGGGATTTAATCAGAGTCGACTTGCCAACCTGCACTATAATGAGCGGTTTATCTCATAATCGGAGCACTGGGGTACATACACCTGGAGGGCCGACGACAGCGACGACGATGGGTGGTGCCTCCTCGGGGAGGCGATCCACCAAGGGAACATGGAGGCGCTTCTCTTTGATCTACAATAGAGTCAGTATCTGCATGCGGCTTCGAAGCACTGTAGTGCGTACGTCATGAGAGCGCGTGGCCTGCTTCTGCAGCTTCCCCGGGTTGGCGAAGGCGAAGGCCTTGGGGTTTGCTCCTGTGCATTGCGGTCAGCCCAGCAGCCCGAGATGGCAAAATCGGGTGAACGTACCCCCCGTCGGCTTCTTCTTCTCCTTGCCCGTACGATGAGGCTTGTTAGTCTGTTCGGACATGTTTGTTGCGCTGTGAGCCTCACGCAGATCGCAAGTCGCGACAGCTTCGCGGAGGAAATTTTGGCTGGAGACCTTGGCGCTAGTCCACAATAGCGCAAGGGTGGTTTGTTATCGATAAGAGGGTCGCCGACTCGCCGACCCCGGTGGGCTGGCTGCCCCTCATTGCACTGCTCAGCTGGCGCCGCACTCTCAGGCTCGTGCTCAGCACCACCCGCGGGGAGCTTGCGTTGGACGCGTCGCGCGGAGGGCTAGGCCGCAGTGATACGATGGCCGCCGCGCTAGCCAATACCTCGCGTCTCAGACGACGAACATGAGGCGGTTTGCGGCGCCCAGCTGACCGCCACGTTATCGTTGGCTCCGCAGCTGGGCAAGCGCACGTCATCGAGCGCCTAGCAGCGGCCTTGATTGTGTGGAGGGGGAGGGGCAACCTGATACAATAGGTACATAAGCCCGTTCACTCACCTCGGACCCTCTTCCCCATCATCACCACCATCTTCAGCTCATCACAATCCTGCTCTCAAAAACCCTTCGTCGATCCATCACCACAACTGCCAGAATGCCTGTCATCAACGTACGTACATGATAGCTGTTGCTGCTATGCCACGCCTTGTTGTCGTTGCTAACCCTGCATTCAGGTCACTCTCAAGGAAGGCGCCAGCGCTGAGCAGCTCGACAGGTAAGACCACTGTCATCTCGGCCTCCGAACATACGCTGACTCCCAGCACAGTGCCAAGAAGCAGGTCAAGGACCAGGGCGGCAAGGTCACCCACGAGTTCAAGCTGATCAAGGGCTTCACGTACGACTACCCCACCTTCCGGCCCACAGAGACCCCATCCGCACCACACACCCCTCCATCATAATCGAGACACAGCCACCACACCATTGCCCAAACACCTTGTTGTCCATGCATCTGACAGAGCCATCACAGCGCCGAGTTCCCCGAAGACACCGTCCACAGCCTCGAGACGAACGACCACGTCACCGTCGAGGCCGACCAGGTCGTCAAGACCCAGTAGACTTGCTCTGGCTTGCTCGCCTGTCGAAAGGATCGATGCCGCGCTGCGATGTGTAGATAAATCGTCTCGGACTGGTCTGAACACGCAGATGATGGGGATCGTGTGGGAGGCATACTGCATACTTTAGATACCCTCACGAATGGATAAGACCATGATCATGACAGCCCAAGCTTGTCGCACGGCCCCGTCATTGCCGATCTATCGGATGCCGCCTTGCATGATCGCGTATGCTGTCTTTGAAAGAGACATGCGATGTCTGGATTCTAGTGGGTAAACATAGTCCCATGGGTCCCCGCATGCCATCCACTGTCACGCCGAACATGATCAATGTCGCCGTGCCGACCAAGCCATAATCTGATGCTAAAAAGCGATCGCAAGTCTTCATCGGTGGCTTTGAATTGCGTCATAAGGCATCTGCAGCAGTCACGTCGCACACCCGCGGCCGTACCCCAGCATGTGCCTGCAGAAATAGCACCCACGAATGGAACAATGCAAACGTAGAAAGGCAAAAGGCATCGTCTCTTTCTCCGGTACCGGCATGGATACTGATGGAATAAAACGTCGTAGCGTACCTAGCTGTAGGCGTAAGTAGAACACCGAAAGTGTGAAAAAGAGAGATCTGTGGATTTGTAGAATGCCCGAGGGGAAGGACGCTTGAATACATCTTCTGATAACTACTAATGAATGTAATACTTGTGGGGAGAATTGCTTGAAGCGAAGGACTAGATAAGAGAACAGCCGACAGTGTCCTAGTATGTATGCGAATAATCGCACATGGTACATACAACGCAAGAGAAAACGATGGAATAGGTAGTGGCTTCCGCAGAGTGTATGTGGAGTAAAATTCCCTTGAAAGATCATGGTCAGTATATATATAAAGCAAGTAACACGTGCTTAACATAAACAAAACCTAAATACTGCCACTGACCTAGAAATAGCAACTAACTGAATAGCTTCACCATCGAGTTACCATTCGACGAGTGGGGCCAACGGTACCTTTCCCGATTTCCAGGCCCAACAGATTCACAGATTTATTCAATCACACCTAGCAACTCGAAGCTTGATCGTAGAATGCCTTGCCGCTCTAGCTGAACTGTAAAAACTACACGGATTGACTGACGTTACTCGTCGTCGACATCACAAGCCGACATGAGCTAGAGCGCGATTTCGTCCACTTCGCCACGCACGTGACCGGCCGCTTTCTCAAAAAAGAAAAAAAAAAGTATCACGATACACTTCGGGCGAGAAGAATGAATTGATCAGGGGCTTCAATTTTTTGTTCGCAGCAGTGAGATCTATGTCTAATCTGCCAAGAAGGGAGCTGCTTTGCTGCGTATGTCGCGATAGCAGTAGTGGGAAATCATAAAGGCATGACTCTAATCCACCATTAATCAAAAACGAGAAGGAAATGACGCCGAACCCAACCCCAGCCGAGCATCGCACATTCATACGTGCTTAGCCGGCATCTAGACAAACCATCACCATTATGCTTTTTTGATCGTCCACATCAGGGAATCGCTGAAAAAACACAAGAAGAAAAAGCACGGAAGACTCGCAGAATCCTTCACGCACGAATCTAATCGTCCTCATCAGAGAAGACCTCCTCACCACGCTTGCGGCGGGCCATGCTGTGAGAGATGTTAGCGTCTTGATCAAAGACAACGGAAAAGGGTAAACGTACCGGTCCTTCTTCTTCTTGCGGAGCTCAGAAGAAGAAAGCTTGACCTTCTTCTTGGTGCCCTCAATCTTGTTACCCATGGCGTCGAACTTGTCCTCCTCGTCGACCTTCTCGGTCAGACGAGGACCAGCACCCTGACCGGCAACCCAGTTGTGGCCGGAAGGAGTCATCTTGCCGTCCATGACAGCCCAGACTTCCTCAGTGAGATCCTTGGTGAACTCAGCCGAGTGAGTGATGATGATAACACCACCCTCGAAAGCCTTGATGGCCTTGGACAGGGCACCGAGAGAGTCACGGTCGAGGTAGTTGGTGGGCTCGTCAAGGACGATCAAGTGGGGACGCTGCCACGAGCAAGCGGCAAGGACGACCTTGACACGCTGACCACCAGAAAGACCACGCATGCGGGAGTGGGAGACGAGCTCAGCGTCGATACCGAAGTTGGCGCAGTGGGACTCAATCTCCTTACGGACCAGAGGACGGAACTGACCGCTGGCAAGAGCCTCCTTCTGATCAACCTCGGCAACCATCTTGGAGTGGGAGGCAATGATCTCGTTACGGGGGATCCAGGCGTTGTCAGCAGTCATCATGGGGGTCCAGCGCTCGTTCTTCATGCCGACGTTGTCGCCGAGAGCGAACGAGCACTCGTACTCGTAGCTGTTCTTGAACTTTCTACGGGCGTGAATGCCAATGACCTTGCGCTGAGTGCCCTCGATCTTGAAGATCTTGTCCATGGCCTTCTCATCGTCCTCGGTGATCTGCTTGTTGGCACGGTCCATGGTCTCGCGATCCTCACCAGTCTGGAAACGCCACTGGATGTACTCGGAGGGAGTGCTGTCCAAGTGGTGATCAATGTGGGCGAAAGCGTGCTGCTTGATGTAGGCGATACGGATGTTCTCGTGGTGGTAGACATCACCCGAGGTGGGGATGAGCTCACCAGTCAGGACGTTGACGAGAGTAGACTTGCCAGCACCGTTGGGACCAATGACAGCAATACGGGAGCCGAGCGAGCACTGGAAGGTGATGTCGGAGATCTGGGGCTTGGAGGTACCGGGGTACTGGAAGGTCATGTTGCTGACACGAACAATAGCCTTGGCCTTGGTCTTGACACCCTCAAGGAAACCGGGCTCGGGGAACCTGAACTCAAGCTCCGAGGCACCGAGCTCGTAGTAGGACTTGGCGGAAGGAACCTTCTTGACGAACTCGGAGATGTTACCACGGTAACGCTTGAGCTTGAAGCGCTCGTAGTGGATGACGTGCTGAATGGTGTTGTCCAAGAACTTGGAGTCGTGGGAGATGATGATGGAGGTGCAAGGGGAGGTGACGAGGTAGTTCTCGAGCCAGGCAACGTTCTTGACGTCCATGTGGTTGGTGGGCTCGTCAAGCAGGAGAATATCGGGCTCCTCGAACACGGCACGGGCAAGAGCCAGCTTCATCTTCCAACCACCGGAAAGGGAGGTGATGGGAGCGCCCAGCTGCTCGCGGACGAAACCGAACTCCTCGAGGGTGTTCTCGACGTCGGTCTGGGACTTGGTGACACCAGCGGTCTCGAGCTTCTTCATGGTCCAGTTGATGACAGTCTGCTCAGTGTCGGCAGAGTCGAGGTCGTGCTCGACGTAGACGGTCTTGACCTCAGACTGCTTGGGGAAACCCTCAAGCTGCTCGTTGTTGATGGCGCGCATCAGAGTGGTCTTGCCAGAACCGTTGGGACCGAGAAGACCGTAGCGCTGGCCACGCTTCAGGCGAAGGTGAGTCTGGTTGAGCAGGATCTTGGCACCGTAGGCCAGGGAGAAGGTGCAGTTGCAAAGATCCTCACCCTCCTCCTCGTCAGAAGGAACCTCATCGGCCTCGACGAAGCCGGGCAGAGTCTTCTTGCGGAGGTTGTCCGCGGCGTCCTTGGCCTTCTCCTCGCCAAGGATGGCGCTGAAGTACGGAGCAGCGTTGGCAGACCAGACGGCGGCCTCGGTCTCCTTCTCGTCGATGAGCTGACCGGCGATGGCGGAAATGTACTCGTAGATGGGCTCGAACTTGGCGTTGTTGGCCTTGTCACCGAGAACAGACTTGAGGACGGGCAGGATGGTGGCGACGTCACCAGAGCGCGAGCGCTCGGGGAGCTTGTCGTCGACGATGTGACCGACACGGGACAGGGTGTCGATGGCCTGCTTGGTCTTCTCACGAGCCTCGGGGTCGGCGAGGGTCTCGTGGTTCTTCTTGAGGGCGGGGTAGAGGCGGGGCAAGAAGGAGGCGACAATGTTGGGGTCCTCGACAAGCTTGCACATGTTGTCGATGATGACGGCCGACTTACGCTTGATGGCAGTCTCGCGCTCAACGAGACCACGCTCAAGCAGAGGAACCATGATGGCGAGGGTAGGCTCGTGGACGTCGGAGACGAAAGTGGTAGCACCGAGCAGGTGAACGGTCTCGGGGACGTTCTCAGGCTTGGCGATACACTTGATCAGCTCCGGAATGAAACGCTCGATATCCTTGTTGGAGATGAGCTCGCAGAGCTTCTCCATGGTGGCATAGGCAGCCTTCTTGACCTCGGCCTTGGTGTCCCACATGGCCTCGGAGACGACGGGGAGGAGGTCGGGGACACGGTAGCCCATCTGAGCGCGGGACCTCTCGGCGAGGAGCTCGATGCAGGCCAGGTCGGTCATCTTTTCGGGCCACTTCTGGGCGGAGTGGAGCGAGTCGATGATGGCGGGGATGACGGCCTTGACGGCGTTGGCGTTGGTAGCCTGGACGATGGCCTCGGCAGCAGCCTGGGCAGCGTTCTTGACCGGGACCATCTTGTCACCAATGGCGGTAAGGGTGGCGGGCAGGAGAGCGACCAGGTAGGGCTCGACGGCAGGGGAGACGGTCGAGTGCGAGGCGATGGCCTTGATGGCATCGAGGGCGCGTTCCCTGGCGAGGGCATCCTTCTTGTTGCCGAGCTGCTTCTTCAGCAGAGCGACGGCCCTGGAGCGACTGTTAGTTTGTGGAAAAGGTGCGACCGGCGACCGGCGAGCGCAGGCAGCATCGCTGCAGCGCGGCGGACGTGAGAACGGGGCTGGAGACTTACTGAGTGGGGGCATCGCCCTCCTCAATGTCGCCGTTGATGAAGGTGGCGAGGTCGTGCGAAGTGGAGAGGATCTGGTCCTGCTCCTTGGAGACGGAGAGCTTCGCGAGAAGCTCCTCCAGGACCTTGACGCTCTTCGCGTTCTCGGACTTGACCTGCCCGGCGGTGGGGTGTGCAGCGGCGGGAGCCATTTTGAAAGGTGGAATGCGAAGGTTGGAGAGAGAGAGGGTCGGGGGCGTCGCCGGCTTTAATATTAAGGCCTGGTGGGGCCCGTGAAAAAGTCGAAATCTAGCGGTCGGGTATCAAGGCGACGCGACAGTGCGATCGAGACGCAAGCCACGGAGTCTGCAAACTGCGGCGCGCAGCTGAAGACCCTTCTATGAAGCAAAAAGAGAAAAGGGTGAGAGTGAGAACGTTGCGGAGGGAGAGGGCGAGGCGGAGGGGGCGACGCTTTTTGTACTATCAGCACAAAAAATCCTTTCCTGTGCATGTAAGCGGTCGCAGGGATTTGCGCCGTGCACGGCCCTCAGCAGGGCAGCGGCCGACCGACTCTCCCAACGCCGCCGTCGCAATTCGCTGGGCCGCTAGGGAGGTTCTGTAACCCTGGGAATTGGCACAATACACTCCCAGTTTTCAGAACGGCTTGGTGTGTGGCTAAGACCCTGGCCCAGTCAGCGAGGTGTTGCGACTTTGATTGGGCAGATCTCTGCGCTATACCTTCTATGGTGGCACTTTTCTATTCTACGAACTGCAACCCGCTTGCACAGCAGCACGCCAAGCGACTACTTTGGGCGCCGAAACGGCCCCTGGGTCGCCCCAATGATCGAGCGACCTGTGGTTACAGAAGCTCCCTGCTGCAAAAGCCCATGGCCTTGCCACCCTGCCGATTCTTGCGCGAAAGGACGAGACAGGCAAGTCCTCGGCCGTCGCTCGCTCGCCGCACGCAGCTTCCCCGGCGGCCCTGTGGCCCTCGGCGCCGTGCCCTGCCGCCCTTCTCCAGCTGTCGCGCCCCCGCCTGGCTGACGGCACTCCTGCGTCCCTGGCTGCGTTTCAGCATGCTATTTTTGCCACGCCATCCGGCGATGGGTGAGTAGTACGTGTTCTTCTCTGCTGCACCGCTCCCGCCCACGCGGGCCACACGGAGCGCCGCACGGCTCTGTGTCTTATCCCTTATCCCCCGCAGCCAGCACAAGCCCGCACGCCCGCTCGTCTTCCGCAAGGGCGCCGGCGCGTATGCCGACATGGTGCCCCGTCAGGGCTGCCGGAATGGCTCAGGCGCCGCCCAGCACCCAGCAAGCCTACTTGGCTGTGACCGCCCGCCCATCCCTAGTCGGGCCCAGCCAACCGCATCGCCGCGCTTATCGTCACTTTCACCGACTCTTCCCGGTAGCGGCAGCTGCATCGAAGCCTTCGAGAACAACACGCTGGGGCCGTGACACCTGCCACCGCCCTTGCTGTGCCTGCTGCTGCGTGCGCCGGCTGGCGCCCTCTCTCGCCTCGCATCCGCAACAGCTGGCCACTCGTGTGCAATTACCCATCTGCTGCCGGGAGGAGTGGCTGCAGTGGTGGCGACGCCTGGCGCCCACCTTCCGTTCCTGAAGTTTTGCCAGCACCCTGCAACAATTTCTGCGGGCCCAACCACTCCGAGCGGCGATCAGGGTTTGCGGGAAAAAAGTTTGTATCCAGCCCTGCGCATGCCGAACTGCTCACCGGACGCCGCTATCCCGGAAGGGCAGCCCGGTGCCGTGGGTTGTCGTTGTCGTCCACGCTGGCGACGTCCACACGCATTCCCCTCGGCCGTTCTGGGACTGGCATGCTACCCATTGTCCACCTGATGAATTCAGGCACGCCGGGCTGTCTTTGTCCATGATTATCGATCGTCGATGGTGCTTTGTTAGCCGCACCCTGCAATTCCTGCTTGTACGCTGTGCTGTGATGTTTGGGGCGCCAGCCTCAACGCACGCTCGTCTCCCCTCGTACTTTTGATACCCCGGATTTACTCCACATTTCAAGATAAGACTTTTGGCCCGCGTGCGCTTGCACTAATGCAGTGGGCGGTGGCGCCGAGAGGTCGCTGCGTGGGAATGCCGCCTTATGCTGACAGCAGCCAATAAGCCAAGGGCGCACCTCAGCTTTTTTCTTTTTTGATGCGAATGCCCTGGCCCAAAAAGACCCTTCTTGAAGCAAGAGCCAATGTTGATCGGGGGTTGTGGCCCTAACTCAAGTATGCACGGTGTCACAGATTGTCGAAGTTTAAATGAGCTTCACCATCTTCCCAGACTTCAAGAGTATAAGGGACTGCCCATAGATGTATACCATTGGCTCGATATACCCGCAGGGTGGGCCGACGTGATCCAGTAGACCAGGAATACAGCACCCTCTCGCAGCCGACGAAGATTGTGGATGTTTCGTACCGGGGGTCCTGGCGGTACTTTTATGGTACGATAGCTGGTTAGAACTACATTAATTCGCAGAGAATACGGGGCCCTGGTCGTATCTTAAGGCCGCCATAAATTTGGACCCCCCCACCCTACCCTGGGAAAGCTACTTTTTCTCCGTCGCTCACCTCAGATTTATATGCAAAATGGTAGGCAAACTCGGAGAACTCGCTAGCATCCCACACCTATATTACCACCTACCGGTCTTGCCACCTACCAGCTACCAGCCTCGCCGCCTACCAGCCTCGCCGCCCACTAGCTTTACCCCACTACCCCCCGCCCCCCTATTGTTGGTTAAAAGTAGCATTCCCAGGGGGACCCACATGTAGATCCACTGGAGGCTCGAGTGGGGGCCGGCGCCAATCGCGAGTAAAAGTCCACAATCTCGCCGCACGCCAGGTTCGACGTGGATGCCTAAACAGCATCCACAGCCATTGCCAACATATGTACAGCATCACTTCCGTTCTTTCTTACGCTCACAATACATCCTCCCGCAACCACATCTTCCACGTCCTTCATCGTCTGATTCTTCCTATGGTTGTGCGCTTTGTGGCTCGCTCTCTCGTCAAAGACAAGCAAGGTATCTACCCCGTCACTCTGTAGCTTGTTCAGATGGCTAACATGACGACCCAGATGTATGAACAACTTAACGGAGGTCATATTCGAGTTTTAGTCTTGCATCCTGGCTGTTTCGCCGATGCGATCGATATCTCCCTGTCGACAGAACGCATCGAAGACGCATGACTCGCCCCTTTCGAAGCAGTTTCATACGCATGGGGAAGCTCCAGCTTGACCCATGGCATCCGTTGCGGTTCCAGCAGCATCATGATCACGGAGAATTTGGACCAGCTATTGCGCCACCTTCGCAGCTCAACAGAAGCCAGAAGGCTTTGGGTAGACGCACTTTGCATCAATCAAGCGGACGTTTCCGAACGAAATCACCAAGTCAGCCTGATGAGACTGGTATACTCGAGAGCTTCAAAGGTGCTCATCTGGGTAGGCAATGCGGACGACGAGACCGAGAGTGCCATGGAATTGATCTCAACATGGGTTCTCCAGATTGAAGCCGGAAAATTCAAGAGTGTTATCCGCAGATTGTCTTTCTATGCGAAGATGGGAGCCACCTGGATGCAGCGCTATGAGCCCGTCACCCAGCTTCTCAACCGACCTTGGTTCCACAGAGCTTGGACTTTTCAGGAAGCCTGCCTGGCAACCAGCGCAGAGTTGATGTGCGGTCACATGTGTCTTCCATGGACACATGTCACAAAGTTAGCTCTTGCGCTTGAGAGCACAAGCTTGGCGCAGAGAATCCTGGGTTTCACCGCCGACAGCATTCTTGCACTGGCTCACGTTGCGGCAATGACGGATGAATCCGCCCAGAGGGCTGCACCGGACCTTAGCTCACTTCTGCGGCTCACCAGGAGCCGTAACGCAACGGATCCTAGAGACAAGGTCTTCGCTCTCCTAGGAATGCTCACTGAATCCACCAATCCTGGTATTCAACCCGACTATTCTGGTTCAAATGCCGTCGCGGATGTCTACACCCAATGCACACGTCGCGTCATCGCATACGAACAGGATATCTCCATCTTGTCAAACAGCCTTGGTCCTATGCAAGCCTCGGACATACCTTCCTGGGTCCCCGACTGGCGAATTCCGCGGCGAACTGCAACACTTCGCTACTTCGAGTGGCCTTCTAAAGACTTACCGTATTACCACATCAACGAGAACTGTCCATTCACTCAACCGATGCCACAAGATGGATTCGAGAGTCCCAGTATGTCTTTGCGCGGTGCCTGTCTTGCGACAGTGACATCGATACACCCACTGGAGACCCTCACCACTCGCCTTGAAAAAGGAAAAGCCGGTATAAATTTGGGTGGCATGTTCACACGCTGTTGGAATTCATTCTCGCCATTCCTTCATCAACTGACGCTCTCCCTCGGATTCGATGATTCATCACGGTATGTTCAGACAGGCGAGTCTTTTATCATGGCCATTTTTCGCACAACATTTGCCGATCGCCTACCAAAGGCGGCCGACTTGCGGGCATTCATCAAAGAGACACTGAGGATGCTCCAGCAAGAGCCGGAAGCATCAGCATATGTTGGAGAATTGTCTTCCGAGCAGTTGCAAGACTTTCACCGGCGTGTTCCGGATCACTGGGTTGCCGCTGCGCCGTCTCTCCAGGACATCGCCTTCCAGGAAGGAGGTGATGCACGTGAGGGATCATGGAGTGAGATGCAGGCGTTTCTATACATCTACGACATGGCACTCAATGTCCTGGACTATCCACTATACTACTATGGCGGAGGCTCTGGAGAGGCCGCCTTGCTTCCAGCACGTCAGGAACCGTTTTGCAATCTTGCTTCTTGGAATGTTTTGGATAAAATCAGCTCCGCCATTATGACATTCACGCGTGGCAGAGTGTTTTACTACGGACAACGGTCTGATTGGTATTGGTCCAGACTGCACCAAGGAGGGAGATCAGGTATGGGACCTCTTGGGCGGGCACGTGCCGTATCTGTTAAGACACGATGGTAGGGCAGGAAATTCGGAATTTACGCTGGTTGGCGAGTGTTATGTTCATGGGGTCATGAAAGGAGAGTTGTGGGACGACAGAAATGTGCCTTCAGACGGTTCTGGTCGGTTGACAGGAGCTGACTTGGATGTTGAAGACATAACACTCGTCTGAACCGGCTGCACCTTTTGCAAGGCTCTACTCTGCACGCTTCCCTACAATTGATAAAGGGCCGTAGACATACTCCCTTCATTTTCGGTCGCCACACAAAGAACACAATCACCTCCGGCCAAGCATACGATGCCGCTTCCGGGCCGTCCCATTATCCTCCGTGACAACAAAGGACCGCTGAGACACTTCCCCCTCGCAAACACAAAATCTGCCAAACATTCCCAACCTCAAACCAGCCTCGCTCCCCCTCACCACACCACCAAATCCGGCAAACAACACCAACAATCCTCCCACAAACACCACCAAACAACGCCAACCACAACTCCACCGCCGCCATGGCGTCGCCGCCGCCCCCGCCCCGCCGCAACCCCCAGCGCAAAGCCAAAACGCAGGCAGCTAAAAAGGCCGCCGGCGATCCGCAGGATGACGACAACGCTCAAGGTCCTGACTCCTCGAAGATGAACATCAACAACAGCAGCAGCGAAGACAACAAAGCCAAGGAACCCGCGGAAGAAAAAGAGAGAATCAGCCTCAGAGACATCCTCCTCAAAGCGCCATTGGCTACGCCGCCACCGCCGCCGCCGCCGCCGCCGACGGGGGCTGCGAAGACGGGCACTACGAAGACCGGAGCGGCGAAGACCGGTGCAGCGAAAACCAGCGCAGCGAAGAAGGGAGCATCCGCGAAGCCGGGCGCCAGGGTGACGAAGACGACGGCGCCGAGCACGACGAAGAAAGCCGGCAATGGCACAGCGACGAAGACGGCGAAGAAGACGGGGACGGGTCGGCCGCGCGGTGCTGCTACTGCCGCCGCCGCTGCTCCTGCTCCTGCTCCTGCTCCTGCTGCAGCGCTTCCGGCTGGTGCTGGGAAGCCGCCGCCGCCGCCGCCACCGCCGCCGTCGTCGTCGCCATTGTCGTCGGTGCGGTCGTCGTTGTTGTTGTCGTCGCGGTCGCCGGCCGAGGTGGCGCGGCCGCAGAAGGGCGCGGCGGGGAAGACGAAGCCGCAGCCGCAGGCGGCGGGGAGGGGGCGGGAGGGGGTCGGTAAGGAGGCGAGAAGTGTTCAGGCGGCGGGGGGCAAAGCTGCGAGGGCAGAGGGGAAGGTTGCGAAGAGCAGGAAATGAGAGGGTTGATGGTGGTGGTACGAGGGCGTGGTCGTGGATTGAGTGCCGGCATTAAAGGGGGGAAAGGGAGGGATTGGATGGAGGCGAGCTGGATTATCTATCTGCTATTTAGTCATGTTTTCTTTTTCTTTTTATTCGATTTGGGGGTCTGAGATGTACCCGTCAATTTAATGACTATTTAGACAAGTATCTTGAATGGGACTTAATCATAGCATTTGAAATATCTGGTCTCACAATTGTAAGTGCAAATCAAGCAGAGCGCTTATTGTCGGCCAAAAAAAATTTGTGATTTGTGATTGCTTATGCTTTTCAACTTTTTTCGCGTTTTCTAGTGTTTTTTGTTCCTAGTTACTGCTAACCAATATCAGGTAGAGCTACCTGACAAGGCCCGCTTCTACCAAGTTGGTCATCTGCGTGATTACCCGACCACACAGGCGCCAGCAAGTCTCGTCACAGATCTCAATCTGTATGTAAACACGGTGAGACCGATACTCAAGAGCGACTCAGCGAGATGAAGAAGCCTCGGAAGCCGCGGGCTCATCGCCAAAGGTGTAGTGGATGACCATTATGCCGTCGTGGCTCTCATACTCCGCCTCCGCAGAGAGAAGCTTGTTTGAGTTGCTCCAGTGAGGAGCGAGAATCTTGCCGCAGTTGGGGCCGTCGCAAGTGTAGGGAGGCGGGTTCTGGTCCTTAAGGTAGAGAAGCTCGACGCATCTGAAACATCTGGTATGTCCGCATTCCACATAGGCGATAGGAAGTCTCCAATATCCTGTCGTCGGTATGCTTGTTCCTGCACCTTTTGCACTTATAGCCGACCCATGACTTCTTGTAGGTACCAATAACGAAGAACTCCTCCTGAACCATGGTTTTGGTGTAGTTATGAGCTGAGGTGCTGTTTTCTGTTGAGATATGCTGTTCCTTTAGCTGGACCGTGATCAATTTGAGCCGTAGTGATGAGTTCGAGGGGTGAGCGACCTGGGGTCTTTAATATAAAACTACTCGAAGCTAAACAATGCGGTTGTTCTGGCGTTGCAGCCGCACAAGGATGCCTTCCAAGACTGAATTTACCTACCTTGGTAAGCTGATCGGAAGCCACGATACTGCATGAGAAAGAGGTGAAGAGCGAACGGACCTTACGCGCTGAAAGGCCGTAGTAGGGAACCGAGACGGTGAGCGGGCGACGTATTGAGCTACCGCCCTTGGCCATCGCACTTGCCAACAGCGTGTGCGTACAGCACCCGTGAGCCTCATACGTAACCCGACAATCCCCAAATTATCCTTGACTATCGTCTTCTCCAGGTGTGCGCCTCCCTAAAAGGATTACGTTTCCCACCAGAACCACACTGGCTGGACATGATGGGCCGACACCGGGCCCCACAAACCAGGTTGTACGAGACTTGGGTGTTGTAAGCTCTGCTGAGGACACGATACTCTTTTCTACATGGACAGTTCAATCCACCCGCAGTCTGGACTCATGTAAGTGCGTTGCTATTTCTGTAAGACAGATGTGGGCGAATTCATCGGCTACTCCACGACAGCCCGACGACGACTTGTCATGATCTGCCAAACAGCCAAACACAAACCGCAAAGCAACCCTTCCACAAAATAAAGTGTCAAATATCAACGTTCAAACAATATACACACCTATCCACAAACAGTCATCTTCACCGCCACCACCACCGCCACCCATCACTCCACCCCCCTCCTCTCCCCACTCACAAACCTACCCCACACCGACCCCTTCCCCTTCCCCCTCCTTTCCCCCAACCCAACAATCCCATCCCCCTCTTTCCACCCGACCTCCCCCCACTCCCCCAAACTAGCCAAATGCCTCATCGTCGGCCTCCCATGCGGACAATTCCACGGCTTGTCAATCTCGCCCATCTCCCTCACCACCCGCTCCATCTGCCTCTTCGTAAGCGTCTTCCCAATCATGATGCTGCTCCGACACGCCCGCATGGCCAACATCTTCCTGACCTTGCCCGGCCGCGGAATACCAACAGCACCACCACTGCTGCCCCCTCCTCCCCCTCCTCCGCCTTCTCCTCCCCCCCTCTCCTCCGCGATCGAACTCTCCCCCAACAACGCCACCAGCTCCTCCAAATCCGCCACCGCAAACGTCGTCTCCTTGCTGACCGGCAAGCCCAGCAGCCGGCAGCGACGGCCGACGGGGCTCTCGCCGCTGGTGTCGGTCGTGAGCTGGAAGCCGTTGGCGGCGAAGGCGGCGGGGTGCGCGAGAATGGTTTCTTCCTCGATGGCGGTGAGGTCGAGGGGGTGGGGGTGGACGAGGCGCTGGGGCGCGAGGATGGTGGTGTTGCTGAGGCGCTCGAAGTTGATCTTTTCGTCCGAGGCGTGCTGGTCGATGATGAAGAGCTCGTCGGCTGCGTGGGAGGGGGAGGAAGAAGAAGGAGTTGCGGACGGCGCTGGGGTGGTGGTGGTGGTGGAGGAGGAGGAGGACCGGGCCGGGGTTGGTGTTGGTTGTGGGACGGCGTTGGTGGTGGTGCCGGGACGCACGGCGAGGATGAAGCCGAGGTTGAACTGGCCGATGATGCGCATGCGGCCGAAGTCGGATTTTGAAACCGTCAGTGATAGACGCTCTTCGGGTGTTTGGTCCGTCTTTCCGTCTGACGGCAATCCGTCTCCATCGGCCACTTTGGCACATGCTTCAAGCTGTTGATTGAGCTGAGACAATGTCTGTTCAATTCTCGATACGGACGTCTCAAGATGCTGGATCAGCTGCAGAGTCGAAGTCTTCTTTACGCCTCCCTTGAGGATATTGGTAGCTCGCTTCGCGTTGTCGTGTGATGGCCGAGCAGAGTTCTCTTCAGCCTTCGCAATGATCTCAGCGACTCGAGCATCCTCTCGCGCCTTCTTTTCATCCTCGTCCAAATACTCATCATCCGAGTCTTCATCTTGCTGGACAAAGAGAGGAGAGTCTGCACGGGGCAGGTCTGCTCCATTCTGGTCACCACTATTCCCAACCCTGTCAGGACTCTCGTTATCATTGGGCCTCTTCTCTGAAGTATCGGCAACGGGCTCTTCATCGTCCGTGTCTGAGGCGTCGTCGCCGGATTCTGCCATGTCAACGTCACTATCTTTGTCTTGAGCCTCTCCTAAAGCAGAAGAGTTTGGCGCTTCATCGCTTTCGCTCTGGCTTTGCTCTTCTCGCTCCTCGCCTTTCGATCCGTCATCGGATATCTCATCATTTTCCTCGTCGACCTGAGTCCCTGGAGCCGCAAACAGCTTTAGACAGCTTACAAAACCAGACTTTTTCCCTGGAGAAGGCAACGGTTCACTGTGTAAGCTATGTTTCGGCGTGTGAATCCTCCGACGTTTTGCTTCAGGGGTGCCAATTTTCATCGTTGTTGTCTTGTCGCCAATGGTGATTGTGGCTGTCTCTGCAGGCGCACGCTTCGGCCGCATTCGATCAAAGGCATTCTGAATCGGACCTGTATCATTCTTCTGAGATGAAGTCCGGATGACTGCAATGCTCGGCTCTTGTTCCCCGCATTCGGTACGCTCTGGGGAAGGCTCTTGGGGTCGGTTGCGTTTGGCTTCTTGGCTTGCGATACGGTCATTAAAATCCTGCACCGCCTGGGGTAGAGTGGGCGGTTCCCGAGGGGAGGAAACGAGTTGCATGTCATCCGTATCCTCTTGAGGCTGAGAGTCAGGCTCTTCATTGCCCTTCGCCAAAAACAGGGCAAGCTTCTGCTTGTCCCCGGACACCTCCACACTTTTTCGCCGAACTTCGCCTGCAGGCGAGAGCTGGCTTCGGTTTGTTGCATCTCTACCAGCAAACTGTTGTATCAGACTAACAGATGCGTTTCCCTTCTCTTCCACGCGCGGAGGGCTCGATCCCGTGTTTGACTCATTTGCTCCAATTCGAGCATCTCCTCCACCCTCCGACTCTCGAGTTGCGGATGATTGTCTGACAAAGTCTAGCGGCTTGAATTGCCCCAGTTTCTTCAGACCCAAATGTGCCTGTGGAACACTCTGATCATGCTCTTCGAACAAGGCGACCAGTGCTTCTTTCATCGCTTCCAGGAGGGCCGTCTGGTCGTGTAACAAAATAGTCCGCTTATCAGGCGACACATTGACATCATAGGCATTGGTGTCCATGACGAGGTTTGCGAAGATGAAAGGGGATTGCGTGACATTGAAGGACTTGTAGACCTCATTGACGGCTTTGGACACCTGAGGCAAAGCACATGGTCTGGAGTTGACAAAAAACATCTGGCGGTCCGGAGTTTGCCTACCTTCGCCAACAACGGGCCGGGAGATGTGGCCGTCGATGCGGACCTCCTTCGAGTGCTGATCGTCTTGGGTGCTCCAGCTCTTGGCACTCTGTGTCCCGATAGTGGTGGGTGCCATCTCCAATTTCAGGTCGAGTGGGATTAGAGCCGTCAATGTTTTCGCGCCATAGACATTGGCAATGTTCTCCCGTGTTGTTGGATTTGCTTTGGTGGAGAAGACGGACACCTTTTTCCTGGCAATCAGTTAGTACCTCACTAAATTCGCACCGTGGTAACATTACCCTTTGGCAGCCTGGTTGCTCACAGAAAACCTCACTCCAACGCTGATGCACGCATAAGCATGCAGGAGTCCGAGCACCTTTCCATATTCCCGCTTGATGTTCTTCTCAAGCTCTCTCTTCCTGACTGGCAGGTTGTAGAACAGGTTCTCCACGGCCACAGTTGTCCCTTTCTGACTCGCGGCGACAGAAGTTCCTTTCAGCTTGCCCGAGGTTTCAAAATCAAGTCGAGTGCCCTTCGGGCCATCGGTGGCGCGAGCAGTGAGGATGTGAAATTTCGAGAGGGCGCAGAGCGAGGATAGGGCTTCGCCGCGGAAGCCGAAGGTCTGGAGAGAGGAGAGGTCATTGTAGGAGGACAGTTTCGAAGTATAGTGTTTCAAAGCTACGATTGGACATTAGCATGCCAAAAGAAGCGCGTCCGTCGAGATCAGCATACCAATGGTCTCGTAATCGTTTGGCGAAATGCCGTGACCGTTGTCCTGTACCTCGATTGCCTCGAGGCCATTGTTCTTGAACCGCACGTCTGACTCGGCGCGTTAGCTCGCGGTACCTACAAACTGTGTCTCCTGCTACTTGCCAATCGAGGTGGCGCTGGCATCCAAGCTGTTCTCGACAAGCTCTTTGACAACAGAGCAAAGGTCAACGATGACCTGACCGGACTGGATTTGGTGTATCTAACATGTCGCGGGTCAGCATGAGCGATTGCGATGTGGAGCGATGCGCGGGACGTACCGAGCGACCCTCTATGGCCTTGATAGTCGCCATTGCAGGTCATGGTGGTTGCGGAGGCGAAACACGTTCACGGAAGACGCGATGGATGACGCGTGAGGCACGCGCCGCGCCCCGCTTAATTGTTGCCGCCTATCTTGTGGCCTCAGGCACAATGAACATGGACATCAACTACTTTTGGATGCAAATATCAATTCCAGTAGGGTATCCCCGCGAGTATATGCATAAGACATGACATCAAATATCCACAAGATGTAGCACAGTACTTTGGCTCTAACCTTTAAGCTTCAGGCTCTGCATCCTTCTTCCTTGGCCTGCCGGGCTTCTTCTTTTCAGGCTTTTCTTCGACATCCTCAGATGGGGTCTCAGATGTCTTCCTCGTCTTTCTCTTTTTTGGCTTTTCTTCAACGTCTTCAGATGTTGTCTCAGATGCCCCCTCCTTCTCCTTCTTTTCTGGCTTTTCTTCGACGCTCTCAGAGTTGGTCTTAGATGCCTTCGTCTTCCGCTTCTTTTTCTCTGGCTTTCCTTCAACATTTTCAGATGCTGGTTCAGATGCCCCCTCCTCCTGCTCTACCACCTTATCCGCAGACTTCATCTGCAGCGCAGGCAGCGCCTCCGCTTCCTCGGTCAACTCGACATACGGCAATGGCCTCCCCTGCCAAGTCAAAGCAATATCCGACTTGACCTCCCCATTCTCGCTCCTCTCGTCCACCATATACCTCAGCGTAACCCCAAGCCCTTCCAGCCCCCTCGCCTTCGCGCTCGCATTCCACAAAAACTGCTCCACCCTCCCATCCGGATCGACCTTCAAAAAGCCCATGGGCCAGCGACTGCGCCCGAGCGCCTCCATGACGCCCTTGGTCGCCTTCATCGTCGTCGCCAGCAACCCCAGGAAATCCTCCTCGCGCCACTGCGCGGGCGCTCCCGTGAAGGCGCCTTCGAGCTCGCGCACGTTCTTCGGGTTGAGCGTCTTGTTGCTCGCTTTGCACTGCACGAGGACGCGCAGCGGCGTGTCTCTGGTATCATCGTCGACGGCAGCCGCCTTCTTGCTGCCGCGCGTTTTGGGGATCGGCAGCCGCCATGTGCCCAAGAGGTCGATGCCGAAGTCGGACACGCGCCCCGTGCGGGTGAGGTGGAAGCCGAGCCGGCGGAGGGTGGCGGCGACGGTGTATTCGTAGTGCGTGCCGACGTAGACGGTGCGGTCGGCCGCGAGGTTGGCGCGCGCGGCGTAGGCAAGGAAGGAGGGGAGGTCGTTGTGGTTGTCGGAGCCGTGGGATATGGCGGGCTCGGGTGGGGGAGATGTCTTCTTGGAGGCGGCGCGGATGGGTGCGAGGATGGGCCGGGGGAGCCGCGGCTTGAAGGGGCGGAGGAGCCGCCTCATCATGAGGGGTTGTACTGTTCTGGGGATGCGGATGGCAAAGAGACGAGCATAACTGCTATGGCATAGATACGGTACAGCTGTTCGAGCGACTCAGCATCGCCAATGGCTCAAAGGATGGAATAGAGAGCGATGACGCAGGGAATTGAAAATAAAAGTGCCCGAGGCGGGCGCGCGCCACCAGGGACCAACGCCGATCTGCCGAGCTGCAGCTTGAGCTTCCCGCCGCTCATCCACAACCATCTCCTCCCTCACCACACTCGCGTCACTCCAACAATTGCCTCCTAGCGCCCGCTTCCAGAACCCGGACTGCCCCTCCTCCATCCGACGCCCGCAGGGCCCCCCAATCGCAACCATGTCGGACATCCTCACCCAACTCCAAGACGCGATCGACATCGTACGCCCGCCCTCCCTCCCCTCCACGCAACAAACCCCCCCACCCCCCTCCCACACCGCTAACACACCCTCTTCTCCCAGCTCGTCCAACAAATGTACGCCGGCCTCATGTACACCAACACGCGCCACCCCTACGGCTCCATCCCCGCCCAACCGCACGACGCCTCCCGCGACATCGGCAACCCAGCGGCGGCGGCGGCCGAAAACGGCGGGCCGAGCATCACAGGCAACGACAACCGGCCGCGCACGCCTCCGCCGGACCCCAGCTTCGCCGTCACCCAGCACGAGATCGCGAGCGACATCATCCTCAACATGGCGCGCATCAACGCGCTCGCCGACCGCCTGCCCGGCATCGGCTTCAGCGAGCAGCAGCAGCTGGCGCGGCTGGCGGAGCTGGATCGGGAGTTGAGGGAGGAGCAGGAGAGGCTGGAGAAGGCGAGGGTGGAGAAGGAGAGGTTGTTGGGGTTGTTGGATGAGAGGATCATGAAGGCGAGGAGGCCGTGAGAGGGGGGGAGGGGTTTGCAAAGGGCGTGGGAGAGGCGTTTTGTGCATTTAGCGATGGGAGTTTTAGGCTTGCGGTTTTTTAAAAAGAGAGGGTAGGCAGAGGTCTGGTGTTTTGGGAAACTTGAGGGCTGGGTGGATGATTATCTGCAAGATCCTCGTTCGGTGGGACATCGCTGTCAACAGCAGCCCTACTTCACCGTGGAGATTTGCATCAGATGGCATAGTTCCAAGCTGGTTGGATGACAATGGCGAATAGAGATGGTATAAAGGCGAACAAGTGGAGTATATCTTCAGCATAAGCTGATTCAGTTCGTTCATGTGGTTGGATAATAGTGGACTGTGAGTTCGAGATGATTCTGCTTTGGTTCTAATCATTTCAAACAGTATCTTGACGGTTTCCTGATCTCTGTTCATACTTCCACTTGTCTTTCCCGAAAGTTGTATGCGGGTCCTCCATGGGTATCAAAGCGTTGACTACCAAATCAGCCCACCACCCACGATCTAGCATTCTTTTACTCATGACTTAGCCTTGTGCGATCAAATTTCTTCAACGCAATCGAGCCCCCGATCTGCCTCGTCAGGACTGCGCCTCCGAGTAGCCTTCAGTACACCCTCGGATACGGTTCGCAGGCTTTTTACTCTTGTCGACCAATTATCAATACCGGCCCTTGGATCAGTTCCCACCCTGAGAGCTTCTTCGGCTGGACTCAGGAAATCGGCATTTTCTCGAAATCCGTCTCGCTGACCGACATTTCCCTCACGGCTATGAAGCTGGCCCAATACCCTCTTCCCATGAGTATATTTTTGGAGAAGGATTCGCACTGAAACGAGCCCGTGCATTGATGTCTTGACGACTGGTAGAGATCAAGAACACAGAGCAGGCGGCCGCTTCCTTGTCCGCATCAACTGAATGCTGGAATATAGCTGAATCAATGAAATCATTGCAATGCGAATACAAAAACAACACGCGCCAAATATAACTAATATTCCCAAGTCGTCTCCTCGTTCGCGTTGAAAACGGCCCCCAACCATGACGTCGGATCAAACACCGCCCAGCGGCGAGGCTGTGTCACCGCAACACCGTCAACCGTCACCGTCAAAGTGGCGCAGCAGCAATCCTCCCGATACCTATACAAAAAACCCCCGCACACTCTCCTTTCCCTTTTCCCGACCTCGCCACCGGCCCTCCCATCGTCCACGGGTCAACAAACCAACCGATCCCACAACCAAAAGAATTAAAAAAAAACAAAAATGGCCAGCACGCAGCACCAACAACCCCCACCCCCCCTCCTCCGCCTCCCCCCCGAGCTCCACCTCCACCTCCTCTCCCACCTCGCCTTCCCCGACACCGCCCACCTCCGCTCCACCTGCCGGCACTTCCGCACCTTGATCACCCCACCCCCCGACGAGCAGCACCCCGTCGCCTGGCCCACGCTCCTCGCCGCCGAACGCTCCGCATGGGCTCGGCGCCGCAACCGGCTGACCTGCACGTCCTGCGAGCGGCTCCTCCCCGCGCAGCGCTTCACGGACGCGTCCAAGGCGCGGGCAGCCAAAGACGCGCAGTGGCGGACGTGCGCGGCGTGCCAGGGGCGCGAGGGGTGGGGGGCGGCGAATGCGCACGCGGCGCGGATGTCGCGGGAGAGGGTGGTGCGGGTGGATTGGGTGGGCGAGGGGTTGTGCGTGGGGTGCGAGTCGCGGTTTGGGCGGTGGGGGAGGGGCGCGCCGAGCGTGGAGAGGGTGTGTCCGCGGTGCTGGTTGTCGGAGGATGCGGGGGATTGTGTGGGGAGGCGGGAGGCGGCGAGGGTGGAGAGGGATGTGGGGAGGTGTTGTGGGAGTGGGAGGAGGGGCGGGGATGGGTGGGGGGAGGGCGAGTTTTATGCGGGGGAGTTGGAGTTGGTGAAGGGGGGGAGGTGGCCCGCGTGGTGGTTGGGGGTTTATTGCGGGTGTTGCGATTATTCGGGGAGGGATGAGGTGCCGGTGTGGAGGGAGGGGTGGAGGGGGGTGCAGGTTAAGAGGAGGGTTGAGGGTTGAGAGGGGAGCGCGGGGAGGTTTTGGCAGAGGTACGTATGCGGACAAGATGTGATCGGTGCGTGTGCATGATGTTGACCATGTTTGCCAGAATTTGCTGCTGGCCACCAACGAAGGGGAGCTGGAGTTCCAAGTGTGAGGCCTTGGGCCCACAGCGATACCTCTCTCATCGCCGACGAAACTTTCGATTTGCCCTAGGAGCTGTTATCGCCGCTCAAAGCTTCATGCAGCCCTACAACCAGCACGACCGATGCGGAATCCAGTGAGCAATAAAACGCCATCGAGAGACAGGCACCAAAACGAGCAACATGCAGCCTCTCACATCCTCGAAATAGGAGTCATGAATGACGGGAATATCTCTGGAGAGGAGCACCTGGAAGTGGCTATCGTGAGGCTTGGATTGCCCAACACTGGCCGGTGGATCCAGGAGTATGGTCTGGATCAAGAGAAAGCATTAGACATACGTGGTCGCATGTAGCCGACTGGATGCGACAGGTAGGACGAAAGGGACAGGACATGGGGAACAGCGTCCCACAATTACCCGCGACACCACAAACACAGGCGAATGTCAAATCCAAATCCACATACGACACACAACCATTAAAGACGTCCATGTAGTGTTCGCAAAATAGTTTTAGGTTTCCCAGAGAATTTGAACAGCACAACTATCATGTGCTTTGCTCAAGCATACCACTATCTAGCGCAAGCATGCTATCTATAGAAGACATCCAATGATCCACGGCGTTAAGAGTCATCCAGACGGTGTGAAGATGGAATCATCTTTTCAAACCAATCCGGGCCGTTGGCGCAATATTACGTGTATTAGCACACATGTTCAAAACAAACGAGTACACAAGGAAAATAGTAGAGCGCAGAGCACAGTCCACAAAGGACTCAGTAAGGGCAATAGACAAAGGAAATTAAGATCGGCAGTTAGGGAGGCGAGATCGGGATGAGGATGGGGGTTCAGGTTGAGGGTTCGAGTTAGGAGGGGAGGGGAGGGGGCGGAGGGCAGACAAAAACACACCAGCAACAGACAAAACGCAAAAGGAAAACGAGCTTTCAGCGGGTATTTTGTGGGGGACAAATGTTCTTCTCTTTCGATCAAATCGCACTCTCTACTTATCCTTTCCTTCCTAGCTCGCACAAAGTTCTCCAAACAAAGCAAATTAGCTTCTCCCTCCCATGGTATAATATTTACAAATCGAAATAAGGCTGCAAAGTTTCACATCACACAAGAAAATCCGTCAAAAAGCTTTCCCTATCAAGCTGTCAACTCTCTCCCTCCGCTTACAACAGCGCAATAGCGGCAGCGGCGAACATCAGGCCGCCGGCAATCTCAACGCGGCCGGCAGCGCCGGTCCACTCGGTAGAGGGCGCGGTGGTGGTGCCGCTGGGGGTGACGCTAGGAGAGTAGGTGGCCGCAGAGACACCGGGGGTGGTGCCGACGGGGGTGCCCGAGACGACGGGGACCGAGGGGACCGAGTAGCTCGCGGTGCCGTTGTTGGAGTGAGGGGGCATGCCGGCCGACGGGGCGGGGGCAGGCACGTAGACGGAGCCGGAGAACTTGGGCGACGACGGGACCGACTCGGCAGAGATGGGCTTGCCGGGGGTCTGCGAGGCCGGGACAGCGGGGGTGGGGGTAGGGAAAGAGCCCTCGACGCCCGAGGAGACAGGGGCGGAGGGAGTGCCAACGGGGGTGCCGGAAGGCTTGGGGACGGTCATGGTCTGGGTGAGGGTCATTCCGGAGCTGGTGATGGTGGTCTTCCAGTACGAGGTCGGGACAGCGGGGGTGGCCGCCGACGAGCCGGGGCAGTTGGAGACCTCAGGGCCGCAAGAGGTGACGGTGATGACCTGGGTGGTCATGATGGTGGTGGCGCCAGCAGGGGGGGAAGAGACAGCCGGGGGAGCAGAGACGGCAGGCTTGGAGGAGCTAGGAACCGACGCGACCGAGACCGGGGGCTGCGAGGCCGGGGCCGAGGGAGCAGAGGCCGGGGCAGAGGGAGTCGGGGCAGACGAGGCCGGGGCAGAGGGGACACCGTACGAAGCCGGGGCAGAGGGAGCCGAAGCCGGGGCAGAGGGAGCCGAAGCCGGGGCAGAGGGAGCCGAGGCCGGGGCCGAGGGAGCCGGGGCGCTGCCAACGGGGCGCGAGGTGGTCAGGACCTTGGTGGAGCTGGCAGGGCAGTCGGTGACAGAGGCATCGCACTGGGTGATGGTGCGGAGCTCAGTGGTGTAGGAAGTCGAGTGGTAGGTCGAGGTCTCGGGGCCAGCAGCAGGGGCAGAGGGAGCCGGGCCAGTCTCGCCGCCAACGGGGCTGGAGGCCGGGGCAGAGGGAGCCGGGACCGAAGCCACAGAGACCGGGGCAGAGGGGGCGGAAGCCGGGGCAGAGGGAGCAGAGGCCGGGGCAGAGGGAGCAGAGGCCGGGGCAGAGGGGGCAGAAGCCGGGGCGGTGGTGCCATCCTCCTCAGGGCAGTAGGTGGTCGAGATAGCGCGGGTCTCAGTGACGGTGTGCTCGTGGGTCTTCTCAGAGGCCGGGCAGTCCGTGACGTCAGGAGCGCACGAGGTGATGGTGTTGACACGGGTCTCGTAGACGGTCGAGGGCTTGGGGGTGGTCATGGCGGCCGGGGTCGAGGGAGCAGGGGCAGTGGCGCCCTCAACACCGCTGGACTTGGGGGAGCTGGCAGCCGGGGAAGAGGGAGCCGGGACCGAAGCCGCAGAGACCGGGGCAGAGGGAGCAGAGGCCGGGGCAGAGGGGGCAGAAGCCGGGGCAGAGGGGGCAGAAGCCGGGGCGGTGGTGCCGTCCTCCTCGGGGCAGTAGGTGGTCGAGATAGCGCGGGTCTCAGTGACGGTGTGCTCGTGGGTCTTCTCAGAGGCCGGGCAGTCCGTGACGTCAGGAGCGCACGAGGTGATGGTGTTGACGCGGGTCTCGTAGACGGTCGAGAGTCTCTGAGGCTTGGAGGTGGTCATGGCGGCCGGGGTCGAGGGGGTGTTGACGTCGGCGCCCTCGACATCGCTGGCGGCAGAGGGGACCTGCGAGAGCGGGGTGCCCACGGCGACAGACGGGGTCTGCGAGAGGGGGGTGCCCACAGCAACCGAGGGAGCACCGCCGTAGGCGGGGGTCTCAGCAGGAGTCTGGACGGGGGTGTCGACAGCGACCGAGGGAGTGTCGGCCGGGGTGTAGACGGGGGTGTCGACGGCAACCGAGGGGGTCTGGACGGGGGTATCGACGGCGACCGAGGGAGTCTGGACGGGGGTATCGACGGCGACCGAGGGAGTCTGGACGGGGGCCTCGGCGGGAGTCTCAGCGGGAGCACCGTAGGCGGGGCTCTCGGCAGCGGGAGTGGAAACAGGCGTAGAGACGGCGGCCGAGGCGGGGGTGCCGTTATCCTCGCTGGCGCAGTTGCCGTTGGAGGCGGCGCTCTCGATGCAAGAGCAGGCATCGTCCCAGGTGGAGCCGAACAGGGTGAGGTCGATGTCCAGGCAGGCGTTGAGCGGGACGAGGTCGACACAGGCGTCGACGCGGGCCTTCAGGAAGACGGCGTTCTGGCAACGGCACTCGGGAGAGTCGTCGACACAGACCTCAGCCAGGGCCTTGAGGAAGCACTGGTCGCGGCAGCCACCGGGGGAGGCGGGCATCTGGCAAGTGACGCCGCAGGTGGTGACGGACTGGGCAGCGCTGGCGGTGGACGAGGCGCCGCCGAGGAGGTTCAGGTTCAGGTCGGCGTTAAGCAGAGGCGAGGCGACCGCGCTCGAGGCCAGGATGGCGGCGGCGAAAGCACCACGGTAAGCCATTTTTTCCGGATTAGATTATAGGATTAATGAGTGTATAGTGTAGTAAGGACAGAACGCAAACCCAATTCGTGAAACGAGTGACGAGGTTGGGAAAAAAGAAGGGCAGGCTGCGTTTAGCCAAGAGGGGTGAGGAGGAAAGAGAGCTTGGGGGGCGGCGGAGAGGACTAGATATACAGGGCGCGAGGGGAGAGGATGATCATCGTCGAGCAGCCGCTAGGGCTTGGCCCGGTTCACGATAGCCCTACGACGCGCTGCTTCGACCGGGGTGCCTGGAACGGCCTGGCGCGGTGGCAGCGTAATTGCTGCCGTTGCCATGTCCATGCGCGCACCTCTTCCGGAGTGGTGATGTGCGTTGGTTGCCGGTTGGGGCGTAGAGGCGGCAGGCGGGCCGCGGCCTGGACCAACCGTATCGCCCCATTGGCGCGAGCGCTCAGGGGATACGATGATCGCAAGTTGCGCGCAGCAGCATCAGGGCAGCATGATTGCGGTGGTGGAGAAGGTGGAGGTGCGCCTGTGCGGTTGGCGGCGGGCGAGAGAGAAAGTCCGGCGCCGACAGCGCGCGCGCACACGTGCCGCCCGCCGGTGGGTGGCGCCTGCCCCAGCGCCTGCCCCAGCGCCAAAATGACTGCTCCCCACTGCCAAAATGAGCACGTCCGCTTCGGGACTAAGCCAATATCTGCCCCTTGGCCGCCGCTGCTCTTCTCTCTGCCCGGCAAAACGCGCGGCTCCAACTGTCTCGCACGCGCAGGGCTCACCTCTTCGACCCGCCGCCATAGCCACCCGGCCCCGGCGCCCACCACCGCCCCTTTCATGACTCGTCCCACCGCCATCGTATCTTCTAATGATCCTGGGATGCCGACGACACACCAGCAGAGTCCTCAACTCCACGTAAGACGCTCCAGGAACGCGCGCCAGCTAGCAGCGTCCGTCGTGGTTGCGCGCCGCGCGCCGCTCGCCGCCGGCGACTTCGGTCGCTCGGAACTGGACCAGCAGTGCGCTATCCCAAGTGATCAACAGAACCTCATCTTGCTAAATTTGTCAACTCCCTCACTCGGTCGCCCTTTGGCCGCCCTTTGGCCGCCCTTTGGCCGCCGTGTGGCCTGCTCAGCGAGCTGTCGAGGCGAAGAATCATACACCGCCCACCTGACTACCGATCAATCGCCGCCTCTCTCGATTCCCGAGCAAACGGGGAATTCGTCTCTTGCCAAAGTCTGCACAATGTCGCCTCGTCGCGAGTCCGACTGCTGAAGAAAACATGTCTCTCCTTACTCGGTGGCGGATACTCCGGGCGTCAGACGTTGAAGCCCCCTCCGCCTCTCCCGCGCCAGTGCCGCCCAGCGTGCTTTTGATCTCCACACCTTGACCGGCAGTTCCGGATGTCCACCTGCCCAGCAAACCACTCACACCGTTTTTTTTCGTGTTCGGCCCATCTGTGCCACAATTCTTCTCACAGCGGCTGCAACATGGCTTGGCGTGTGGCTGGGGTGCCTTAGGGCTGCTGGATACGACTGTGTGTATCCACTTCCCCCACCGGGGTCCTGCCTGTTCAGGCCGGTGTTTAGCTGTCTTAGGAAACCTCATGTCCGCGACTCGGGATTTGGGTTTGCATGTCTGCACCGCCACTGATATCGCCTATCAAAGCAACTTTCTTCTGACATCCCCGGTCAAACGAGCCCAATCAATGTCACCTGCCACACTGCTATGCCGTCATGTCCTCAGCCCTGCCGTTTCAGAATGCTGCCGGCAGCCGCCCGAAAGACATTACAGCGGGCAGTGCGTCCTCAAAAGCTCAGCATTTGCCCCTTGCAGTGTGAAATCTCAGCCCTACGCTCCCGAACCCTCACCTCTTCGTGCCTCAGCCCTACCGGTAGGCTATTTTTGCCATGTGGCTGTGACTGAGGCGTTTCCTATACATGTATGCATCAGCGCCACATGAGAGAGACGGGATTCTGACCAGAGTAGTCAACTTAATCACCCTCACTGTGGCTTGAAGCTGCCTGTGGCTGTCGCCAACACAACCGACCCATGTCCTTCCTTTCGACCGTCGACCACAATAATACCACGACCATGCATTCTATCGGCACGCTTGCTCTTAGGCGATCCAATTCACCATCTCCACCAACGACCTTCCCTTCCCCCATTACTGTTCCAAAAAGAGTCCATCCAAAGCCCAGCGCAACCACCACTTTCGCTTACGCGCCTCGACCATCCTCCAGCTCTACCACATCCTCTTTCGGTTCCAATAGCTCTTATTTTAGCTCCGCGAGCTCTTCGATTGGCACAAAGACCCTTAAGAAACAGTCCTCATGGAATTCAGGCTCCTCAGTTACTTCGGCTACAGGCAATACCTTGCGCGCAACCATCTTTGAGGTTCCAGACTCGGCTTCCAAGAGCAGCGTTGACAGCGAACGGGTCCGATCACCCGGTGGCTACGACAGGTGGGGCGGATTCAGTTTTGATTGTACACAACACACGTCGCCGAAGGGCTTTTATGTCCGTTCAATCGAGGAGTTCCTTGGCGACAGCATGCCTGCGAGGCGTCAGGGCTGAATGAAGGCACAGCATCAGGCTGAGAGCTCTTGATGGTGCGCAGAGGCGAGACTGTCCTCTGCTGGTCACGACTGTCGTCCTCTACGAAGAGTGTGCAGGCAGCTGCCGAGCTTCGCGAGTATCTGGGGTGCAGGCACTCTTCCTGCGCCGCAAGCGGCCGAACCGAATGCCCTTGGACACCCGGTTGGAACGTTGCGTCGAGAAACCCCAATAATAATGATTTCCACAGGGAAACATAGCGATGAGGGCATGACCATGGGGCGCAGCGGCCACCAACACCACCGCCTCCAAAAGGTCGGAGAACAACTGCGGTTTCATCCGCTCCCAGGCGCAGTCTACAATCTCCAGACGATTGCCCCGCGCCGCTGAGTCTATTATTTTTCTTTGATCTACATTACCTGTTATTCCCCGCGCTTTCCGGAGGCGATATCACGGTCGCATTTTTAGGCGTGCAGTCCATCCATGCGCCGCAGATCCCACTCTCAGGAAAGGGGGATGTTCTTCGCCTGCTCACCGCATCACGCGCTGCACGCCTCATTGAGATCTTCTCTATTCCGAGTTTTAGCATAGTCTGCGAGTTTCCTCGATTTTCTGTTCTCTAATTTCCCCATCAAAAGTTGGAACGTTAACATTGATGCTATACCAAAGCTACGTTTCATTTGCTGATTCCTCTCCGAAAGGATCAACGGCAGCGACACCTTTCTCCCACCATTTCCTTTGTCCCAATCATGTCTTCGTAGTTTGGCGACATCCCTTCTTCTTTGCCGACTTACACGGGACGCAACTAGCCATGAGCATACTGAATTCCATCATGCTTATCCCTCGACTCGTTGATTCTTCAAGCATTCACGGGACCATTGACTCGAGACAGCTGCGAGCAAAGAAAGCCTCTTTGCTGAACCAGTGACGGCAGACGTCGTGTTTTGCTCAGCTTTCATCTATCGCGCACGACGGACCTATTGCAAGCAGCGTCGCGACCATGGCGCAACCAATCAACCACGTCGCTTTCCGCCAACGCACCCCACCTCACTCCTTCGGCGTACAGGGTCCCAAGGGTGCTTCCAGACCACGTTCCCAGGACCAGGACCCTGGAAAGAGCGACTTGCATATGGCTGAGCGGGATGGGCGCCAAGTGGAGATACGGATCTCCTGGGCTTGTTCCCCGACGTTCCGCTTCGCTCTTCCCTTGGCGCAGTAACTGTTTTCCCTGTCGTGGCTGCTGGCCATCCTTGCTCACGACTCCGCAGAGGATCTCCATAGCCTGTAAATGTGCGCACAGGGCCGGGAGCTGCACCTGCACCGATAAGAAAGCCGAAACAATGAGCAGGAGAGTGGGGTAAGGGCGTCTGTACCGTGGATATGGGACAATACCGCAGCTCCGGCCAGCTAACGGATGACGAGCAGCACGGAATCCCGATCAGAAGTGTGCGAAGAGCCCCTGCTCATGGGGACCATGACGGCGTCTCAGCCACGCACGCATCGAGAAGCGAAGCGGGCATCGCCTTCTCTCCGTCTATTTTCTCGTGTCCATGACAGTGGCCGTTTCACGACTACTCATTGGCAGCGCCACGACCGCGAGTCTCTTGAAGCCTCCTATCTCAGCGGACCGACTCAGCGGATCAAGCTTTCGTCGAGCAAACACCGGCGGCCTTTTGGAAGACGTTAGCAAGGCGAATCCAAAACAACGACACAGCTCATCGCAATATAGCGAACCAGTAAACAACAGGACAAACAGAGGAGGCTTTGACCCGGCCGAGCGGGTGCGCGTTCACATGCGGGAATAAAATCCCGGCAGCGGTGCTCGCGACAGGCGCAAAAGTCGCCGATGGCGTCCCGGAACCGGGAATCTCAGATTGTGCCATGTACGGCCATCTCGCATGACGGCCATCTCGCATGATTGCCACGGCTAGCGTGCATGGATATGGAAAGGCAAAGGGTTCGACGATGCGCCGTGAATAGCCTTCTCTCTGAGGTTTGCCTTTCTCTCGTCAACAAAAGTGGCGCTAAAAGCGTCCAAGTTCGGTAGCGGGATACCACATGCCAAAACGGCACTTTCGCTGCAGCTACGCCTAATGCCGCGCGGAGTTTAGCCGACGGTAGAGTGCAGCTTACCCAGGTGTTGGACGGTTGACGGCTCGACGGAAAAGGACACCAGCAGGTTCGAGAAGGATGGGAGATGGTGGTCGGTGGCTTGCAGGCACAACTTTCTCCCCCGTCCACTAGGCAACTCTATCGCGCTCAAGATCGATATTTCCCCAGTCGGATCTGGCGACACATGTCATACACCACGATCAACAGATCAAAAAGCAAGGCAATGCGGTGCAGCTGCCATCTGGACACATGCGGGGTGACGCACGAGTGACTGGGCCAGCTACGTAGAAACGGGCCGCATGCAAGCAACAAAGCACCCATGCATGCGGCTCGATCGACCGACCTCCTTGCACCTTCCACCCACCCAAGCCACCACCACCTCCCCGCGCTCCCTCGACCCCTCCGTCCCTCAGCCGCACAGCCTCTCGATGCACAAGCCTCAGCCACCGCTTATGCACGGTCTAAGCCAAAGACACCACCGCACGCTCTCTACCGAAAGGTATGTACAGCACCACCAAGCCTTTTTTGATTTTCCCGGCCGCCCGGCCGCCCCGTCCCAGGGCGCAGCGCCCGGGTCAGGTGGGAGAAACATCTACCACAGTAGCTGGCAGTGAAGGTGTAGGGTCGGTGGTAGTGACTTACCAGTGGTTGGCAGTGGCCCAGTCCATGGCCTCTTCCATTTCTCCCGACCATTCCCCGGTGCCGGGTTCCCTTGTTCGCCACCACCGACCACGCACCAAGCACCAAAGCAAGCACCCGCTTACTACTGACTACCCTACCACCACGAGCAACGATCTGAGACAGTGCCATGTGCGCACCCACACGCACCAATCGCAACCCCCCGCTTCGTAGACTATCGACCGCTGCGGGAGCGCGCGAGTGATGAGGGGGGAGGGAGGGGGCGACGGCGGCGACGGCGGCGGCGCACGCGGCGAGCGCGTGGTGAGCACGCGACGGCTGAACCGTGGCAGTGGGAAAATGGTCCGGTCGGGCATTGTTGTTGGGCGGGAGGGGGATCTGAGATCTGCGCTGATGACTACTGTCTCGTACGCTACACCCGCACCCGGGGGAGATGCGGACGATCGTTCTATTTTGCGCGCTCTACTAGGTACTCTCTCTCTCTACCATCTCTACCATCTCTCCCACACTATTTTCTTGGGTGTGTTCGCGAGACGGGGCAAGGGAATGGTGTGATTGTTGTTGCGCGCGTGGCCTGGTCCCTGCGGGATTTCTTCTCCCCCCCCCCCAATCCCGTCTCCCGTGCACCCCCCGTTCCCCCGTCCCCCGTCCCCATCACTTTGCGGAAAGCTAGATGCTGTGACGCGTTTCTTGGGGTTTCTTGGTGGTGATGAGCGATAGGTGAATAATAATGTCGAGGGATTGGAGGCGCCGGCATGCAAAAACGACGCACGCGATCCTTCAAAGCCGATCCCCCCTCCCCCACCAACCGTTCCTTCCGGACAGATGGGCGTAAGGGCGGGGGAGGGAAAAACAAAAAAACAGAAACAGAAACATGTAGGTACGTACGCGCGTCTGCCTGTCAGCCTGTCAGCCTGCTTGCCTGGCTTGGCGGAAGTATAGCACTGCGTATGACTACGTATGTGGTGGTGTGGGGGATGCAGCACGTAGGTATGGGATGCATCATTGCGTGCGTGGGTGCCGCCGCCACAGAACATTCCATGCATAGGCATGACGGAGGAGCGGAAGAGTAGGTAGGTAGCTAGGGAAGAAGGGAAGACAAGCAAAAAGGTGTTCTAGTGTCATGCAGCCAGAAGCACTCTGCATGCTGCTGCCCACCACCACCACCCCCGCCGTACATGCCATGTGTGCGGCTGTGGAAAAGACAACCCGCCGCCGCGTGCGTCAGCACTACTGCTATCCGCAGCACGCGCGCGTGGAATGATATCTCGCTAGGCAGGCAGGTACCTGGATGTCTCTTCTTCCATCCCATGGATTCTGTGCGGCAGCGGCCCGAATTTTTTTTTTTTTTTGCGAGTACCTAGAGCGTAGGTGCCCGCGGGGCTGTGGCGCGTGTAATTGGCAGGGGAGGGGGTGGGCGTGGAGGGAACCAGCCGTCCGCCGTCCGCCGTCGCCGCCGTCGCCGCTGCACTGCACCCCCTCACCTTTCGATAATAATCGCCGCCGCCGCCGCCGCCGCCGCCGCCGTCGCCGCCTCGTGGCACATCCATGATCCGTTGTTTTGCTTCTTCTTCTCCGTCCTTTCGTCGCGTGGCTTGGACCGGGTCATCAAGCATGCGGCCGCTGCAAGTCTGGTCGGCTAGAAGCTTACTCGTGGGCGAGAAGGAGGGGTTAGAAGAAAGCTAGAAGCCCGCTAATGCCGGACGCGGGAAGGAGTACCTAAGCGTGACATGAGACAAGAAGAGGGGAGGGGAAAGGGTGCAACACGCTGGGAACGGTTCCGAAGGCGGTTCCATGGTTTATCTTTTTGCTTTTTTTTTTTTTTGTGTAGAGTTTCTGACGTGAAGGAGGAGGGGAACATGCCGGCCGGCCGGCCGCCGTCGCTCGCCGGTGGCACAGCGTGGTCGTGTCGTGGTCAACGATGGTGACGGGGAGGCCGATGAGCGTCGTTGGTGTGTTTGCTTGCTTTTGGAGGCGACGAAGGGTTTTCACGGGTCAGTGCATGCGAAGAGGCCCACTGGCGTCGATCAGCGGAGGTCTTTCCGGTGCTTGAGGATTTCACGATAGGTAGCAGTGGGCACGATGTTTGCGTTGGGCTGGTGGGCGAAGACCCGTGCTGAAGAAGTGGAGTATCGCGGTGGTGTTCGAGCGCATCGTGTCCCACTCTCTCGGCGGAAGCGTAGCCAGCGATGCAGGGGGAGCAGCAGAGGGCGAGGGTCTTCTCGGGACTGGATGCTGCTAGCGTTTGCGGGTGGCTGGCGGATTTCTCGCCTATTCGCCCGGGCGCCGGATGGACACTCGCCTTTTAGCTCCTTGGCTCCTGGGACGCGAAACAGTAGCTCGACTGCGCACACGCTTCTCTCCCGTATGGTCGCCGCAGTAAAAGCCTCCAGCGCCCAGCTGCGAGAGCCACGACAATGCGTGCTTGCGCCCATGGCGCCGCCGTGGCGACGGCTGCGCTGCCGTCGACCGAGAGGTACGTAGGTACCTGAGCTGGGCTGAATGCTGCAGCTAACGTGCGAAGCCATGTGCTGGGACCTGGAACTGCATCCCGGCTGGGTGCGTCTCGTTGACACCCAACCCCGCCCAGGAAAGAGATTCGCGGACTGGCGCCGCGGCTAGCATCGAATCCTTCCCCGCTCCGCAGACGAGCTGCCGGGTACGACTCTGTGCTCTGCTCTGCGAACGCTTGGACGGCGATCACGCCTGGACTGGATCTACGGGTGGAAGGCCGGATGATCTACAAACACTGCCCCTTTAGTCTGGTCGACTGCCCGATCGGGCAAGACGTGCAGCACGATGCAGCGCTACCGCCGAGGGGACCGCTGTGCGAAGGCCCGACTACGCGGATTCGTGCCCAAAGAAACGACCTGACCCTGAACCGGCACCGGGTGCCAGCCTTTCCCAACCCGGCAAGGCACTGGCGATGCGGAGCCGTTAAGGGTCTCCCCGTTTGAACCCTCACACGACATGGTTCCTCTGTGCCGTGCCGGGCCCAGCCATTGTCGCACGCGATTGACGCCCAATCCTGCCGACGCGAGAGAAGGAAGCACTCGCGAGCCTCCATAGGCCCTTCTCCGGCGCCAGCCTCGTGTCCCCTGGTCCCCGCAAGCACTCGGGATTATATAGACAGCTTGTGCTACCCGCCGTTTGGCCCTGCTGCATCACCGTCTCCCTTTCTGCACCATCGACTGCCCAATTGGTCACAAACACTCTTCTGCCTCTCCGTTTGATACTCGACCTCCCTTGTCGCGAGGCCATCCACCAACCGATCCCAACACTCCAAAACAACCACAGCCTCTCTTCATGGCCCGCTTCCTCTCGAAGCTCTCGTCGCGCGTGACGACCATCCGTTACTGGCTGCGCGCTCACCACGAGGATGGCAGCAGCTGGTTCGGCGACGATTCTACCCGCGATATGGACTTCTTCGATATTGGCGTTAGCGACAGTGACTCTGCGCATCTGCACGCGTGCCTTTCTCGCAAGGAGTCTCGGGTGGGATGATTGCACCATCCTCCTGGCCATGCTCTGCTCCCTCGCAATCTCTCTCATCTGGTCGTGCCGTAAGTCAACCCACATCTCCACTCAGACCTGATCGCTGACCCGCTCCGAACAGAGGCTCCCTACGGCCTGGGCCAACCCCTCGCCTCCATCCCGCCGGAATACCGCTCCATCAACTCCACCTTGACGTGGGCCGTGCTGTTTCCCTACTACTCCGCTCTTTGTCTGGTCAAGGCCTCGGCCCTGCTGCAGATGCTCCGCGTCTTCGCCATCCCGCGCATGCGCATCGCCTGCCTGACGCTCCTTTACCTCGTCGCTCTCTTCGCCATCTGGCGCAACGTCACTGCCCTCATCGTCTGCCACCGCCCCGCCTCCAACGACGCCGGCACCTGCATCGCTCCCTTCCCCATCCTCTTCGTCAACTGCGCCATCAACATCGCCATGGACGTCCTCATCACTCTTTTGCCTCTGCGCGTCATATCCCAGCTGCGCCTCGCCACCCAGCGGAAGCGTCTCCTGACCGCCGTCTTCGCCCTCGGCTTAATGTACGTCATCTCCTCTTCCTGCTCTTCAGATCCAATTCCTAACGAACAATCCAGCCCCGTCATCCCCTCCTCCATCCGCCTCCAAGCCATCACCACCCTCTCCTTCCGCCACCAATTCGTCACCTCCAACCCCTCCACCATCACCTGGACCGCCATCGACCTCAACACCGCCATCATCTGCGCCTGCGGCCCCTCCCTCGGCCCGCTCTACACCCTCCTCTCCACCCGCCTCCACTGCCTCGGCGCATCAGCAGCAGCAGCAGCAGCAGCAGCAGCAGCAGCAGCCCGCGACACCAAGCTCGGCGCCACTGCCGGCGGCGCCGCCGGCGTCGGTCGACACGACCACCTCTGCACGCTCATGGTACTCCGCTCCCCACCACCGCTGCCGTCGCCGTCGCCGGCCGACCCCATCCGCCTGCAGCTCCCGCAGCTGCCGCTCCCGCCCCTCATCGCCGGCTCCGTCACCATCGCCACGCGCGCCGCCGCCGGCGTCGCCGCCCCCTCCCTGTGGCAGCAGCAGTACCGCGACACGCGCACCATTGCCGCGCGGCGGCGCGGGAGGCGCGGCGGCGGCGGCGGCGGCGGCGGCGGCAAGGACCTTGTTGTCGACGTCGACGTGCCCGATCATCGTGTCGATGATGAGGGTGTTGATGACGATGACGAGGATGACGATGATGTGGCGGAGATCATCAGCGAGCTGGTGGAGTTTCATGCGGGCTTCACGGGGCTGACGGGGGATGCGGGGTTGGATGGGTTTTTGGTCGCGGCGAGGGGGGAGAAGGCGAGGAGTCGGGAGGAGTTGATGGCGGTGGTGGTGGCGAGGAGGCCGAGTAACGGGGCTGGGGCTGGGGCGACGACGGGGACGGGGACTGGGACGACGGTGAGGGTGAGGGAGGTGGTGGGGGGGTTTGATGATGATGATGACGACGACGATGACGATGACGATAACGATGATCACGATGATGGTAATGACGAGGTGGGGAGGGCGTCGAGTACGATTGAGCTTGTTTGATCGCGATCGAGACGTGCTCTTTCGTTCTTTTTGGGTGGTTTACTTCTGTCCGCTCGCTCGCTCACTCACTCACATATCCTCAACTCAAAAATCTCCTCACTCTCTTATCTCTACATTTCTTTTTTGTTCCAATTCTTCTTCACATGTCTGCCTTTCAGCGTATAGACTTCATGACGGCGGCGTTTGCATATATGCATGCATGACTAGATAGCATTTATCCGGTGTTCACGGCTCCATCTCCTTTCGGGTTGTATTACGAAGCAAAAACAAAAAGGTTCCGAGCGCTTTTCAGCCACTTCCATACATACTACTGCATCATCATCATTAGAATACATCGCGATCTTCTGATATCTTCAAAAGGTGTTTCCGGTCGAATTGTGACGTACTCATGACGTGTCTCAACCGAAGCCCCTGACTACCAGATTTGATAATTCTGACTTTCCTAAGAACAGATTTCACGTGTAAAACAAAACCAGACACTTTATGATGACAAGAAGTTGCTGTTTGGTTCTGTTGACGTCAACCATCCTCCCAAAATGAAAAAAATGTTTCGAAGGGGATCGATCTCACTTGTGGCAGACGCACTTGACGGATACAGACACGCCTACCTAGTCGTCGGGTTCAAAATTTCTCCGCACGCTCTCCGCGCTGCTGGGTCTGTCCGGTGCTTTTGGTAACACCGAGGACGCCATGCGCTGCAGGTTCCATGTGCGATGGCCACCACCCCGTTTCGCTCAGATGAGAAAAAAGCGAGGGTCGGTCGGTATGACTGTGTACTTATCAAAAGCGAGCTGCTGTCCCAAGCAAGTCAGAAAAGACTACTACTACTACCACCATCAAAGACCGATCGAATTCGCGTGCCATGCGCCGAACAAATCTATCCATCTACTAGTACATACATCTCCAGAAGTCCCTCATAGAGAATTCGCGCACGCATCCAACCATGATGCAGACAGACTTTATTGTCGGCAAAGGGTCCCCTCTGCTGCCATCCATCTTCGATCGGAGCCCTTGCGTGCGCAGACGGAGAAGGAGTAATAGAAAAGCAAATTACAACCGATACCTACCCAATGATGCACTTCTCCCCATTTTTTCACACCTTGACCACCCACCTCAGAGTCCAAACAAATCCACCCCCTCCACATACCCCAGATCTACACCACACACACGTCAGCACGCATACCCACCGACCGCAACGTAAAAGAAAAGAAACGAGAAGAGAAGAGAAGAAAAAAAAAAGAAGTGTGAATGTGCGAAAACTGTAAACAGCAAAAAAAAAAAAGAAAAGACAAAAAACTCACCCTTCAAACCGGGCACCGCCCACCCCGTCACGAGCCCCATCTCCCCACACACAAACACCCCCGCGCCGTCTCCAGGCGCAAACAAGTCCCTGCGCAAAACGCCGTGGCGGCCACCGTCACCGCCACCGTCACCGCCACCGTCACCGCCATCGAAAACCTCCGCCATCGCCACCCACACGACCCCGACCTGGCCCCTCCCCCGCTCGACCGCCTGTTCCAGCTCCTCGCGCAAGAACCCGCCCGCTTCCGCTGCCACGTCCGCTTCCATTTCGGCTTCGGCTTCCGCCTCCGCCTCCGCCAATTTGTCCCGGTGGTCCGCGACCGCTGCTCCCCCCTCATCTCTTTCTCTTTCTCCTTCTCCCCCTCCTACCCCTCCTCCCCCTCCTCCTCCCTTCCCTAGCGAAGACGCAGACCCCGCCGCCGCCGCCGAAGGTGATGATCCCTCACCGCCGCCGCCGCTGCCGCCATCGCCGCCGCCGCCGACGACAACAATGACCCTCACAGGCGTCGGATCCGCGCACAGCAGCACGCGCGCGATGAGCGCGTACCCGCGGGCCACGGCTTCGGGGCCGCCGGCCAAGACGAGGGAGATGCGGGAGAAGAAGAAGGATGTCCGTCCACGTCCTAGCCCCCCTCCGCCGATGGCTGCCCTTACCGCTGTTGATTGCGCTTTCATGTCGCCATGGTCGTCGTAGTCGTCATCGCCGTCATCGCCATCGTCCTCGTCGATGGTGAAGGCGCCGCAGCCGTGGTAGATGATTGGGCCGAGGGGCCCGCGGCAGGAGAGGGCGGTCGAGCCGGGGGTCAGCTGGGACAGGAGGGCGGTGAAGGGGTCGTCGGCGTTGTGGTCGGAGGGAGCCGGAGGGGGGCCGCCGGTGGTGGTGTCGCCGGCTGAGGAAGGTGACTGCGGTGGTGGTGGTGAGGCGGGGACGGGGACGGTGATGTCAAAGGTGCCGTCGAGGCCGTCGCGGAGGCTGTGGCTGAGGCTTTCGCGGCGGTGGCCGGGGCCGGGGCCGGTGGATGTGGGGGAGGAAATGTCCGGGATGGAGGGGAAGCGCGTCGTTAGCGGAGATACGGGAGCGTTGGGGGAGAGGGGGCGGTGGGGATCGCTGTGGTGATGGTGGTGGTGGAGGCTGTGCTTTGAGGCGGGGAGTAGGGGGCGCGTGGGAGTGTGGAACCGGACGAGCATGCGGTCTGGTAGGTGGAAGCCTAGCTGTAGGTACTGGCACGTCCCCAGGCCGAGGATCGACTGGCCGTCTGGTAAGGCGAAGGTGTAGGTGCGGCTGTTGGGAGAGGTGTCTTGTCGGGTGACGAGCCGGATGGGCACCCATCTGTTTTTCCGTATTGTGAGCTGGTAGTCTCCCTCGTCATGATTGTTCCAGAAATCTGCTCGTGCTTTTGTGGCCGATGTGGCGTTCTTCTTGATGTAGTTGGCGGCTCTGTCGGTGACGACACCAAGGATGCATTCTGTGCACGAGGTAAGCTTGATACTCGATTTGATTCTCCCTGACGTACCTTCAAGCTTCTGGTAGGCATAAGCGTCATGGATGGATCCGAACTCGTCACTTGTCCTGTGGTGAAGCTTGCCCGCATGACCAAGTATTCCAACCTTGCCGCCAGGATGCCAGGATAAGACGCTGGTGACATCGTATACTCTGCCATCGACAACGATCCAACAGTCTTCTTCCCTGTCATGCAGTTCGATCTCTTCTCTGGTGAACTGCTTCTGTGGCACTGTAGCCTGCCGTCTCAAATTCTCAACGTCACTTCCAATGCTTGGCTTCATCCATCCTCCATTTGCAGTCCCAGGCTCGACTGGATGCTCAAAGAGAACCGAAGGTCCATCTGGCTCTTCACTGTCCGCTATGCTCGTTCGGACAACGTACCAGTTATTGTTCATCAAACCCAAGACATTCCAATCTGCCCTTTGTGGCTGCGCAAATTTAGACACGTTAAAGCAGCGCACGGTGATACTCTTTGCCCGGAGTAAGTGTGAAAGCTCAACATCGACGTGCCAGTGTAGCCAGGTCCAGAACTTGTTCCCATGTCGGACAGGGTAGTCAGGGTATTGCCGGATACAATAGAGCCAGGTTCGGCCTTCGTCGAGAGATAGCTCAACACGCTGGACTTCATTCCCGCCGCCATCGTAAGCATACCCAGCAATACGGTAATTTTGACCCTTCTGGGCTTGGGCGAAGGGAATCGTCTCGCCCTGTGCTGGCTTGACGATGACCGAATTGAGAGTCTGCTCATTGCATGCCGTGCTTGAAAGGTGGAACAGGGCATCGGCAAACTCGCCGTCCTTCTCCGTCACAAAACTTGGCAGAAGCCTGTTGTCCCAGATGTGATAATGCGAGTCGTTCTCCCGATCGCTGACCCATATGTTCTGCAGCCACTTGACGCTGCGCCCATCGACATGTCCAGGGACTATTAGGCGGAGGGGGTAGCCGTGGTCTGGCGGAAGAGGTACGTCGTTCATCTCCATGGCTAATATGACGTCGTTCTTGGGGTCCATTGCATATTCCAACGGAAGGCAAGTCGCGTACTTGCCCTCGCTCGGGTCATCTGCTCCCTCGAAGTGGATCCAAAAACGTCTGCTGTCGCCCTGGGGCATGTCCTGAGACACACCGGCAGACAGCAGCACGTCGTGGAGCAGCGGACCTTTCCAGTATGCACAGCCCACTGCGCCGGCTCCCCACCCGAAACCTTTGGTTTTCCTGATTACATTAAACTCCTTCCGCCTGTTCCCGGCAGACGCGAGCATCACCGGGATGTTGGTTGCGTCGTAACTGTTTTTCAGCTCGTCCATGGACAAGATCAGCTTTCCACCCTGGATCACGAGCCTGTGGCGTTCCCACGACAGCCGCGGAACTGGGCCGTGGTTCCGCACGTAATGCAGCTCGTTGGGGGTGATGAGGCCGGCGTCGAACAGGTGCGAAAGACGGGGTTCGGCATTCAGAGGATGCTTGCCCGTCAGGCGAATCAGGTGCGAGGAGCGCGGGAGCCAGTTGTCAGGGGTAAGTTGGTCCCTGTCGTCGATTGAAATCTGGGTTCGATGAGTCTCGTGATGCGGGGACGTGCCTTTGCCGTCGTTGATCTGGAGCTGCGAAACATAGTCCCTCTCGTGTCGGACGCTACAGAGAAGTGCAATTTCCTGCGGCGTGTACTTTGCGCGCAGCTTGTCCGACTCGGGTTCCTGGAGACCGGCGGGACCACCCTGTTCGATGCCGGAATCATAACCGGTGTCTTCAACGCCGGAGTAGGCGCTGTTATGCTTCTTCTCACCGCGGGACATTCTCCACTCGTGCTCTTGCTGATTGCTTTGCTGCTCTTCCTTGCACTTGGGCAGTTTTCCTTTTGACTGCCTCAACGCGGGATTAGCTGGCAAATCTTCTGTGCGCCTTCCACAGTGCTCGGGTGTGTCAAGCACGTCTTGCCACCCTCTTGTGGCAAGGTCGGGGAGCTCCTGCGGTGAATCAGCCCCCTTGCTTCCATCTGAAAGCGGGGTAAGTCTGACACAGGGTCCAAGCCAGATATAAAACGGGACCCATGATGCCGTCGCCCTGTGCTTACCTCTGTGTCTCTTAACAACACATCGCGAAGAGTGATGATCTCTCCATTCATTGCTCGATTTTTCAGCTCTTGGCGGCCTCGTCGAAATGTAGCAAGATGGCCATGGGGGTTGTCTTGCTGATGGGTAATGCCAGCCTTGATGCCCTGATCCCCTTTCAGGCCAATGCAGTGTTGTGGGCCGGCTCCCCAGTCGGGTTCATTTGCAATGTCGTCGGCAGAAGAGCCGGGATGACTGCGCACGCTGACTGCGCACGGGATCGGCGGCATTTTCAGGGTAGATGATGGATTGGATTGTTTCAGATGGGAGGGTCAGGAGGAATTGATGGGGAAAAACATTTCGAAGGGAGGGGTGTCCCTTTGTTGTCGGATTCCAGCTGGGCCATGACGTCAGTCAGCATGGCGCTAGAAGACGAGCTCTTATGGTCGAAGCTAAGCAAAAGCAGCAGTGTCTAACGTCGAAAAGCACCTCAGCCTGGGGAAACAAGCGGCGAGAAAGCTTTGAAGAGATGGCCGGGACGGAAACGGATTCGGCGGGTGCTGCGATGCAGGACGCGCGCCGCGGCTGCACGACAACGGGCGGGACCGGATCGGTCACGGGCACCACCAGTGGAAGGGCGGATCATGATGTCGGATGAGATGCGATGGAAATGGTGTTGAGGTGCCGATCTCCCGCGGGGCATCCCATGACGCAGCTGCCTTGATTAGTCAACCGTTGCCTGAACAGGCCTCCGTCGGGCAACAGCAGGCTCTCCCGCGATTGGCCAAGACACGGCAGACGAAACAAGGCGGCTGGGCCGAGATTGGCGGACTCGACGACTCTGCATCGCCAGTGCGCATGCATGTCCTACAGGGCCCGCTCTGTGGCTCACGCCGCTCAGGCACCGCAGCCACGCAGCCGACGGCGACTACTCCTCACGCCAATCCGTGCCACCAACACGCCTGACGCCACGACGCGGCGCCATTGGATCGTTCCCCGCATCTCGGTTCGCATGCACCGTTAGGCAGTCGCACCTCGCAGTCCATGCTGCTTCCGGCTGCCACGGTGACGGCTCGCTTCAACACCCGCTGAAACCCGCAGTCTTCCGCCGCCGACGCCGCCGATGCCCGACAGCACTAACACGAGCACGCCCCCACCGCCCGTATAGGGGAGGGGCAGTGGACGCCGTGACGCCGTCTTAAAGCATTGCCGCGGCTCCCAGCCAACATGGCCACCCTCCACCCGCGAGCATGCGCTTCACCAGCAGACCCGTCCGCGCGGCAGCAACTCTGCTGCCGCTGGCCGCCGCCTTCGCCTCTGCCCAGAACAGCTCGTCGTCTCTGCCAATCGTCGACCTGGGCTATCAATTGCAGCAGGCTTCTGGATTCAATGTACGTCCATGCAGCCAGAAACGAACAGCGCCTTCACTAACAGCATCAAGGAAACCGCAGCTTACTACAACTTCTCCAACATCCGATATGCTGCGCCTCCGGTTGCCGACCTGCGCTTCCGCGCTCCCGTCTCACCCGTCACCGACCGCTCCAGCGTGCAGGACGGCTCGGAGCTGAGAATCTGCCACCAAGCCAATCCAGCATGGGCCGCCATTGCAGCCGAGTGGCTTCCGGGCTACCTGGTTGCCGGCATCCTGCCGAACGTCTCCGCAACCGGGACAACCGCCACTACCGGCACTGCCAATATTACCACCCTACCGGGCGAGACCGAGGACTGCTTGTTTTTGGACGTGGTTGTTCCTGAAAAGATTTTCGAGCGTGCCGGAAATGCATCTGGTGCTCCGGTTATTGTTTGGATCCATGGTAATTTATGCAAAACGAGCTTTCAGGCAGGACACTGACTCGATGTACAGGCGGTGGCTACACTTCGGGCTCCAAAATCAGCTACGGGGATCCAGCTGGACTGATTGCAAGAAGCCAGACCGGCTCTTCCGATGGCGTTGTCTACGTTTCCATCAACTATCGCCTCGGAGCTTTCGGCTGGCTTTCTGGGCCGACGTACCAGAAGGACGCCACTGCGAACCTCGGCCTGTACGATCAACGCTTCGCCTTGGAGTGGGTCCAGAAGAATATCCACCTATTCGGCGGTGACAAGAACCGCGTCACCGTTGTTGGCGAATCGGCTGGTGCTGGCTCTATCATGCACCAGATCACCGCTTTTGGTGGTTCCGCCCCATCGCTCTTCCAGCAAGCCGTTCCGCAGTCCCCCGCCTGGCTACAGCTCAGCTCTCCTTACGAGCAGGAGCAATCGTTTCAGAAATATCTCAAGTTCCTAAACGTCACCAGCCTGGCCGAAGCCCGGGATCTGACCGAAGAGCAACTCTTCCTCGGCAACGTCGCCCTGATCGGTACTTCGGTCTACTCCAGCTTCACCGTCGGCCCATCCGTCGACGGCAGCATCGTCCCGCAAGACCCCAAATACCTGCTCAACCACGGCCAATTCGACAAGTCCGTCCGCATCTTCTCCGGCCACACCACCAACGAAGGCATCCTCTTCACCCCGCCCCTCACCAACGAGACCGAATTCACCGCCTTCCTCAGCGCCGCCCTCCCCAATGCCAAGCCCGCCGTCATCTCCTACATCACCGAGACGCTGTACCCCCCGGTCTACGACGGCAGCTACGGCTACACCGACCTGATCTCCCGCCTGGCGTTCGCCCTGCAAGAGTCTTCCATTACCTGCAACGCCAACGCCCTCGACCGCGCCTTCACCGATCTCGGAAACGACACGTACGCTTACGTCTTTGGTGTCGATTATGGTGTGCATGGCCAGGACAACCCGTACACTTTTTACACCCCGGGCGTGCCTGATGCTACTGGTGGTCTGGTGTCGCTCGATTCCGCGAACGAGACAGTCGCATTCGCCCTGCAGGACTACATCACTAGCTTCGCGATCGACGGTGTGCCGGAGAGCGGGGTGCAAGGCGTGCTGGCCGAGGTCCCGGTGTATGGCGAGGATGGAAGTGTGGTGAAGCTCACGAGCAGCGGTGTGAGCGTGGCGAAGGATCCAGCGGCGAACGAGAGGTGCAGGTGGTGGCAACTGGGTTTGTATAATTGAGGAAAAGGAAAGCAGGGAGGGTTTATTACTACTATTACTACTTAATGACGTAGGATAGACGGACGGTACAAACGAAACCTACTAATGTCCGATCCACGAAACAATCCATTCCTACATTCTCCCAACTCCATCCGTCGTGTATATGTGTACATACATTCGACCACCAACAACCCCGGTCCGGCTACACCTCTCCCCCCTTATTCCCACTCCTGCTCTTTCTCTCCACCCCCCGGCAGACCTGAACACCGCTCATACCCACCCCCACCACTCCCATCACCCCCACCATCCCGACCATGGACCCCACTACCATCGCCACAACCGCAAACCACGTCGCGCCAGCCTGCTGTAGAGCTACGTTGTCGCCGAGCACCC